TAAAGATACTTGAAATAAGTTGTATAATAATAAGTACCTTTTTTCTTTCTAACTGGGAATGTCCAATTTCCTTTGACCTGCAGTCGTTGTCACTGCTAATTTTATTGTTGTCCTTAAAGGGCTAGTAAGTAATTGTAATCCAATTGACCTTTTGTTGAATTCTGGGAATATTTCCTCACAGTTCACGAGCTCTCCGTGTGCTCAGAAAAAAATCTGGTTTTCCTACACAGTCCTGGCTATGTAAATGTATAACAAAAAAAGTGGTGTGGACCACACAACATGGTTTTAGCCAATCAGGAACAGGAGGTGTTAGTGCTCCTTCACAGTGAGCTTCACCAGAAGATTGTAATGTGAGGGAGGTTCATGCTATAAAGCTGACCCCAACCTCCTCCATGCAGGTGCTCTAAATAACCAAGAAAAGAAACATGACAAAGTGGCAACAAGGATAAGGACCCTCAACAGCTGCTGGCCCACCAAAACCACAAATTGGGTTTACTTGAGTCTCTCTTTGGGTGGGTTCACACCTAAAAGTCCAGTTCCTGAATAAAACGCAATAATGATACATTCTTTCAATTTTCCAGTGGATCCGGTTTGCGTTCACAAATGCAAAAACTCAAACGGTCTAGAAATTGTAAACAAAAGCCATAATTAATTAATTTTGATAAAACAGGCATTTTAAGGAAGAAACTCTCCATCAGACAGTCTTATCACAGTGGACCAGTGAAGTTATTGCAAACATGTAGTCAAAAGTTAGCCCTTGCAAAAGGCCTATTATTAATAGCAGCTTATGTTTACAGAATCCGTGTGGATCTCCGTGAATGCTACATACATAAAAAAACTTCAATAAAAGGTGCAGACTTTCATCAAAAATAAATATTACATATTATCCCTTTTATGCATGAATTATGACAGCCTTTGTCAGGATTTTTTTCCTTTGTGTTTTTATTGCTCTTTAAGCATGAAAAATAAAATTAGAATTAAATTTTTTTAAACATACATTTTTCAAGGAGTTTTTTACATGTCCACTAGGGTGGACATGGTTTTAACTGAAGAAATATGTCTTTAACAAACCAATGAATAAAATTATACAGTAAGTGAAAACTATATTTTTAATGCTGTTAAACCAATGTGGTCACATATTTTAACATATTCTAATATAGTTTAATGCAATGCAAAAACATTGAACCTCACTTCTTACTCCACACTCTCTCTCTTTCTCAGCATCCTCAGCTCCACTATCACTGCTGCCAGCATTTGAGGTTTCTCATATTTCTGGCAGCCAATCATCATCACTGTCACTAGTATTATCCTTACTTGATTCTGATAGACATGGCTCCACTATCCTGAATGCCTTTCTATTAGTTGCTGCTAAACCCTAAATGTTACTCATATAATGGAACTAATCTGCACAAAATATTTTTCTTATTGTAACAAAAACTGCAAGTGTAAAATAAATCCACTGATTTACATTCAAAAAGTATTTTCAAGAAAAACAAAGTCTCAGTAATAGGTAATTATAGTTGAAATATAGCCAGGGATGCATAATGTCCAATTTGGTCGACAGATCATTAATTGCAATTTTCTCCCAACATAAAATCAATGCTTGAAAAGTTAAATAACTGTATAACACTTAGTTGTTACTAGATGTTACCAAATTTTATTTACCAGCAGGGTTCTCCTATAATTGGAGGAATGGCAAGATTTACCTGAGCTGCTCAGCGTTTCTGACCGTCCGTCGGCCATCTTGGTTTTGACTAATTTAAGTTGCACTTACAACAGTTTACCAGAGGGTGGCAGTGTATGGCATGACACACTAGCGTCCACTGTAGTGGCTGATGGCAAACTAGACTATCAGAACCTCAGCCCATTCAAGTAAACAGCTTTTCACTGTAGTGACCACTATGCATGAAAGGGTTAAAATAATTTGCCAATTATTATTGTTATTGTTGTTGTTGTTGTATTTTTACGTTTTGTTGTAATAGTGGGCTTGTAGTAGTTTTAAGTGTTTTTTCTATCGCTTTGATATTTTGATTTGTTTGGTCCGCACCAGAGCTCGAATCCGACGTTCACACGAGCCCAAGTGAACCACACTAAGGGGGTAAACACTCCAGGGTACGCTTCAACTGGACTTGTTACAGCTACCTCTGCTAAGAAACAAACCCCAATATTCTGCAGCATTGAACTGGAATTTTGCACCCCTCCAACTCAGACTGAGATGACTTTTTTTTCTTTCCAGCCTGACTTTTATCCACTTCCACATATTCACATTTGGGAGCTTCCATATATTTCTACTGCTAACCATAGAGCGGCTCCACTGGACCAGTTGGAGGTTAAGTGTTTTGCTCAAAGGCACATTCATAGTAATTGTTAGAGGAGGGGAGAGCACTGTTGTGGACTTTTACTTGGTTGTGTAGCTTCAGGCTAGCACTCATAATAAATTCATTGTTGTGTAATATCATTTGAACTGACATTATCCATCAAACCAGCTGGATTATAAATAGTTACAACAACTAACCACATGACAGGATCTTTCCACTTCCTTACATCCAATTAACAGGATGTAAAGTATTTTTAGTATGGTTTAAGACTTTACCTCACTCTCGGCAGGATGACGATGATGATGACGTAGATGAAGATGATGATGGGTAAGATGAGCATGATGATAATGAGCATCATGGTGGCGATGACAACAAAACTGATGCTGGCTACGATTTAGCTACATCGCGCAGATCACTGGGGGAAAGAGTAAAATATAATTTAATAGAATAATATTTGTGGCATTTTAATGGTAATCACATGATAATGGTTTCAATCTATTTTGTTCTCCGCATATTGTCTGGCATAGGTGCTGTGCCATGTTTATTACACAGTTCAAGAGGCTAATAAACAACTTTCATACACACACACACACACACACACACACACAGATGTAGATAAAAACAGTCCATTTGGAAGGTTATTTTTGAATGTGAATTGTAGGAGGAATTCATCTAAGTGAGAAAAAAGCTTAATGTGAAAACTACCTCCAAAACAGAAAACAGCATGTGTGTCCGTGTGTGTTTTGGTAAATGTATAAAAGGCAACAATGTCTCTTGCTGTACGGTTTCGATGTAAAGTCTATTTGAGTATTTAACGCCACTCTGTGTTTGCGAAACAAAAGCCCCTTTTCCACTGCATGGTACCAGCTCGACTCTACTCAACTTTCTTTGGTTTTCCATTGTGGAAAACTTGTACCTCTACCTGCTCCCAGGTACTTTTTTACTATCACCTCCATCGAGATTCTAAGCAAGCTGAGGCGATTACAAAAATGTGATGTGAAAACACAGCAGACTACTGATTGGTCAGAGAGAATCGTCACTATTCACTGCATCATCATTGCGTGTGCCAGACACAGGCCAGCAACAGAAAGTTTTATATTTTAGAATTTTCATATGTTATTTCACCACTAAATCCACTTCTGAGAAGTTTTGAGGTGAGAAATCAACTGTGTAGATTTTGAATATTGACAGTTTTACGAAAAGTGATGGCGGAAATGTGCTTGAAAGTTTTTGGAGTTGAGGAGCTCCGCAAGTGTTGGCGGGGGAAGCCTGCAGCAATCTGCGGGAGGAGCTCGCCAGGCCGGCCAGCCGCCCGCTAACCGAGCCTGAAAGCCACAGTCACACAGACCGCTGCAGCAACAACGGCAGAGGAAAACACAGCTGTAAGGTTTTCATACTGCTTATCTGTCTTTACATTCTGAGTAATATTGAAATGTTTTAACTTAAATCAAGAGACAGCTGCGTGTGGGTCGCTGGTGTGTGTGTCGCATTGAAAATTATGTCGCGGCAGTTGTTTGTGTTGTTGCTATGACAACCAGCTACATTGAAGGGTACTATCTCTGGCTACTATCTGCAATGGAAAACGGAGGACGGCGGGCCAAAACTGAGTCGAGTAGAGTCAAGTCGAGGCAAATTGAGCTGGTACTGGTAATGGAATAAAGGCAAAAGACTACTGCTCCACCATTTTACAGAGGCATGACAATCTACTGCTTTCCCACTAAGAAATCAAATTAATTTCTTTGAAAAAGAGTTTCAAAACAAAGCAGACTGATCAAACAAGAGTTTCGAAACAGTCGGGCTTACAACCTACAGAATAAAGTTTTTGCTCAGTGGTAGTGTCAAGCCCTGGCTACTACTGTGTAGTATACCAGGGTTTCCTGTAGCCTTCCTCAGCAAAAAAAGGGCACCTTCACTGAATTAAAGACTTCCTCCACTAACATCAAAATAAATGAATGTACATTTATGAAACTAAATCGATCACAAAAGAAGAAATGTCTGTATTTGTATTTGTAACTCAGCTCAGCGCATTACAGTGATTGGTCCAACAGGCTTTTCATTCATTTGCTAAATGGTAATTAAAACAGTATGTCAGTTTTTTCGGATGTTGAGGCAAATGGCTCAATCAATCATCATCTGGGTATGTGTGTGTAGTAACTTGAAAATGTGGGAGCGGCACTGCTGGTCAAAGACCAGGTAGAAGTTACTTGGAAGTTTGATAATGACCAGCTAGATAAACATTTTATTCAAAGAACTTGGTTGAAATTTGTTTGAAGTAGATATTTACCAGATGGGCTCTTATTTTAACGTTAATAGCTCTGTGTTTATAATCATCAATGGCTCTCTTAACTGTTATTTTAGAGAAGAGCGCAGAGCCACTGCTTTGCCTCTCCATCTACCCTCCAAATCATCCAGTGGCTGAAATCCCCAATGGATTACATCGTTTGAATAAAGCTTCCTGAATATGTAACGTGGGACATGCTAGTTAAAACAAGTTTTACCAAATGAAACTGTTACTGATCCAGTCATTTTAAAACTCCATAAACAAGACTCACAGATACAAAGTAAACAGAGGGAATCAAGAACCCATTTACATATCTCAATTATATTACTTTAGTAAGTAAGTAATTTCCCGGGGAAAAGTCTTTATATCCATTACGTATGGCAATATACCACTCCACTGACCTGCCGATGAGTAGGAACTCTCCTACCAGTCCCTGGCGTCTCATGGCCATGAGAATGTTGCGAACAGTCATGCCTTCACAGAAACATGCCACTACCCTGGCCTTGGGCAGGTGGGCCCTCAGTCTCTCCAGCAGCCGGTCAAAGCTCTGTTCTCCAGCATTGCTCCAGATTTTGCCTGTACAAAACACATTGTCAGATGCAAATATGCTCTGTGACAGTTGCGTGACGTGTTTGGATCTCTGCTGCTTTATGTGTTGTAAGGTGTTGCGTTTCATTTGTTTTTTGGTGGGGGGTCACAGTTTCTCAGTTTTATTATTTCACTAAGCTCAAGTATCAACCACCTGACACCCAGAGTGTGAAAATTAGTCTTCACAAGGTAAGATCTCGTTTTACAATCCATGTTATAAAATGGTCAATAAATCTACCTTGCACCTTCTAATAAAACAACAGGCTAACCTTTATTGTAAAAATATATGCCTTCTTGTTTAGTGGATATCTGTAAGCTGAGAGCAGTAAAATTTATTTTAAATTCTGCAAGTTCTGCTTTTTGCTTTTTGCTGTTTGCGTGAAATTGCAAACAACCCATGCACAAACTACAATCCAATGTAGTTTCTTACTTGACTACGCATTTCTGTAATGTTTGGGATTCATTTTGCTTAGTTTACTGTGGTTGTCTTGACCTGAGTATCTTACCAGAGTGGGCAATACAGATGCCCTCCTTGGCCGCCATGTCCTTGAACGCTTCCATCCCACTTTCACCATAGTTGCCTGGAAAACCACAGAAAGGGTAAGGATGATGTTTATTTAAGTTTCAGTTGAATTTCAGTTTTGTTTTAAAATGACTCAGAAAGCCATGTGAAAAGCAAAGGAACACGGATAGATGTGTGTAAAGATATATAAATGCATGCATATATGGGAAGATTGTCCCTTGTGATTTTCAAAAGCATGCCCATTGCAGTAACTAGCCTGCTACGGCACTACTAAAAGCTCAAATTTATGTCAGAGAAAGCGTCTCCCCGCTGTGGCACCCGTTTCTTTGCCAGAGAAAGTGGGTGACCTGGAATTTATGCTAATGAAGGGTTGTACACATTGGCAACAAATATGATAGGATTCCCCTCTTTAATTTCTCTTCTTCTCCCTTTTATCTCTTTCCCTTCTTCCTGTTGATTGAAGAAAGGATAAAAAAGATTTCTCTCACTATTTTTACCAGTGTTACTCTCTTTCTCGCCCAATGAGGTTGTTATATCGTCCAATAATTCCTCCTTTTGACAGAGTATGCTATCAACAATAGAATGGAGTCTAATTAGGTATCATTGATCCAAGCTCTACTTAAACTGATGGGGAAAATTAAGAGGTCAAAGCAAACAAAGTGGTAGAAATAGAGTGATGAAAAGGGAAAAGAGGAGAGAGGAAGCAAATTATAGTGGGAAAAGAGAGCACATGGAGAGAAAAGGGGGAAGAGAGGGAGAGGAAATGTACACTGAAAGTAGAAGAGGTCCCACAATCCCTGACCGCTGCTGCAGCTCAGTGTCTGTGTGTGTGCGGGTGTGTGTGTAGTCAGGCCAATGATGAGTGTGGTGGAGCAAAGTGTAAAGTCCTGTAATTAGTGTCTCAGTGAGAGGAGTGGGAGACAGATGGTACAAACCATCCTTCGCCTGCTCACACAGACACACACACACAGACACTCACACATTCACACTGTTACCATCATCAAAATCGATAAAGCTTGTAACCTACTTCACTCTGGTCTCAACAGGGATTTATGTGCGAGGCGTCTCTCCTCTCTCTCTCATGCTACAATCTCACATAAATACAGTTGCACTCCCATCCCTCCCAAACAAAAACCCACCCACCCACGTACACCTACATTTTTTAGGCTACGACCAAACTCCAGCATGTCACTATGTTATCATAAATAGTGTTTTGTTTGTTAGAATGGGTAGAAGGGAAATCATCAAAAATCATCAAATGGCTTCATCAAAGTTGACATTGGGTGTGATTAAATGCACAAATTCTTACACTCAGGATTATTAACAGCATTCAAAGTCAATTTCAGTTCTCTGGGTTTCTAAAGTTCACCTTGCACACCTTTTCTCTATTGCTTTATTCTCATTCTCTCTCTGTCGCCTGGTGCCATCCCTCTCTAATTTTGTTTTGCCTTTTTTATTATACCCAGTACACACACACAAACACATACTTGAGCAAAACACCTCATATACAGTATATATAACTCAAGCTTCTGTCTCACATTTGGCGACCTCCCGCTGAAATAGATAACTGGCACCTCCAGCACAGAGATCACTAGATCAGTTAGCTTCACATTGTTTTCTTTATACCCTTTAGCCCGCTGTGTTTTTTGCCCATTTTCACTCCTCCTACAAAGCTGTGTCTCTCTTTAATTCAAATATATATATTTTAATGATAAACAAAAAGAGCTTAAAGTACAAATTAGCAAAAAACATGAACGATTAAAAAAGGACAAAAATCCCTTCTCAGTGTGTGCGCCTCGCATTTCTGCTCCTCTACTCTCTTCTTCTTTGATCTCTGCTCATCGTGTTATTCTTCTGATATATTGCAATAAATTACAACATGCAGTCACATGCAAAGCTGAAAAGTCTTCTGCTTGCCCTCAGTGGAGCTCCCTCCTCCCCTTCTCGCTACTTGCTTTTTCTGCCCCCTGCTTTCTCATTGCAGCAAATTAGACAGTAAAATTTAAGACACAGTGTCTTTTCTAGCCTCTTTTACATCCCTCCCCTCTCACCCTTCCTCTATCCCTCTCAATTGCCATCCTCATCCTCTTGTCACTCTTATCAGGTCCATTACATGCAATTACATGTTCCTCCCTTTCCCCTTTCTCCCTTCCTTGTCTGTTTTCAAGCCCTTATTCCCTATGGTTCACCAACAGTAAAAATATACACATTATTAAGGAAATTGCATCCTCTTGCAGTCTCTTTCTATTCACCATGATCCCTCTCTTATTACCTTCCAGTTCTCCTTGATCCTCACCAATGCCACCGCTGGCCCATGTCACATCTGGAGTGCTACGACAATGTGCAGCTAAATGTCGAACACAGTAATACCCTGGGGCAGACATTTGTTTGGCACTCATATTGTGTCAAACACAGAGGTAAACAAGATTACAGAATTACATAGCTAAGAGCACGTGCATAAACACAAATACAAAACTGCATGCATTAGCACATAGACATGCACAAACTCACAAACTGTGAGTTGTGTCTGTGTCAGTATCAAGTCTACATTATTAAGTAATTACTAAGTAAGAGTGACGTTACTGACAGATGTAAAATTAGGCCTGCAATTAAAGGGGTAGTGAGTGATTATATTCCAGTACACTTTGTTAAATTCAGCTAATGTTACCTCAGGGTTTGCTAACTCTCTGTTTTGTGTGTGAAATCTGGTTTTCCTACAAAGCCCTGGCTCTGTAAATGAAAGACAAAGAAAGTGGTGTGGACCTTGCCACACAATACTGTTGCAGCCAATCAGCAACAGGTGGCATTACATTCAAACATCCTGGACTCTAGGCACTGTGAAGAAGGAGAGATGGTGGAGAAACAGCCAAAGAGGAAAATGTCTGAAGAGTATAAACAGAGAAGAAAATTAGGTGATCAGGCAAGAGGGAAGGCGTGTCGATGCTGGAGAAACTTCTGAGATTTGAAATTTTGGGGGAGGAGCTTCTGAGGAGGGGTGTATTTGTTTGGCAGTTGAGTTCAAATATCAACGGTCCAGAATAACTGACTCTCCCTTTAACAATTAATTTCATTGTTGATTAATCTGCCAATTATTTTCTCAATTAATCAGTTAATTGCTTGATCAAAAATGTCTGTAACTAGTGAAAACTGCCGGTCACAATTCCCTAAATCCCAAATGATCGTTCTGAAATTACTTGTTTTTTTAAACGAACAGTCTAAAACTCAAAGGTCAATTCACAAAGACTGGATTGCGACCGCTGACAGCACTATAAATTGCACTTGCCACTGCTATCTGCCCTGTCTCACTGTGCGATACACAAAAGATATTGTGCTATTAATATTACAGCACAAACACAGCAATAACGTTTTGCAGCTGAGCGCAATTTCTCCTTGTTTTGTGTGTGTTAAATGTTCATCTGCAATTTTCTCTAGTGGTCCCAGTAATATTTGTTCTTAATGTATACTTAAAGGTTCAGTGTGTAAGTTTTAGTGGCATCTAGCTGTGAGGTTGTGAATTACAACCAACTGCCCAGTCCAACACCACCCCCTACCATTTCAAAGAGCGTAGGACAGCTGGCTGACACAGCACAAAAGGTGTCCCTTCTGCGACAGCAGAGAGTAGCCAGTCAAGAAATGAGGTTTGTTTAGATAGATTTATAAATTATTATTGTATTTATTTAATTATTCGGTTAAACCATATGTTATTGCGACTTTGCCACTAACAAATAACATGGAAAACGTAAGCCAAGAGTATGTAACACTGTCACTATTTCTGCATCACAGTCCATTATAAACCAGAAAATAGATAAAGTTTTTACATTGACAAGGGGAACATGACAACACTGAAAACATGGATCTTATATTGCATTTGTGCCTATAGATCCTAAGAAATATTACACACTGAACCTTTAAGTTTAACTATGACCTGGATGACAAAGAACCTTCAGTGACTACCTTTAGTCTAAGTAACACATCATACAACATTTCAGTGACGTCTGACTCACTCTGTATTGAATATTTTGTCAGTGATTTGGGACGTTTTAACTGTGTGCTCCCCTCATATAGTATGTAATAGTGCAACAAAATCCCCAATTTTTCCCAAAACTTAGCTGCATACTGTGTTAAATTTTAAAACATCAGTACTATAACACAAAAACACACACACATACAGAGAAACAAACACTTGCATTAGTGCACACTGTTAACACTGATGCATGCAGCTGGTCATAAACATATGTACCTGTGCAGGTGCAGCTAATAACACACCTGGTATAATAAATTATAGCCCTGTTAATATATTCTCCAGTAAATTATTTTAACGTGTTTTACCATGGCAACAGCTCAGATGTTTCCCCCTTTAATGAGCCTGCTAACATCTTTGGCAATAGGAAATCTCTATTTACTACTCCCTCATGAAAAAGAATCTGGGCAGCTGGATGGTCGTTTATCTATCTTAGCAAAAGCCAATAAATGGATTTGCAGAACAAGAGTTCCAAAATCTGAGCCATATTAGTAGTAGTAGTCCTGTGACCCAGGCTTATTAAAAGAAAGAAGAGATCTTGTTATATGGGAACCCACCAGAAACAGGCCCATGACCCACTTCGAATCTTCACCCTTAGGCAACACTGCCAAAGACGACGATGACAATTTGAGCAGATTCCGTGATTCTCCTCTTCCCCATTCATTATGCCTTTCTATACACTGCCCTCTCCAACCCATCCCACTTTCATTTTCCTCAATCCTGCGAAGGCCATGACAGGTAATAGGCACAGGGCATGTCATGCTCTAGAGACAGATAATGGAAAAACAAAGGGAGAGAAAACAGAGAAGGTGGGCGAGAGGGGGAATTAGTGGTGTCAGGATCGAAATTGCCAATAACAAATAGGAGAAAATAGGTTGTTTGTCTATGTGTGGCCCTGCGATGGACTGGTGACCTGTCCAGGGTGTACCCCGCATTTCGCCCAATGTCAGCTGGGATAGGCTCCAGCCCCCCGCGACCCTGTATGCAGGATAAGCGGTTGACGATGGATGGATGGATGGATGGATGGATGGATGGAAATAGGAGAAAATAATGAGAGAAATTGAGAAAGACAAAAAGGGAGTGAGACTAAAAGAGGAAGAGGTGGAGAGAGCGTTGACGTCTTGATTTATTGAGAGATGGATCGAGTTCTGTTGGAGTGTGCTTGGGTGAAACACGTCAAATTTTGTGTCAATAAAACCCATTGAGCTGAGGAGAAGAGTGAAACAAAGGAATGCTAAACTCAATGTTGTTGAGGATGATGATGATGTTAATTCTCCTCAGTTAAATACATACTGAACACTGAAACCCATTTGCACCTGTGTGTGTGAATTATTATTAGTTTGTGTTATGATTTGACTAACAGACTGATCAAAAAGTGAGATATTGTACAGAATGTGCACACATTTAATCCATACAGTACAGTGCATAAACATGCCAACACGCTGCCAAAGAACATTGGACATCACCTCCCTTCCCCTTCACAGCACCTAGTGAAACAGATGAGCACCTTCAGCTACAGGCTGGTCTCCCCAAGGTGCTCTACAAAGACTTGATCTCTGTATCAATTTTTTGTGTCTGATTTCTTTCTGTCTCACCTCTAATTTCTGTAGCGATTGACCCTATAGCTTGGAAACAAAATGATGATACCAAAAAGGAACTGATGGTGATCATAGATTATCTCACTTCTGGTGTGCTGCAGTTAATCTTATACTACTTCTAGGTTTATACTATTTTGGCTTAATGAATTTCTATAAGCATTGGAGAACTGACAGATTCATACACAATCTCCACAATTAAAAAGAGATACTCTATAGACTCCTTTGAATTTTACGTTCATTGAAAAAGAAATGTCAAACCAACACATTATTTGCATATATTATGGCATGTAGGTTATTTACCTTCTTCCAGTGAGAAGGTAATACTCCCTGTCCTCCCTCTAATAATATTACTTCATTACTTCATTATAATTGCTAGGCTGATATTACATGTATTATTCAGTTTCTTGCGTATCAGTTTCTGTTGCCTCCAGATGCAAAATGTTAATGCAGAGAATTAATGAGTCTCTATAACCCCGCCCCCCATCTTTCTCTGAATCTGCAGCTCCTGTATGCTCGCTTATCTATCCAAGGCACTCCACACACACACACACACACACACACACACACACTTTGCACTCTGTCTTCTGCAGTTTTCTGGCACCATTATCATTGCTTCCCCCAGTCTCTCTTCATTCCTTGTCCCACCCCACATTTTTCTTCTTCCTTTTTCCCCTCAATAAACCCTTAATTTCCTCTCTGAACCCCCTGTCCTTGTTGTCTCCCTTGTCTCCAATGCCTTCCCTATCCCTTGCCTCTCTCTCTCTCTCTCTCTCTCTGTTTCAGAGTGATTGTATTTGAGATGGCAGCGTCTGACCTTGAAGACCAGTTCCAAGGTCAAACCAGCCTGTCTGAGGAATTAGACCAATACTTTCCTGACAAACACACATATTTACACACACAAGCACTCTCTCAAACTACTATAAACATACACACACACACACACACACACACACTCTGGTCTCATGAGAAAAAAATTAAAATGTCACACTCAAGACAAATGTTATATCTGACACAATATTGTTACAAATATGCAGGTTGATTTGTCTGTAACCCATCATGTACATAAACAAATGTAGACAGATTTGCAAATATGTCTTCTGTCATCTACAAAGAAACCACATTGAATCTTCAAATGAGAGAAGTAGTAGTATCATGTAAATTATAATATAATTCCACAAGGTTTATCAATCAATGTTGTCACTAGAGTTTAATGTGTTATATATATTTTTTTTTTATTTAACACAGAGCAACAATTACTTTTGGCAACAACAAAACAAGACTTGTGTATTGACGTAGGCTGTAAACCTCTGCAATGGAGGTGGTGAGTAAAATGGTATTATGACCAACAGTCACATTTACACTTACCGACCACTTTATAAGGTACACCTGTTCAATTGTTAACACAAATGCCTAGACGTGGTCAAGACAACTTGCTGAAGTTCAAACCGAGCATCAGAATGTGGAAGAAAAGGGATTTAAGTGACTTTGAACGGGGCATGGTTGTTGGTGCCAGACGGGCTGGTCTGAGTATTTCAGAAACTGCTGATCTACTGGGATTTTCACTCACAGCCATCTCTAGGGTTTACAGAGAATGGTCTGAAAAAGAGAAAATATCCAGTGAGCGGCAGCTGTGTGGACGAAAATGCCTTGTTAATGTCAGAGGTCAGAGGCACAGCAGAATGGGCCGACTGGTTCAAGATGACAGAACTCAAATAACCGTTACAACCAAGGTATGCAGAATGGGAAGCAGATGGGCTACAGCAGCAGAAGACCACACCAGGTCCCTCTCCTGTCAGCTCAGAACAGGAAACCGAGGCTACAATTCATACAGTCTCCCCAAAATTGGACTAAAGAAGATGGAAAAATGTTGCCTGGTCTGGTCTCAGCTGCGACATTCAGATCGTGGGGGCAGAATTTGGCGTAAACAACATGAAATCATGGATCTATCCTGCCTTGTATCAAAGGTTCAGGCTGCTGGTGGTGGAGTATTAATGGTATGGGGGATATTTTCTTAGCACAGTTTGGGCACCTTAGTACCAACAGAGCATAGTTTAAACGTGACAGCATACCTGAGTATTGTTGCTGACCATGTCCATCCCTTTATGACCACAGTGTACCATCTCCTGATGGCTACTTCCAGCAGGATAATAAATCTTGTCACAAAGCTCAAATCTCAAACTGGATTCTTGAACATGACGATGAGTTCACTGTACTCCAATGGCCTTCACAGTCACCAGATCTCAATCCAATAGAGAACCTTTGGGATGTGGTGGCACGGGAGATTCGCATCATGGATGTGCAGCTGACAAATCTGCAGCAACTGCATGATGCTATCATGTCAATATGGACAAAAGTCTCTTGTTCAAATATGCCACGAAGAATTAAGGTAGTTCTGAAGGCAAAAGAAGGTCCAACCCGGTACTGGCAAGGTGTACCAAAATACTTGAATTTCCCTTTCATTTGAGAACGATAACTGCTTATGTGAATTAAAACTAGAAAAAGGTATAAACTTTCAAGTTACAAGTAAGTTTACTGTTTTCAAGTGATCCATGTACAATTTGTTCTTTGTTTTAGCGTTTGACATCAGCTGCTGCATCATATAACACTTTTTGCCTATTTATAAACTTTATACACTCTTCTAATGCATTCCCAAAACACAATCAACAGACAAATATCTCTCTTACACTCACAAAACGTTCATACCTCAATTCAAATGCTGTTGTAATGCCCTCAGGCAATGCCAGAGGCCAGTATCTAGAGTCCTAAATGTGTGTGTGTGTGTGTGTGTGTGTGTTTATCAGTCTTTATCACACACACTTTCAGGTTTAACAAGCCTTCTCTCAGTGGACACACATCCAGGCACAGTTACTACATTGTCCTCCAGTTCATGTAGCTGTGACACTATCTCCCACCAGTAAACCAGCCAACCCAACTCAACCAACTTCAGAGTGAATGTGTGAATTAGTGAATAAGTGAGTTTCTACAGTAAATCTCCATCGGAAATTTGATCTCCTTGAAATGATGTTCTGTCTATAATATGCAATCCTTACTATTATGCTCTCTGGCATAATGTGTGTCTCCCCTGCTATCCCCACATGCTTATTTCTGGCACCTGTTCTTGTGACCCCCATTCGTCTCCCTGTCCTCCAGCAATTACCTACTGATCTACACTGCTGTTTTTGGACACTACTTGTTCATCAACTTCTTGGCTTCATCTTTAACCTGGCTACAATAACTCCAATTTTATCACATTTACCTCTCTTTAAATCTCTTTACACACTTCTCCCTCCCTCTCTGCAGCACTGTTGCTATGACCGATTGCGTCAGTTCCTCTCTGCCTTGCCTTTCTCTTTCTTGTCTTTGCACTGAAAATACTCCTGTCTTGTTGGAAAGAAAACTTTTCAGCTTTTTCCTCCTTGGCTCCAATTTCTCAGAAAGTTCCTTTTTGTGAAGCATCACAAATTTCTTCACAATTGGACATATGTGAGCGATCAAGGTCTTTTTTTATTTAAGTCACTCTGGATAAGCTTTAGGTATATAAATGTAACGAGCAGCCAAGAAATCAGTATAATGAGGCAGAGACAGAGAGAGGAAGAAAGAACGAGAACATTTTAAAGATAAGAGTCTGTATGTGCGTGTGTGAGCTTGGAAGAGGGGTTTTAAAGAGAGTGGGTGGTTGTACCTTCAGTGTGTATAGCAGACACGTAGCTCCAGTTGTATCTTTTGACAATGTCCACCATTGCTCTTGCCTGTTGGGCATCTGAAGGCACCACCCGCATAAAGTATTTATAAAGGCTCTGAAACAATGGAAATAAAATCATTGAGCATCTAGAACTTTCAAGTAGGTAATGGGTAATTCTACATAATTCAATTAAAGTTACATTAAAGTAGCAGTAATACATTCTCTCTCTTATTGATTCCCTGTAATATTTATGAGCCTATATCTGTACAACTACAATAACAGAAAAGAAAGGTACATGGTCTCACCTTATCGCTGAGGTCCATACTAGTGGCAGAGTAGGCAATCTGTGGTATGTTGAACAGCTGTAGAAGGTTCTGTACCTGGATGGCCACTGAGCTTGACCCCGGTCCAATCAAACCCACAATGGGTTTCTTCCCCCGCATTGGAGTGGCAGAGGGGTCTGCACACTTCATTGTTGCACCTCCACCTCCGGCTCCTCCTCCTCCCCAGGAACCTCCCCCACCCCACTCCTCGGCCTCATCGGAGGAGACCAGTGAATCCCGTATGAACTCAATGCTCTGCTCCAGAGCTACAGCCGAGTGCCAACAGGAGTCCCGGATCTCACAGCCCAGGCTGATGTTGGGAAGGATGAACGGGTCAGCGTTGATGCGGTCCAGTGTGTGCATCATGGCCTCCACCCTCTGGATGCCATACTGCTCTCGGACCGCACCACACTTGCGCTCATGTACCTGCGTGGGGTGTACAGGTTGGAAGACTACATCAAATCTAATCAAATTGAACTGACATTTAGATAACAGTGTTGTCTAAATATTGTCATTAGTGATGATGGCATTAATTATTCAGACACATTTCAATGGGATAAACAGAAAGACACATAAGTGCTTCACTGTTGGACTAAAATTGGTTTTATACTCACATGGCTGTTTGCAATTATCAATAATGAGAAAGCCTGAATGTCAGTGGGTGACTACAGGTTCCTGGGGCAACTAATGGAGGTTGAAGGTTCATGGATTAATAAGTACCCATTCTACAAATTGAATGTGTTCTTTGGGTCTGTACAACAGATCGGAAATTTGGCAATTCCAATAATTTTTCTGATCATCATTTTATAGATATTCTGTCCAGGCAGCGTTACATAATCGAGGTTGATGAGAGTGGCATGAGAAAATATGCACAAAAACTGAATTCCTGTAATTATGACACACAAACCATCATGCAGACACACACAGACACAGAATTACCTTGTCAGCAGGAGGCTGATGATGGACGGAGAACAGTGCTCCAATGATGATGTCACCAGGTATGTGTGCTACAACTCGACGTTCGTTGGACTGAGCAGAGTCAGCTTGATCAGACACCACCCAAATGGACAGAATTAGCAGCAGCCCAAAAATCATCTTGGTCCGTTCAGGTAACAACAACAAGGAGAAGCGGATCTTAAATGAGTTGTGTAGAGCTGTCACAGGAAACTACTTGTCCGAGAAACACTTTTCCTGGCCATGGCAAGAGCTTGTGGCACAGAGGAGTTTTTGAAAACGAAAGATTTTAATATATTCCTTTCTTCTGACTGGTCTTACTTCCTTTCAAGATGGGACCATCACTGCAACAGGTGCAGAGACAGATGCAGCGGTGCTACCTGGAAAATTCAAAAGGAAATGTGGGCTTAGTCTCATTGGATGAAATAACTTCAGGCTCCCCCAATTACAAATGTAGAGTTGATCTCCACATTAACAGGTAATAGACAGACATGTTGACATCAAACCTGTGGCCAGAAAAGACAAATTTTGGTCACATTTGGACATCTTAGTTGGTGCTGGACTTCACAAGTATGCTTGCCACATAGGCTTGTCTGTAGTTTAATAGTTTGATCTATTTACTTCTAAATAATCACAGTCTGTAGACACAATCTCCTGTCTTTACTTAAGCTTGACAGACCTTCAAAAAAACATTGTTTACCCATATGCATTTATAATCTTTGATTAAATAAGATTTTAATTTATCAGTTTGACATGGGCATCGTCTGTGGTATAATGTAAATGTATAATCTTAATGTATTATATTGTACACTGCATGGCAAAATGGGGAAATAAATTAAGAACTATTATGTGGGATTCTAATGTATTTTCCTAACCTCAGAGCAACAGGCAAACATGTTGGCAGATCACCACACATTTTTTTGTTAAACATAAGTAGTTTGGGTAAATCAGATCTTCAGTCAAGTTTAAGATTAAATCCAAACACCTTTCCTCTACAACCCATTTCCCTTCACACCTCATCTTTTCAGCTACTGCTGGTGAAGCAGGGAAAGCTGTGTAAAAAAATGCCCAAGCTCATATCTTTCACTCTCTCGACACTCTCTCCGTTTGTGCACGCATTTCACAGCAAATGTCAATCTCAGACTACTATTCCATAAGCCTACTTGATGTTTAATTGAAATCAGCATGCAAACTGTGCAAGTGACATCAACATAATGACCACTGCATCGGCCATTAAAGTGAGCAACACAATTTGCAATTACTGTTTATTCTTAATGAAGCTTGATGTGATGACTAGAGTACTGGCTACAGACCAATACATTTGAAATATGTATGCAGACTTTACAGACACTGGCTTTAGCTTTACAGCCCTGCCCTGTTGTGCCCGGTGTCTACAGCACTAAATCACTGAGACTGAGCACAGTCACCATGGTCAACACTGTGTCAACATAATATCAACAACACCACTGCGACATCGTATCACACCTCACAGCTGCTGTGAGGAATCTTTGTGTGTCTGAAGTTTTACACAGCACTCACTTGTTAAACTATAATACCAACAAGATCACATAAAGCCACTGGCAGTCCCATTTCTCATTTTAAATCCTTTTTGTTTTGGTCCTTGATGATTAACTCTCACTGTTGAAGCAAAAAAATCCATCAGCACACCGTATGTCATTCCCTAAGTGTCTGCCCATTTACTCTAACAAAATCAAACCGGGTATGTTATACCATTTTCTCCCACAGCTTTAATTGTATTACTTTTACACTGGCTTTTGGGTGTTCTCTCCAAATTGGGCCCCCTTGTATCGTTCTCATTACAGTTTAAACTGTTTTTAAAAGACTGAAACAAAGACTACTATACAACCTTTGGCAAAAACTGAGCAGTCAGAGACTTGTGCACATGCATTTTTATTATAAGTTAAAGAATGAATTGCAAACAGACGTTAGATAAAAAGGAAGAATGCCCTTTACAAAATGTGGCCAAGTCAGCAAGTGGATGATTCAAACGTACATACAGGAGACAATCTAGGTATAAGAAATATACCAAGCATACAGTGTTTAAGAGTTAGTCAAATATGAGGAACGTCAGTTTCTTCCCCCATGTAAAATTTGACATGGTCATCCCTCTGCATTAATGGGCAAGTCTTATAATTTGCTTTACCTCAGAGCTACACAAATACTTTCCTGCAATGGAGCTATTTAATTGACCATAAAAAGCAGGGGGCTGTGACAGTTTAGACAGCAGAGTATGGCATCCACTGCTTATACAAAACAGGATCAAGGTCACGACAGGGAAGATGGAGTGGAGGGAAATACAGAAATAGAGGGAAAGAAACAGACCACATTAGATGAAAAGACAGAAAGAGGGAAGATGGAGAGAAAAGAGGAAATAGAAAGGTAGGGGAAGAAAGAGAAAGGGGGAGTGTATGGAGAAAGAGGTAAGATTAGAAAGACAGAAATAGAAAGATAAGAAAGGACACAGAAGAAGCAGAGAGTGATGAAAAGAGGCATCAGGGACAGAGAGCCTCACTGAACGTAATTAACGTGACAGTGTCATGATGGCAACAGGGCTAACTGCTGCTCCAATAATGAACAAATCCAGCAAATCTCAGCTCTCGCTCACACACACTCTATCAATGATGCAATTGTGTCTCTTTCTCCCATTCTCCCTATCCACTTTCACAAGTAACAAAGATAACTCTCCTCACCTAAAATGTCTCTGCTAACTATATTCATACATACTTTCCAACTCACCAAAATTTATTTCAACACACATTTCTCTCTGCCCTAGGCAAGCCACTGTTTCATTAGCAATCCTCCAGTATGTCTCCCTCACGCACTCACTCACATACATGCTGTGTCTCTCTGTCGCGCCCCCCCCCGTGTCGTTCTCTTGTTGTGTGGCCCCGACTATAGCTGAAAAGAAAATCAAATCAAATCCTCATTCCCTAAACAAACATCTCACACACGCCATTAGGCATTTATATCTCTAGTTCTAACCACACTTTGCGCAAGGGCATTATAAAACCCTCCAAATCAACTTTTACACAGACATAAACACACAATGTAGACAGAGACAAACAAACATTCTTATTTCGGTCTTACTTTAACTCAATGAGTTTCATTAGTGCTGACACACAATGTTTAATGTGTTGAGAAAGCATTTAATTTACTGCACATTTAAAAGGGAAAATAACAATTAAAATGTATTAAAAAGAATCCCTGGTGCGCAAATACATTTATTTTCTCCAGCTTGTTCTGTGTGACGCACAGACATTTGTGTTTGTAATTAATGATGGGGCAGGGGGCAGCGTCTGGAGTTTTCAAAATAGATTGTAGCTGCTCTTTTCATAATCTGAGCAGCTTGACTTTGACTGTAAAAAAAAACTGCACTGACTGCATATTTTAATTGGTTAAAATGGGGGCGGGGGTCCCAAAGACACATATCAGGACACACACTAACTACAATTGTTCACCACATATGTTGAAACACACAGACATAAATAGGCTATACAGATCTTTACATGATACAACATGTCCATGTCTTTCTGTGGATATAAGACATACCAACTTTAGATTACAGTAGAAAACTCATGAATGTTCAACAGAAACACAGAGCACACAGGCACCATCAACTGATGCCATATCATAGTGTCAAAATAAAATGGGTCATGCTGCTTTTTCTGTTGTGTGCACAATTTAAGAAAGCAGCAATATTTTGGGGAACTTCAGTTATTCGGGGAAGGCTTTTGCTGAGTGGACATGTGACAAATGTGTCTCCATGTGCCTCCACATGCCTCTTGTTCCCAAGTGGACAGAGGTACTTTTTTTTGCACCTGAGCCCCAGGAAACATCATGTTTCACAACAAGGTAATTTTCATCATCACTAATTGCTGTCTTGTTTCTAGAATTATCTAAGTGCCACTAGAAGCTTGTGCTCAGACATCTGACATCATTAGGACTAGGAGACGCCAACACATAACATCCAGATTTGTACTTCCATAGCTCTCCATAGAAAGTGACATCTCTTGTGTTACTCTTCCCAACTGCTACAGCCAATTAGATTTTGCCAGTCTATCTAGTTAAACATGTCTAAATAAATAAATAAATAAATAAAGGTATGATATACTGAATGACCTTCTCACAATAGAGGACATGAAGATGTCAAACACCATCAGAATCTCTCTGAAACCAATCAGAAATCCAAAAAGTATGTCACTGTAAACCTGCTGTAGTGTAGCCTACTGCTGACTATATGGTGCCTCAATAATGCTCATATAGTCATTGTCGCCAGGAAGTGCCAACACGTAAGACCTTACCTGCTGCAGCGTCACATCAGACAAGGTGTGACAGAACTGCGCCTGCATAACTCCTCCAAACAAGCTCTGACCTTAAACCACTTCATTCTGCAATGTTTCAACTGGGACTCGCAGCCTACACTGGTAGTCAATCGTCGGTTTTCAGCGACTTCATTATTATACTTTGCTTTTTATCTATTGTGGTTTCGTTGATGTTCCTATAGGGTCCCTTTAAAAATAATTCATTGATTAGTGTGATATTTGGTAAACCCCTAATTAATCACTGACATACACGCAGAGCGCCTGGTCAAACCGCCTCTCTCCAAGGAGAAATAAAACCCAGAGACGACAACAACAATGACTGGCGCAGCGCTGCATCCGTCATCCGCAATGGGAGATCAGAGTCCATCATTCGCACCGAATCAAACACACATGCACACGATTTTATTACAAGCGACTGGTGCAAAGCATGACAGAGACACCGTCTGAAATGAACATGTCTACAGCATGCACCGATGAAAACCGGGCTTCTGATCCCTCTCTCTCTTATTGGCATCTCCCATACGTCTCCCAGTGATGGCTGCACTCTTTAACTAGGACACTGTTACGGGATATAACCTTATAATATAATCCAAGGATAACTAGTCCGGATTTAACTGCAACTAAGTGCCTTTAGGAATATTGCAAAACAGTAGGCAAATAACATAATATAATAAAGGTGCGACAAAATCACTCTGAGCAGAATATAAAGTAGGGTAGACAGGATAAGTCTCTGTAGACATATTGCATGGAGCTTTCACTAAGGGTGCATTTCTGCAAAATTTTAACAGTAAGCCTTACCTTATAGGAATCTACGTCTATCTGACGTCGCCGGCACGGTCCAGCGCTTGCTGATCAGGTTGCAAGTTACAATCACAGAGAGAAAAGATACTGCCGATCATGTGTTGGTAGTCCAATGTCAAACCCTCCGGAGCTGCCCCTGATTGCTGTGCAGTTTCAGAGCTTCCTCCGTTTTCTAGTCACGCACACCTGAGTCTCTCTCCGAACACCTCTCTCCTTCATCCCACCCCTTTTCCTCTCCTCTGCCCCCCCCCCCCGACACATACACACACACCCCCAACCCCACCTCTGCTACCAGCTCCTATTTCCCCTCTCCAAAATGTACCTCTCTCCAATTTTACTTAACCTTTTACTTAACCCCCCACCTTTTCATTTCACATCCACTTCTTTTCTCTTTTCTTGTATTTGACTGTTGAGTTAAGCTCTGGAGAATGTGCCTTTAAACAGGTCATGCGATTTGTTTTTTGAACATTTCTTTCGCCTCGTCTATCTTGCCTTAATCCCCTGTCCTTCCTCTTTCTACCTGATGTGGTGAGAAGTGAGGAAAAACTATAAAACCTTGCTCGAAAGAATAGACAAGCTAGCAGCTGGTGTGCAGCTTAATACAATTTAGACGTGACACCTGTGCGGCGCGATTCAGCCAATCTGAGCTGAGGATCGGTTTCTCGTCACCTTCGCTCCCATTCTCTCTAATGTAAATACGATTTACTGTCATGACCATAATTGTATGGTATTGTCAAAGCGTTCCGTAGGACTGGGGTGCCTATATTAAATCACGCCAGCGGAGGGAACAGGCAGATGGAAACATAGCCTAATCTACAAAGAAAAGAAACACAGCGACAAAAACTGTGCAGTGTGATGGTCAAACCGAGATCATTGATTTTTGTGATTGCTGGTGATCTGTCTTTGCCTGCTTGTTTCTGCCTCGCTACACATGTTTTTTGTTTTCATCACCCATCTCGACTGTCTCTGTTCTCTGTTGGTCCCTTTGTCTTTTACTTAGCCTACAATAAATCCTGCACTTACAATTTTCAATTTAAATAAGCCTTTTGGTAGATGGACGCAAAGCCGTATTCATTGCAAAGGCTGCTACATTTCTCCATGCTGCATGAATGGCCTCATGTGTAGCATGAAGGTGGTGTCTGTATCTACTGTATCTCCCCTGTCTGATCAAATAGACATCAGAGGTGACACTCGGCTGGGATAACGATGCAGCGGAGGAGATCGATAACATTTGAAGTGTCATAGTGGTCACAGGAGTAAAGAGCCATTAATCCGGGCCTATACAGCTCGCCTGGCGTCCAACTTAAAGACCCACGGAAATCAAATCAATAAAGAAAGAAAAAAATCAATACAAATCTAATGGAAACATCCTTCTCCCCCTGCGAACGTCTGCAGCCTTATAACACTGACACTAACTGCCATTACCAGCACTGACTGGCTAGGTTTTTCACTAAAATAGACCTGTTTGTTTGTCTTTTATGACAAGACAACTTTTAATTTGTATGAAATATATTTTTAAAAAATTATTATATAAAATACCGTTTTACAATTATTTTTATTTCACTTTAATAAATAATAGAAAACATAATGTTCTTGTGTTTTATTAAGCTTGTATTATTTTATCAATACAGACGCCTGTCAAGATATAAAAGCACAATACAAAAATGGCATGCTATTATGGGTGTATTGTATGATGGAAACCTCTCTTGTGCTTTACTTAGCCTAACTCTGGGGAATTTGTTTGGATATGTGACTCACTCGGATATGAAAGCAATGGGCTAAACAGCATTTCCTTGGGCGGGGGGGGGGGGGACTTTAGTGATAGGCTGCAAAACGTTACATAAAGCTTGCAGTAGAAGAAACTCTAGGACATCAAGGATTTCATACGTGCTGTTAGGTCGCCATCAGCTCTCCCAAAGACCCAGGTTTGCTTCTAGAAATATGTAAAGGAAGCATCTGAGGAAGCGTCCCCCTGTTGTAGTAACTTTGAGGTGCATTCCCATACATGAACTTGGCTGGTGTAAGGAGAATCGGAGCATGCGCAATTGTCTTTACCCTAAAACTACATATTTCCCTTCATGAGATCGAGAGAAGTTAAGAGTCACGTAGCCTACCTTTTTCTTGCAGGACAGTTGAATGCTCCTGGAGAAACACAGCATCCCTCACGCGTCCATCAGAGCATCATGCTGTCAGTGGGTAATCTACTTTTTCACTATGGCAACAGATAAACCCTGTCCTGCCCTCTCTCTCTCTCTTCGTTGCGCCACGAGCTCAAATGAGGAGGCTCCGTTCGCGTCACAGGTCATCCAGTCTCTGTCTCTCTCTCTCGAAGTCACACCTACCTCCAAGATACCATCTGGAGATACTGATAGAGAGTAGCCCGAGAGGAAGAACGAGAGATCAAGGGAGACACGGAGAGGGGAGTATGGGATAGAAGGGAGGTTTAGAGCTTGGCTATGACAAGGCTTGGATTAATTTGCCAGCCAAATGCATTTGGGATTAGTAGACCATTAAAAGAGCATAGACACACACACAACTGCACACATTCACACACTGTCTTTCTCACACACACATGCCGCTTTATCTGATGCAGTGATAGCCTTACTAACCCTGACCTCTCTCTCCCTCTCTCTCTCTCTCTCTCTCTCTCTCTGTTTCACTTTTCTGGGTTAGTTTTAACACAAACAAATGGGCCAAAAACACCAGTGCACATGCATACATAAACAAACACAGACTTTCACACACACACACACACACACACACGCACTGGTGCTGGTCAAAATAATGTTTTGTTAAGGTAGTAAACCCAGGTTACATCCCACTTTTAGGTTTCCAAGAGCCTTAAAAAAAAAGAAGAATGAGAGTTAAAATCCCCTAAGCTCAATTACCACCCAGGCAAAGTGGCCAACTGCCACAGGGCCCCAGATCCTCAGGGGGCCCAAATAGGTTGACTTTGTGGCAATTAGCTATCAGTGATTTGAAGTGCCTTGAGGCAACTACTGCAATTTTATTTTACTTTTCTCATTTTGATGTCTTGTAAAGGGGCTATGTGTCAAAGTTAGCTAGCTTTCTTACAGCTTTCTTGATATCATTCTTGCCTGTTGTATTATCTTAAATATATTAGCATAAGCATTTGTTAATGCTCACAATCTCACAAGAACATTGGCGTCTCAAACACAGAAAAAAAAAAATTCATCACATAAAAAATACCAAAAGAAGCACTCAACAGTGTACTTATTTTTTTTAAAGTGGTTAAAAATAAAGGTTAAAACATTGGGGACTCAAAACTGGCCCACAGCTCACTTTTGGCCACAGGTCCTAGTGGGCCAATCCAGTCCTGAAATTGCCAAGAACAAAAAGTTACAGCACATGTACGATCAGGTAAATTTTCATTGTGAGCTAATTTAAGCTGGTTAGGATATGCTGAGAGTGTGCTGTCACGCCAACTTTGGAGGATCCAGTCTCTGAATTAAGATGCAGCATAATCCTTCATCTGCTCATTGATAAAGTTGTCTATCGATGTGTCTCCGTCAACATATAAATGGATCCTTGTACACAATATTAAGAATTTCCTTGATCAAACACACAGACATCAACAATGCTTAGAGACATTGTGTTCTTGATTTTCAGAGCAGTGTAAGACGGATGAAATAACAGAATCATCTGGAGTCATATTTCCATCAAAATCAACAACAATCAGCCAATTGATCAGTTTTCGATCAATTTCTCTCATTTGATGCTAGTGAAACTGTCTCTCTCACACAAACACAAACACACACATTTAACACTTTAATCACTGAAAAGGACACATGAAACTTCATTGATGCAAATTTGGATCAATAAGTGAATGAATATTGAAACATTCATAGAGCAGAGTGTGTCTAAACATGGAGAATTGGATTGAAAGGTATGGTAGATGAAAATAATCATGTTTGTGTGTAATCTGACACTGTTAAGCAGAGTGTGTGGGCTACAGTGGAGCACATCACATAGCGACAGGTCCCCTGGTTGGAAGAAAATAAGATTAAAATGACAAAGCAACCGCTACAAGGACCCCATATAAAACATACCTGTCTGTGTGTTTGTGTATAACTGGTGTGTAACTATGTACAAGTGTGCAGCACATGTCTATAAACATCTATAGGGTAAAATTATCTTTTTACCACACTCCTATGCAAATCACAAGCATAACAGAGTCAGTGTCACAGTAGGCAAATCAATTATTCAATGGCATTTCAAAATAACAGTTGATACCCATGGTTACCATAGACACATAGCTGATTTCCAGGGTTGTCACTTGGCTGTGATATTCCCACACTAAGTAGGACAAATACAGGAAAAAAATACTACCACATGATGCCAAAAGAGAAACGAGAACGTCAGTTACGAAACATTCACTTTGTACGAAGCGTTGTATAAAAGAACATTGTGGCTCTAATGTCACTTTTTTTTGTTTTACGTGAACTAAACAACAAGATCGTGACATGTGGTGAACATTCACCATGTGGTATTTAATTCCTAATGAGCCTAATTTTCTTGATTGTCTACCTCATGCCATCACCAGGTATTTAAATATTTTCGTGATTTACATTTAGGCCAGACAGTATGCCTAACATGTCACAAATACAAATTGCATGTGAGGTTTTGACACAGGAGGCAGATCTGTCCACCTACTTTAACGGTATGCAATTTGTGTTGAATCTAGTTGAAACACACTGTAATCAAGTAAAAAAAACCTTACCCCATTGGCAGATTTATACCTAATTCTAAAATGATTGCGTGGGAAAAAAACACATGACTAGCCCTCAAAAGAGAAGTCCACTGATACAGATGTGGGTTTAGTATGTAATCTAACATAACGCTGGGTTTATTTGTCACATTTTATGCAGAGAAAGGCAAATTCAAAGCATTTTTAAAAAAGGGAATATGTCCTCAGTTCCTCCACACAGGGTGTTCCACAGTCTGGGTGCACACGAACTAAAAGCAGCCGCAGTGTCGACGTTAACTGTCAGCCCGGGTTGACAAGCTGTCACAGTGTCTCTGACTACCAGGACGCCCCGATAACAGGGACAACACAGACTGGGGATGCCGCAGACGAATGTGAATTTCTTCCTGCAGAAATGAAAAAACTAAATTCTCAAAGTCCCAGTGAAAAGGGAGCCACTCCTAAAATATGTATTTATCTTAGCTGCAACTAATGTTTTGTTCCATCGTCAACCGCTTATCCTGTGTACAGGGTTGCGGGGTGGCTGGAGCCAATCTCAGCTGACATCGGGCTAAAGGTGGACTAAACCCTGGAAAGGTCGGCAGTCGATTAATCTGGTTATTTTTCTCAATTGATCAATTAACCGTTTGGTCTAAAGAATATCACCAAAAATGCCTATCACATTATTTCCAGAGCCAGATGTTTGTTGTCTTGTTTTGTCTGATCAGCAGTTGAAACCCCAAATATACTCAATTTACTGTCACAGAAGACTAAGAGATCCAAAAATGTAAATGCTCTATAGTCTTAGTCTTAGACTTTCAACCACTCAAAGTGCTGCTAGTGTAGCAGCACTTTGAGTGATCCTCCGATTAGGGGACAACCTGTTCTACCTCCCAAGCCAGAAAATATCCAGAAATTTAAATATCTGCAAAATATTCACATTTGAAAAAATAGTTGCAGATAGATTTTCTGCCAATCAACTAATTAATTAATCTAAAAGCTTAGTACTAAAAGTATTTAGTTTAGTATTTAGTACTAAAAGCTCTACCTCGCTTTCTGTCTAGATGCAGGTGAGGAGCCACAGAGTCACAAATCAGGAGGTCATAACCTTCATACCATATCTCTGATTCCGAGACCCCCCCCCACACACACACACAGACACACACACACACACATACACAGCAGGGCACATTTTATTTCCTCCAGTGCACACACACACTCATGATCAACACTTACATAGAGTTAAACGACACTTTTCTCCTTTCATCACTCCTGTGAGCCAGCTGTTGCCCTGTTTTTCATAGAATACAAAACTGGTTATGTGCAGCTCCACCTGTTTTCAAGATTGGACTGAAAAGCTGATTTTCAGATTTTCTAGCTAAGAGACAAAATTATCTCCTCGGGCAGCAAGGTGCAAATTATGTCTCTCTCTGGTAGTAGAATTATCTTTCATCTGTGCAGGGCAGTGGAGAGGATTTCAATATGAATAAGCTTTCTGAAATGTAAAACAAGTAAAATAATGATAAGAAACACCACAGGCTGGTCACATCATCAGTATTCTCCTTTCTCTCCTGTCTCATTACAAGCGATGAGGAAACGCTTACCTGTTTGTAGTAACCATGCTGTGGTAGGCAGTAGCCCTGTTGTTGTTCTGTTTCAGGCAATAAACAGGCGATGCTGCCCTCTTGTGTCTGGCTGGGACAAAAAGAAGACGTGATTAATGAGAAAGTCGCGATCAAGCATCCAGGCATCATTCCGATGATGTCACATGGTTGTAGAAATATTCAGGGGTTACTCGGGTAAACTGCTGTTAAGAGCTTTACATGAGGTACAATTCTCAGTAATTTCAAAGAAAAAGCCCTTTCTCTCTCTCTCACACACACACACACACTGTCTGCCGAGGAGCCCTGTGGGCAGGTTCATCCTGTGATGGTCATTACTGTGCGCTCCATTGCGTTCCTGCGGCGGGATAAGCTGCACCCCGTGCCTGGCTACAGCAGCATGTGACCGGCTTGTGATCCCCAGGTTTGAGCATATGACTTTCTGCCCTGAGCCCGACTGTACCGGGCTGCAGAACTTACGGAGGGAAAGCCCATATGGGGGGGTGAAACTCTCTCTCTCTCTCTCTTTTGAAGCCTAATGTGTAATAAAGGTGTTGCATTGATAACATATCTATATATATATTTGATATATATATATTTGATATAATCTTATGAGTACACACAAGCCACAACAAGGATTCGTTGATGTTTTATATCAAAGGTTCCTCATGTTGTCCATTTTGTTTATTTCATTGTTCTGCTTAGAGTGATTTTACCCCAGCATTTGATTATTTTGATGACAATATTTTACTAGAAAATATGTTTGCTGAGGCTAGATGAACAGTCCATTAAATTGTTAGGAGTATTTGACTGAACTCAGGCAGGAGTTTCCAATGGTTCCCAATCAAGTGCTCTAGGTGTCCCGCAACCTGCTGATTAGACTATTTTATATGCTATAGGTTAACCTGTCCATTGCAAATCTAAAGTCTGCTTTTGACCATTCGGTTGGACGGTCCTCCATAACTGAAGTGCATCATTATGAACAGTACTTACAATGTCAGGTCACGGGATATTTTAACAATGGCTGTGACACATGTTTAAACTGAGCTTGGAAAAACTTATTTCACATACTCATTGCTCCCCACAAATTGAATCAGCTGCAAAAAACTTTCTTTTGCTTGAGGATTTTTAAAGACTGAACTCAGGTATTTGCATTTCGTCATGTAACGTGTGTGTGTCAATTTCTGTGGCTGTCCATACCTAAACTGTATATTTATTCTGGTACACAGGTCTTGCTTGAATCATGATCAAATCATGATCACAATGAGACTACCTGTTTGATTTTATTTTTGAAAGATTAAATAAAATGGAAGACACCAACTCTTCACTACATTAGAGATGCAAGACGCTCAAAAACTTTAAAGGCAGAAATTTGGTTTGTGCAATCATCAACAGCCTGGCCAATAATCGTCACATTCAAACTTTCAGATTGCTGAATCCAAGTGGAAATGTGTTTTTTCACCTTTATCCAAAAATGTCTCGAACGTTTTGCCTGAATGATGATTTAACTTAACAGACAGTAATTTAATATGTTTAACATGTTGCCCAGGCTACTAAATCCTACCACTGTTTCATCATCAGATGAAAGAGAGTCAACAAGATGCATGCTGTTAGCACCCCAATTCAGTTGTTTTCCCCACCCTTCCTGCAAAGTACTGATGAAGCAGACCTAACGAATACATCAACACTCATTTCAACCAGAGGAGAAACTAATGGAAAGTCCTGACCATACTGAAAATTCGCAGACCTTAAGGTCTCTGTGGCACAAGACCCGATTCTCATTCATTTCTCATTCATTTATCTGCTGTTTCCTTTCCAACTCTCACTTTTTCTCACAGTACATCAACTGCACACTTGATCATGCATAAATTCCGGGGCAGTCTTTGCCAAGTGTGGTGCGCACTCACACTCACACACACACACACACACACACTTTTCTGCCTGAGGTGTAGTGCAGCAGAGGTCAGCTGGTCTCAAGACAAACTGAAAGAGGAATCATGAATATTATCCTGAGCATGTGATGGCCTGTTAGTGCGTACGCTTGAGTGAGTGTGTGTGTGCACCTTACCGAGTGCGCAAGATCACAGTGAGATCACACACTTTGGGACGGCCCCTAAAAAGGCTCAGTGAGTAGGGGGATAACTGTGGACTATTGGCTGTGTGTAAAACGAGGTGGAAGGAGATTTGGTAGAGGGTTGGATGGAAGCTTAGAGGAATAGCAAGTTCCAAGATCCTGCAAGCTGCATTGTTTTTTAAAGTAACTTAATAGTTGGTTACTTGTGTAAATTTAAGTTCCATAAAGAGTGTGTTGTTTTTCATTTACAAGTCTACTGCAGAAGCCATCTGTAGATCAAATTTGATTGAATGTGCAACCCTGTGTTTCCCTGCATGTAGCCTGCTATCTAGAAGTAACTTTTAGGCAGTGAATCTCCTCCTCTGTGCTCCTCACCTTGGCATCAGGTTCTGTTGTGTCCCTCTTTTCAGCAGGAGTTCACATTCCTACCGTGGGGAAGACTGGAGTTGCTGGCTTTTCATCATGAGGAGCCTGTATGCATCTGTATTTCTGCTGCAGCTCATTTGGACTTGCTTATGTCAATTCCCTCGCCCATGTGCCAACTCAGAAGGACTAAGGACCAAAGAGTGTTGCCCGGTGTGGGATGGGGACGGCTCAGCTTGCGGTGCCCTGTCAGGCCGTGGTTTCTGCACCGAGGTGGAGGTCTCAGATGAGCCCCATGGGCCCCAGTACCCCCACAGAGGTATAGATGACAGAGAGCGCTGGCCTTTAGCTTTCTTCAACCGGACTTGTCGTTGTGCTGGAAACTATGGAGGTTTTAACTGTGGAGAATGCAGGTTTGGTTACTGGGGATCAAACTGTGCTGAGTACAGGGAATCAGTGCGAAGGAACCTCCAGACCCTGCCAGCTGCGGAGCAACAGAAGTTTATCTCTTATCTGAACCTGGCCAAGAACACCATCAGTCGTGACTATGTGATCTCCACAGCAGTACGAGCAGAGATGGGTGAAAATGGTGAGAACCCCATGTTCTCTGACATCAACACCTACGACCTGTTTGTCTGGATGCACTACTATTCGTCCAGGGACGCCTTCTTGGGAGGACCAGGGAACGTATGGAGGGACATTGACTTTGCCCATGAATCTGCAGCATTTCTGCCATGGCACCGAGTTTTCCTGCTTTTCTGGGAGAATGAGATAAGGAAGCTGACGGGAGATTTTAACTTCACCATCCCCTACTGGGACTGGAGGGATGCCCAGTCATGCGAGGTGTGCACTGATGCTCTGTTGGGTGGACGCAGCCCCCTAAATCCTAACCTCATAAGCCCTGCTTCAGTCTTCTCCTCATGGAAGGTAAGAAAATGTCATTATGTCTCTCTGACTCTGAGTGTGTGTGTATCAGTGTAAGTGCCCATGTCTGAGTATGTGTAGATGTATGAGCAAATCTTTCTTGTCCATTATTAAAAGATGGAAAATTCCTTTCCCTGACAAACAAACAAAGCCTTGTTGTATTTCCATTTTACTCTGCAGGCCTGTTGTTCTAAAGCTGGTTTAGCCTCTTAATCCAAAGAAATGAGAGATTTGGTTGGAAACACACAATTATTTAAGAATTCATCCTCAACTGATCCAGCCCAGTGAAAGTCCTTCCTTCCTACTTATTGCAGAGGCTTTGTATCCACATCCCAGTAAATGTATCTAAGACGGCAACTTTATTCAGAGAAAATCGCCTGAAATCTTGTTATAGTTTGTATCTTGTACTTCAAACACTTTCTCCTACTGGGTTTAACATCATTCCATTTGTCTTCACCAATATTTATCTGTGCTTACGCTCCAAAAGAAGTAACACACATCTGCCTGTTCAGGGTATATGTACTGTACATGTATGTACATTATGCAAACATCAGATTATAATGTTGTCTACATTTACAGTGTTGCACATTGTCCCTCGTTCACAGTAAATAGATGTTCCTGTATGAGAGCCATTTCACTAAATCCATGATGACAGTACTTCACTGAATGTGTGTGTGTAGGTGATCTGCAGCCAGTCAGAGGAGTACAACATGCGAGAGGTATTGTGTAACGCTACTGGGGAGGGTCCACTGTTGCGTAACCCCGGCAACCATGATCCAAACCGCGTGCCACGAATCCCCACAACAGCTGATGTGGATTTCATTGTGGGCCTCCCCGAGTATGACACAGGACCCATGGACCGATTCGCCAATATGAGCTTTAGAAACACAATAGAGGGTAGGACTGGGCAAGACACACACACACACACACACACACACACACACACATAGAATGTATTACTGAACTTTCATGCTTAACTAATGAATCTGAACCTAATCCTTGGTCTAATCTGTCTAATCGAGTGAATGAGTTTTGACCCATTTAGTTTGTGCAGGGGTTGATATATAATTACGTGTGTGTCTGTGTGTGGACACTTTCACAGAGGAAATAGCACAAATAAAGACAAATACTTAATGTACACCTATTAATAGGTACACGAGCAAAAAAAAAAAGTGCACCCATGAAATTAAATCACCCCACTAAACACGCCAATTTCAATCTTTCATATGGGACTGAGTAATACATTTTTCTAGGTTCATAAAATGTGTTTTACTTTATCGATATCTTGTTGCTTGAGTCTAATGTTTTTGTCCACATTAGTGTCTAACTCATAGTTACCTTGAAGCATTTTCCACAAGCTTCACGTCTCAAAAAGAGCCAGCTCTACTTTAAATGACTGCTTCCACAGTCGGGGGCCTTCAGCTGGTCTTAAGCTCAATAAGTCCCTTGCTTGTCAGCATGCTAGACATCATCCATCTCAGATATATCAAAAGCATCTCAACGATGTAAGAAAGAGCACTTGAAACACCAGATGTGAGTACATCCAACCTATTGAACTATTATAACGTCACATATAGGTAAAATTATTCCTTTTTAACACAGTGTCACAAATATCTCTCAGTTTCTTGTTATCTTTCCTCTCATGTCGTTCTACATCCTCCCCTCATCTCCCCTCTGTCTTTCACTTCTCTTCCGTTCTGTAGGTTTTGCCGATCCAGAGACAGGTATGGCAGTGCCAGGCAAGAGCACCATGCACAACTCCTTGCATGTCTTCATGAACGGCTCCATGTCCTCAGTGCAGAGTTCAGCCAACGACCCCATATTCCTGGTGCACCATGCTTTCATTGACAGGTATGATAAACCACAAAAATGGCTCTATCATTGACACACAGGAAAATAGCTTCAGGGTTTATACATGCTGGCTGTCACTTATTCATCTGGACGATTATTTCTGTTTATGGCAAATTCAAGAGTCTCTGGACCCATTTCAAAAAATAACCATTAAAAAAATAACCACAATTGTTGGTTTTTAAAGATGTACAAGTGAAAACTTCTGTTTGTGTTTCTCCTATGGTGATGATGGTGACTATGTCCACCTTTCTGATTTAATATTTCTCCCTTTCTACTTTCTTCCTCCATTTCTTTATATATCTCTATCACCGTCATTTGATTGGTCATTTCCTTTTCATCTTATCTCTCTGTTCATTTATTTTCTTCTCCAGTATCTTTGAGCGCTGGCTCAGGACCCACCAGCCTCTCAAGACAAGCTACCCACAGGCCAATGCACCCATTGGCCATAATGATGGTTACTACATGGTGCCCTTCCTGCCTCTCTACAGAAACGGAGACTACTTCCTGTCCAGCAAAGTTCTAGGATTTGAGTATGCCTACCTTTTGGACCCTGGTCAGTACAGAACAACAAACATGTCCAGTAAATTAGTATTTCTACAACCTTTATGTCAAACTGTCTCATCTTGTGTATCCCCCCTACAGGCCAGAGGTTTGTTCAGGAGTTCCTGACGCCCTACCTCCAGCAGGCCCAGCAGATCTGGCAGTGGCTCCTGGGAGCCGGGATCCTCGGGGCGCTGATCGCTGCACTCGTTGCTGTGCTGCTTATTGTTGCAAGAAGAAAGTGGAAACGTAGCCAGAGGAAAAAGAGGGTGTCAAGCTACGGAGAGAGTCAGCCACTGCTGCAAAGCAGCTCAGAGGAAGGTTCATCTTCATATCAGACAACTCTGTAACACACACAGGTGCTGTACATACAGCTGTATATGAATGTACAAATATTAGGGACACGTAGTATTTTCATGAAGCAAATGAATGGGATGAATCTGGGTACAAGACTTCACTTGATACAGATTTCCCACAATAAATCTATTTAAAGTTTCTGTCTAACAGACAGTTGTGTTTGTTATCTTTGCCTCTGAAATCCTCACTGTTGAGACTTTCGCACCTCAATAATAAGGTGAAATGAATTTAATTTGTGGTGGTCATAACATTGAAAAATGCCAGCAACATGTCTTTACAGAAGCACTGTTACAGGTTTCACAGGTTTAGTATTTGAAGCAACAAAATACAAAATTTGTATTGGGGTTATTTGGGTAGTGACAGAAGACACGATGGTAGATGTCTCAGCAAATAATACTTCCCACTAGCACTGGGAATTAGGTGAATTAAACCTTCAAGGTTTGAGACAATTTAAATGGGATTATGGACAAGGAGCGGGAACCCAACATCAGGGAGATGTCCCTAACATTTTATACATTCATAGATACTTCTAGGAAATATTTTTGCGTGACACACAAACTGATATAATTCCAGAGCCATTAAATGTTCATTATTACAATGCAACACATGTCTGTGTAAAAAAAAAAGATTTAATCACTACACAGAGTAATTTCATGTGGGTATTTGACCTGTGACTCATGTCAGGTTAAAGCATTCACCTCAGAGTACATTCAGTGTCTATTTACACATGCTTCTCAGCAGTCAATGACAGCTGTGTGATGTGGATATTCCTTCCTTGGCCACAATGTTTGACTTTCCTTACTAACCTGAAACACAGATGCATATTTTATTATTATTTCATTTTATGGTACTCTATTTGACTGTGATACTGTTAACAATTCACATACTGTAAGTAAATACTATATGCTTACTAAAGTAAGAGCAGAGTTAAATAAAATTCAACTGAAATAACTATAGCTCAAGGAAAAGTTTGAATGAAAGGAAGTGTTTTAGGTAATTTAGATTCAGGCCAGGTTTGCTGTTCTGCAGCTGTCATGACTGCTAAGATTGTAAAAGTCATATTATTTATGTCCTCACACTGAATAAATCAGTGTCCAAACAAAATTACTTTCTCCCAAGTGACCTCTTTCCCTTCCTTAGTAAATATGCATTCATTCAGAATTTTTCAGAATAACCGAGAACAAAACTGCTTTCTAAGATGTTATTTGAACGTCAAGATTTCTCAGAAAAAGGGTCCCCATGTGAAAAACTACAGTATCCCTCTGTTGTGTATTTGTATTGGTCAAAATTGCCAAGTACGACCATTCACAGATTTCCCTCAGGTTACATATTTGTGTCTATTTGTGTGAAACCTTCCTCTATTAAAAAATCACTGACCAAAACTCCAACTTGTGGTGGCAGAAATAGAAAATCTTTGTTAGTCACGGTCTATACTGCCTGTCTTTATAAAAGGTTTATGTGTCACATTATCACTGATAGGCCTAGAGTTGTTTTTGGTTGTCAGTCATCGTGTTTATGTTTTATGGCTAATCTGAATAACAACCATTAATAGCTTCACAAATTTAGAGATAGCTTAGTCAACAGATTACAGAACTAAAGTAGGTTGAGTTTAATGCAAGTAAACAGACGATGTCGTTTGTCAAAATAACATTGTTTCTTAAGTAGCCTATTAGCTTGACTATAAATTATATATGTGGTGGTGGTGGCGGCACAATGGATAAGACACATGCCTTTGGTGTAAGAGACCTAGGTTCAATCCCCCCACTGTGACCCATCCACCAATGTGTCCTTGAGCTATTGATCTAACTATTTACAGTAATAATGTGTTCTGTGCCCAGATCAGTAATTTTTTTCCCACTTACTATGTGCAAGTAATCATGATATAATAAATAGAATATAGTACTTATTTTAAACTTTTCCTCCTTGTAGAAAAAGGACAACAAGAAAAAAAAAACCCATAAAGAGGCTGATTCTTTGCCAAAATCTGGAGTTTCCAGTTTGGCCATAAAAAAAAAAAAGAAGATAAATGGTAGGAATGCATCAAACTTATTATTGTTATTAATGCAGTGCCGCCATTATCTTCATTTCTTTTTATCAGTAACTTTGTTTTTCTAGAGATATGTAAAAAAAACAAAACAAAAAAAAAACCTCTTATTTTGTGTAGAAATTGACAAAGCCCTGCAGAAGGTTTTCACATAATATAAAATACATTTAAACAATATAAATAAAATAAAAACCTAAAAATACTGGCTTGAGGTGTAGTGTAGTTTTGCTTTGCATAAAAACAGATATTTGATGCACATGCATAAACAGGGGACAGATAAGACAGAAAGAATCAAATTTTCTCTGAGGAGCGGCATTTGCCTTTAGGCTGTCAATGTTCCTTCTTCCTTGAGTTGGACATGCATACACAGTGCTTACCCATCTATAGAAGATAGACTTTGCTCTATATAACCTAAAATGTTTGATTGGTAGAGCTTGCTGGGTGCCAGTTTGGTGTCAAGTAAAGGTTAAGTGAAACATTTCTTAAATGTTTAGATCAAAAACAGTTTGTCTGGTCCCGGCATGATGGTTCAGCTCATATTGAATTCCCTCTTCCCTGTAATACATTATCTTGTTGTGCTTGTGGTCAGACTTTTTTTTCTTCTCACATTAGATGTGAGAAAACAAATTTGCTCCACAGAGGTGTGTCAGGACACATATGAATACCAACAGCTTTGGAAAAACAGAGCATCAGAATCTAAGCAGTGAGCTGGCCAGAGGTTGATTGGATCTGATGATGAAGTTGAAGCTCCTAGAGCCATCCTTTGGGGGTCAGACTGGTCTGTAGAGAGGAACAGGCCTACACATTAAGGTCTGGTCCTGCTGGGCCTTTTTAACCATGGGCAGGATGCATAAGAAATAATAATATAGTCAGTGAAGAGTCAAGAATTTCCATGTCAGTGTCAGTTGTTTGCTTACAGATAGATGTGTATAGAAATACAAGTAGCCAAGAGTAGCCTACAATTATCAGAGAAGTACTTCAAATAAGGAACGTTTGCCAGAAATGTATGAAAATCCATCCATCTCAAAGTTGCTGTTTTTTTCCTCTGATGCCGAACTGTAGAGCCAGCTCTAATGTTCGATCAGCTGAAGGACTCTTTGTTGAATTCAAAGGTTGTTCCAGAGGATCGGGCTGAGTTACACAGTCTGTGGAGAGTTCTGGAGATGCCCTTTGGTCCACAGCAGAAAACCCCAACTTGCTTACTGACACCACAGAGAGAGAGAGAGAGAGAGAGAGAGAGAGAGAGAGAGAGAGAGAGAGAGTTACATTGTGGGATGCAGTCAATACTATGTAATAACACCGGCTTCTTACTCCACCCCTGGACATTCCTACTCTACTCACTGCCTATTGGTCTTCCCAATCTCATCAAACAATAACTTCCACCTGGGTCGACCAACCAGCAGCCTCGAGGCGAGTGGGCGGTACTTCTCCTCAGACATGCTCTGGAAAAGACAGTAGTAAAACATCCCAGTTTTTATTAAACCTGAAATGACTTATTTGTTTTGGCAGCGGAAACTTTGTACGTTCATGTGGCAAACTTGTTAGCAAACAGATGGATGTGTAAACAAATGTAAGACCAATTGTCACTCTCTTTTAGCTCTGGTTTTTTTTGTCTCTACCAACTGTTGACTGGTAGAGACTGCTGTTGGCTGTTAGCTGCTAAATGCTCCACTATGTTCACCAGCTAGTCTCTTACAATGTCAGACAGCTGTTTAGTGCAGAGCAGATAGCATTTTAGATCTTTTTCACTGTTGCCTGCTGCAGCTGAAAATGTGGTTGGTGAGGGGAAACCAAACAGTAACGTTGTGAGCCAGCCAGCTAAACAATGAGCTGAAACTGACTATAAAGCTCCGTACAGCTGAGGGGATGTGCATCTGTGGTGGTCAATATATGAGATATTATTTCATATCTACTTTATTCGAGACATCTAACCAATGTAGCAGCAGATTGCACTTTTCATATAGAGCAGGTCTAGACATACTCTTTGTAAAATTATTTACAGAGACCCAATCATTCCCACTTTGAGCAAGCACTTGGCAACAACAGCAAGGGGAAAATACCCTTTAACAGGTAGATATCTATCTATATCTATAATACCAGATATCTATCTATATCTATAATACCAGATATCTATCTATATCTATAATACTATCTATAAAGTAAAAGCTTCCAGTCTGTCATGACAAAAGGTTCTCCATCTTCGTCAGCCTCCAATTCCTCCCCCTTATCTTGCTTTCCCTTGCTAACCAACATATTGAAGCAGCTTGTGCTCTCTTTAGTTTGAGGGCCATTAAATGTTATCTACAGTGCAAAGCAAATTCAGGGACAGACCAGTGGAATTAAGTGAAAATACTGAGCTGCATCGGTTGTTTCAGCAAGTAAGCTACTGATATATTGAACCTCATCACAGCTTAAAATCAAGCTATTTCCCACAGGAAACATTATTGCCTACAAATACAATTTTATCCTTTATATTATTTATTTGATCATTTATAGCATTGTGTTTCTAAAGTTACTTATTTAGTCAATATTTTCATCAATACTTTGTGACTGACAACCCTATAAATTCACTTCATCTCAAGTCATTTCCATAGGACATAGTACTGAGACAAAGGTCAGGCAAATCATCATTTCACTGTCTTTTTATGGTCAGCCAGTTAATCACGAGTCCCACGTTGATCCATTTTCACAGAGCAACTCTGACACGGGTCAGGGTTTTTCTGTAGAGGGGTAAGGCAACACCTGCCTTAACAAGAGCCTGTCTTACAATAAAGCTGGAATCCTCCTACATCAGGAACATGAAAATACATAAAAAATATTGACAAAATAACAAATACTCCACGGCGTGCTTAGCAGATGGTTTTACAGCTTCATGTACACACCAGTGAACCAACAACAAACTCTGAAAAGTGCCACTGTCCCCGTCAGGAAATGACAGGCGGGGATACTCACCACTATCCTAACGAGGAGCAGTTACCAAAAAATAAACGGCCAAAAAAAATACACATAGAGAGAGAGTTTGATCTCAAGGATATTAGTCATTTTATAAACAATAGACTAAATACTAGCAGCTATTTACAGTGCGATTAAAGATATGCCCTTAGTAAGCATTTCTGTCACGGTGAGGTAAATATCTTCATTCTTCATCTGTCTTGAAATACAGTCATCCTTGTACAGATAAATAGTTTGCAGAAGTAAAAACTGTTGTATAGTTTCATTCATGGTCTCGAACAGTTGTATATTATAAATGTATTGAAATATATTTCAGAGTACAGAGGAGCTCTCTCTGTAATATACTGCCCTCTAGTGGGTCAGGTTTTTAAAGACAATGGATCAACGAAGACATGGAGAAGGGTCCGGCTGCGGACTGTGACTTAAAGGGCGTGGCGTGAGCGTGGGTCTCGGTGTAGGTCAAAGTTCATCAGACTACAGAAGGCAGGATTTGAAGTAGAAGATGGTAACAAAATAATGGCGCAGCAGAAGCAGCAGGTAGGTAACCACAGCTCAGTGCAGCAAAATATGAACTTATGATATTAACAGACAAATACGTAAAACAAAATGTTTAATAAAAGTTATTAATTTCAGCTTTTTAACATTGTTAATCTAAATAATCATATAATGTTTAGTTTTGTGTTTTTATTAAGATCCTTACCTACATTTTTTTATTGTTCTGTGTTTTCTTTTAAATCTTTATTGTATTGTGGTATTTTATTCTGTTTTACTCATTTTATATGTAACATTTGTGGACATCCTCAATAAACAGATGTACCAATCATGCTGGTTGTGTTATTGTCTTTGGTTTTCTATAATAGGACCCTCTTGAAAATGAGATGATGCATCTCAAGAGGCAATCCTTTAATAATAATAAATTTTTTTAGAGCTTTAAAAATGTTTATGTTTATGTAATATAAATGGAAGTTAATATTAATATCTTTTAATGTTAATAGTACTATTGAAAAGAAAAAGTAATTAATATTGCACTACTTAGCACACTACACTTTTCTTCTGCTGAAGCCATCCTGTTGTTGATTACACTTCCCTGTGTATTTGTATAATATTGTGTTGTAAATGAAGTCTTTCTTTAAATCACGGGCTTCTGTCAACTCAGAACTACAATGTCCACACATGCGTGGTACAAATTGGGTGGGAATAAGTACGCGCATGTGCAGAACAGACCATACAGAAAGGTGCGACGGCTACAGCCAATCATTACAGACTGTACCGCGAGGGGGCGTGGCGTGGTGTGAGCATGAGCGGTGCTACCGTCCGCAGCCGGACCACATTGAAGACATGAATGGGTGGACATCCAATGAAAGATGAAACATTAGATTGTGTGTGCATGTGTGTCACACCTACCTGCAGGTTGTCTGTCTGACTGACGTACAGTTTCAGATTAAAGTAGTCGGGTCTGTTTTCCTGCCAAAGCTAAATGACAAACAGAAATGGAAATTTCAGTGCTTTGTAGTGCTGTGATGAATTTAATCAAATTCAACAAAGCGAAATTTATGATGAATGCAACATTTATTCTGAACAGTAGGTTTCTTTGAAATACAAGAGGTAAAATTAATAACAGCCACAAGATGGCGATAAATACAATTAACCTGAAACTGATAATAGTCTGTTTGTCCAGGTCCTGACATTTCATTGCTCTCATTCAACTTAAATCTCTGCAAAAACCTAAATTGTTCAATTGGCTCCCTAGGGCATGTATCCCCTGCTCTGCCGACTGTTTCATAATGCCTATAAAGATGTTCTTTGCAAAAACACACGCACAAAAAAACAAACCAGTGACAGTAAACTTGGAATTGGAGCTATGCAGCGGTTGATACCATTACCACGTAACTGTTTTTATTTGATCAATCTATATTTCTACACAAACTCTGCTTTAGTGTGATGAGACTTTAAAAGCACAGGTGCCACAGTAATAACTCCTCTGCTCATCTGCAGTCATTTATGCTTTCAACCTCTGACCTTCTTCCCCTTAACACCCCAAAAACTTTCTTTGATCTGACTGACAGCACACAGGGTGGAAATCCCCAACAGCCTGTGGCTAGTGGACTATCTTAATTGATAAAACGGCACATTTTCTGAATGATCCGTAAAAGCAGGGGCAAGCACAGACAATTTGAGGGGCAGTGGCTCAGTTCAAAAAAGCCAAATTACTACTTAAGTCCTTTCAGAAAGGGAATCTTTCCCAATGCTGACATTCAAGGTATCATAAACACTGGATGCTGGTCAAGCAACTACCAAACTTATTAAAGTAAATTAAATATTATGAACCATAGCTGAATTCCCTGATGTTTTAGTTATATAACCTTGTCCTGACCTTGTGATACACAGCACACAGCAGCTCAGCAAACCAGTAGAAGGACTGGAGCTCCCTGCAGACCCACACAAAATACAACCTCTGCAACCTGAAACCCGTCCAGCCGTCACTGGATGTATAGCAGGAAGAAAGAAAGAAAGAAACATACAAATCCTCAATGCTCAAATTGTTCATCATTTGTCATTTTTGAATTTTTTCTCATTACTCACAGCAGAGCATGCAGCACACAGGCGAACGGTGTGACTCCGATTCCACCCGCAACACAAAGACTAACGTCATAGTTAAATACTTCCTCTGATGGACTTCCAAAGGGACCATCCACGTAAAGCCTGAACATACAATGCAAACAAAAATACAAAAGATTATTAACCAATTAACCAAGAAATATACACACATATTTATACTTTCCACTCAGGGTCAAGCAAATATAAGCAGATAAACATCCTGCACAGAAAATCCCACAGTCTGGGAGCAGCGTGTGTGTGTGTGTGTGTGTGTGTGTGTGTGTGTGTGACAGTAATCCCCCGAACACACACAGCCATCATCTCTACAACAGCTGCTCAAACACTTGTGTCATTAAGAAATCACACACACAGATACAAAATCGCCAAGCACAGTCAAACCTTTCTCTGCATTAAGGAAGTTCACCCAAACAAACTCAGGCAGTCCCAGACATGAAATTTAAAACTCAGCCCAGAAAACACTTGGTAACGCTACGGCATCCTTTACACGCCCCAACACTCACCACCAGGTGAGGCTTGGCTCAGCATTACTGTCACATAATCACAAGCACTGTGATCTCAGTAACACTTCTGTAAACTTTTATTCATGTCCAAAAACTTTGTGGAAAAAGTTCAATCATCATTGAAAAGTCATTTTTTTCACTTTTGATGTAGCTTGGCAAGCAGGTTACTCATTTTCAGTGTTTGTGCTAAGCTAGGTCAAACACGTTTTGAACTTATTTCCATACTGAACACACAGAGATGAAACTGGTATCAATGTTGCAGATATTGCATATTTTCGAAAATGTTTCCTTGGAAACAAAATAAAAGCATTTTGGGGTGGTTAAGTGTGGAGAAATACCACCTACACTAGTCTTATACATTTATAAAAATAAAGATGTCGTAAATAGGCAGTACTTTCAACTGCTTTTATTGATTATCTTGATTTGTTTAAATTGCACAAATTATCCTGATTTGTGCTATTTAGTATTAGCGACTCTAATCTTAATTTTTTTTAAATATGCATGTACCCTGGTTGCAGTATACCAGTAACTGGAAATTAACCCTAACCCTTCTAATAACCATTATTGGGAATTGTTGTACAATGGGGGGCTAGATGGTTTGGTTAGCTCTGGTTTACTGTCACAAAACAAACTCTCGTTGCCTTGAACCCAACATCTCCCTTCATCTCTCACCTATCTCTCTCTCACACAGAGCAGGAAGAGCACAGAGTCAGAGGTCAGGAGGTTTAAAAACCTCTAACCCCTCTGTGATTCTTAGCCTTCATGAGAAATCAAGTCAGCCACATCACACACACACCCACAAACACAGAAACGTACTTGGGGTATCTCCTCTGATGCACCATGGGAAGGATCTCCAAGTCTATCCTTGGTTCAGGAAGTAACAGCTGTGTGAACCGCTCTGAGGAGAGGAGAGGAGAGGAGAACAGCTTTGTAATTTCACATTATTTTATACACTGATCTAACTCTAAGAATGGACAGGTCATAAAGATGTGAATGCAAACACCTGTGCATATATTGTCATATTGAGAGGTGTCCATACATTCCAATTCAATGTTTCCCATTGTTTCCATACAACATGTGGTCATGGCACATTAAGGGGCCAACACAAACAAACCGACTTCTCTTCCTGTGTCCTGAAAGCATGTGCGCGTGTACAGTAGGAACTGGAAATGAGTGTACATGTTCTTGCAGGCTCCCAAAGGCCACAGCTTCCTCTAGAAGGGAGTCACATTTTTTGGGAAATCTTTCTCTGACATACTGTATGTGCATATAAAGTGTTTGTGCCTTTAACACAGTTCGCCATGTTTTTCCGTCAAAAACATCCAAAAAACATCTACTGATTCCATCCAGTTTTCTAACTTTTCCATTTAGCTGAAACCCAAAAGCAGCACTATATGTTAATAAACTGTGTACTGTGTGTTTTACTGTATTTGTTTATTTGATAGGGACAGAGCATGTTAATGAACATCAGTATAAAAATACAAGATGTAAACATGCTAGAGTTTAGCAAGAAAGCAAATTCACACCCATAGTCCCAAGGCCCTATGTTTATGTGTGTGTGCACACATAATACAGTTTTCCAATCAGACAATAAAACTGTGGGAACCAATGATATCCTCAAGGTAAAGAAGAAGTCACACGCACATACACAAGAAAAGAATACAAATTTACACAAATGAGACGGAATGGGAGTTTTTAGGAAATGTATCCTCCCCAGAGAAGAGAGGGAATGAAGAGGACAAAACAAAATTACCTCCGTCCTGTCAACTCTGATAAAGAGCAGAAAGCGTGTGTCCTTTTATCTGTGTATATTTGCACATGTAAGGCTGTGTAAGTACCCTTTTGTGTGTGTGTGTGTGTGTGTGTGTGTGTGTGTGTGTGTGTGTGTGTGTGTGTGGTGTGTGTTTGTGTGTGAGCACCCACCAGTCCAGTCTCCCAAAACTCTGAGATGGATGCCAAAAGTTTCCTTGTTCTCTGTGGGACACTGCGAGGAGTTAGAGAGCAGACAGTGAGTCACACACCCACACACAGAGCAGACATACACACATACACACACTCTCAGTTGTTGTACACACACTCACAAACATGTACAGCTAACACAAAGACACTGACACACACACAACCCAGTGCACATATACAGTACATAGCTAAACACACACACACACACACACACACAGCCTTCCTGTTGGCAGACGCCTTTATTAGCCTCAGGGGTCTGTCTGCTCTCTGTCAGTGTGATTCACTGCCGTCCTCCTCAAAGCTCCGTAACACACTACGCACAGGCATGCACATAATGTAGCATGTGAGTCTCAGTGAGGAAGTGTGTGTGTGTGTGTGTGTGTGTGTGTGTGTGTGTGTGCATGTGTGTCCATATCTATATGCTGTCTAAGCAGAAAGTTTTTTCTTTGTCTTCTCCTTCTGTCTCTACACTAGATCTGACAACATCATGTATAGACGTGTGTGTGTGTGTGTATTTGCATTGTGTCATGAGTGACAAATGTGTTGCAGGAAGTCTTACTGTTGTTAGCGTGAAGGGATGGTTCTCAAATGAAGAGACACCTGGACAGTTCAGAACAACATACTGAGAAAGAAAAGGACGAGGAGAGATGGAGAGACAGCAGGATGACAGAGGGAAAGAGGGGAAGAAAGAGATTAGAGCGGGGGCATGTGGAGAGAAAAAAGGGGGAGAAACAACAGTGCAAGCATCAGATGAACCTTTTAACTAAAGAAACAAACCATCTTCACTTACTGCAGTGGATTTTATATTCTCCTTGAACATCATATGATAATAAAAATTAAGTGCACAAAAACAAAATGTTTGGCGATTAAGGCATGTTGTGTCTTCTTACTTGTCCAGGACGAGCTTTGAAGTGCTTCTTCAGCATGCGCAACTCGATGACTTCACAGGGGTGCCTGATGACTGTCACTATAGTAACAGGGTCACTGCTCCGGATGTAGCGGTAGAAACGCTCAGCACAGTAAAGACAGAGAGGACCGGACACCCAAAGCCATGTCTAAAATAAACAGGGAGAAACACAATGCAGCACTGATGAAACCAGAACTAAATTTGTTATCACACTGAGACTTTCTATCATTATGTTAACAGTGAATCAAACAAATAGGTAATAGAAGCACTTCAAATGGACAGTTTGATGTCATGTTTGTTTCCCCATTGGGCGGTGATGTCATTGTTTTCAGAGATCTCAGCACTTTAGTGAGTAAATGGTTGAAGTAACTGATGCCCATAGCTACAAAATAAAAGTTGTAATAAAAGGTCGTTTTTCTCTAAGGCTGGACAATGCTTCTCAATCTGCACATATGTGAACGTGCTGTTAGTTTCGCGCTACAGAGCGCGTTTCGTCATCACAGCTTCTTCTTCTGCTTGTATAATTCCGGCAGTGTAGACGCCATCACTACATTAAATGTGTCCATAAACGAAGAAGAGGAAATAATAATAACAATAATAAAAACAGTCTCTGAGTAGTCCTCTGGTTTATTAGAAGTAAGAAGAGAAGTGACATTTAGACAAATGAACGAGCACACGTGTTATTTAGCACGAGAGCTGACAACCTGTGGATCTTTAGCCAGAGGAGTCGGGACAAATGCAGACAGCTAACAGCAAAAAATCACTTACATAATCGGTGTGGATTTTCCCAGATGGAAGGTTTTAATGTGGGACAGATGTTTTCAAAGTGCAGCTGAAGTTGTCGTTGTTTTGTCGGACTTTAGCGATGCAAATGAAAACTGTTGTTTGATAGCTTTAGCTAGAAGCTGGCCATAATCACAGAGAGCCGTGGTGTGTTTCCCATGTCAGTGTCTTATCTTGTTGGATTTATTTCATGTAGCCTTGTTGTTCTCCAGGGCTGTGGTTTGGATTTTCTGGTTACGTTAGCGAGACAATCAGCTGATCAGTAACTAAAACTAACACTAAAACATTAGCATGGAAGCATCAGCCAGCTAAACTTTTACTGCCCTGGTAGAAAAAACATGTTGTTGGATTGTAATTTAATGTAGTTATTCTACAGCGCTCTGTTATGGCTTTGCAAGGTAGACAGAAATGTGCCCTTACCTTCCAGAGACAAACCACTGATGAATATTATTGGCAATAAAATGGTAACAACATGGAAGCTCAGATCAGCAGCTAAACTTCTGTTGAATACTGCCCTGGTGGAAAACATGTATTTTTTTTACTGCTAATAGTGACACATAACATGACCATGTGCCTGTCAAGTGACCAATAATGAATACTTTCCGAATTTGCATTAAAAATATAGTGCTTCGCCACTGTGCACACAAAGGTGTAATTTGTACTTTCACATGCTAAACGCCCATTAAAAACATTGCACCGTTTTACCACAAGCAGAAATGATGGCTGTCCGTACCAATTTGTGTTTCTGTTATATTTTTAAAAATAAAAAAAAACATTTTGGTAAGATTTGCAGATTGCTTATCTAATAAATTAAACAAAGTGAGAGGAGCCTTGATCCTCACCTGACAATGCATTTGTAAATTTCACATATTATGTGGTTTATAATGGACTGTGGTGCAGAAACAGTGAGGGTTACATTTTCCTGTTATCTGTCAGTGGCCATACTTGATACACTAGATGTGATAGTGTTTTTGAGATGTGAGAGGTCATTTTCTTTGGTGATGTTAGTCCAGATGAGCCAACCCTCCCAAGCTGTATTACAGGAGTATGAGACATCATGTAGCACTTAATTTCTTGATGTGGCTGTTGTTTATTAATGAACAATTAACAATAATATTCATAAAAACACATGCTTTTACTGAATAATTAAGTAAATATAATTTCTTAATATATCTATCTAAAGAAACCTCATTTCTTGACTGGCAACTCTCTACTATCTCAAAGAGGATATCCGTTATCCTGTCTCAGGCACCGTAGCTATACAACTTGCTTGGATAGGGAGGGGGTTGCAATTCGCAACTCTCACCACTAGATGTCACTAAAACTTACACACTGTAACTTTAATTCCTTAAAAAAAAGTGTTTGTTGTTGTAATATTCATTTTGGCCACAAGAGCTGAAGGGCAGCACTAATCCCATGTTTTAAATAGAACTAAAAGCGTTCATGTTTTCTTCCAGATGAGTTTTAATTTCTCCAAGAGCTCTAAACACAAGGCACATTTATTGTGTGTTGTTGTAACGTTTCTTCCATGGCTTTTTATTGGCTACAAATGTGAACATTTATGATTTTAGTCCATAGTCCTATAACATGGGGTTGTGGTGCACTTCAGCCTTATGTTGTCGAAATGAGAATTACAACAACAAAAATGTTCTGCCAAAACTTGTTTTCACAAGTTATTCTGGCAAAACTTTTTTTCTCTGTATCTACCTGTGTCACAAATGTTAAAGAATTTAGACAGATTATTTTGTCTCACTTCCCTCTCAGGGTTCCTGTATACTTACAGTCTGTGCGTTATGAAAAGAGTGCATTTGCCATACAAAGTGGACATGTGAAGTGAGAGGGCCACATTTGCGAACATGCAAAAAAAGTTGGACCAAGCAAATAGACTTGTAAAAGCCTGCCATAAAATCAGCTAAGGTTTACAGAATATATATATAATACATATTATAATAATTAGCCTATTATATTTATATATTGTACATATTTACTAAAGGGGACAGAGCGTTTGCTGTCAGGACCCCGAGGCTCTGGAACAGCCTGCCCGAGGAAATCAGGTCGGCTGAGTCAGTGAACTCTTTTAAGTCCCTTCTTAAAACATACTTTTATAGGAGAGTCTTTCCCGATTTTTTATAGTCTCTCTTTCATATTGATTGTAATTTTTCTGCTCTCTATATTCATACTGAAAATCAAGATCAAGCTCGTGTTTGCCCTTCTGCTCCACAGGAGGTTTCTGTCCTACCCGAGCTTGCCTTAGGACACCTGTTGCTGTCTATCTATGCTTTCTATTTCTCCCAACATGTTTCTGGAAAATACAAGAGGGCTTTGAATCAAACTCTCTATCTTTCTATCACAGTGTGTGGTGTTTCTGTTTCTTTCTGTTGGCAGTTAGCTGTAGCTGACTAATTGCTTACAGCGCCCATAAAGCCTGCAGAGCACAATCGGGTTTAAGGGCTGATTTTATGGAACCAGCTCATTGCTTAACGACCATGTGCAAACACATAATCACACCGCAGGAAGAAACACACAGAAACACAGGCCTTGATGTAGAAAGAGGATGCTTGCCCCTCCCTTACAAGCACTACACCTCTAATAAACAGGACCCTCCCACACAGAACTCCCTCCAACACTTCCCAAATACTCAACACACATGCGCAGGGACGTGCACAGGAATTTTGAAGGGCAGTTGCTCTGACCTGAAAAAAGGCACTAAACACAGTATCCAAAATGTATTAACAATATAAATGTCACCAAAATACATATGAGAAAAAGAGTTCCTTATATTATTGTTTATTGTTTTTTTTAATCATTATTATTTATTTTTTTCCTTTTTTTTTTTATTTGAAAATAAATAATCTAGATTGAATTGACAGATGGGGAAAACTCGCTTCTAATAAAATATTAAATAAAAAAACGCTTAGATTTCTGAAAAAAATACAATCCTTTTTTAACCTTTTGGCTTCCCGTACATTCAGTTGCGCTTCTAGCTCGTATTCACTTCTGTTGGTACGTATCACGTATGGTAACTGGGCAAAACTACGCATGATTTGTTGTAGTATGATTGCATAAAGGAAGGAAACAGGAATTCCGGTAGGGAACAGAATCGACTGACGTGCAGGCAGCGCTGCAGCAGTGCAGCCACTTAAACAGAGTTTGCCCTTCCCCTACTGACTTTCACTTTCGGTGCCCGAATGGAAGTGAATGAGGCTTTGCGATCGCGATTATTTTTTTATTTTATTTTTTTTTCTCGGAAGGGCGAGTCGGAAGGGCAACTTGAGTCAGGAAAGGCAAACGGGCAGTTGCCCGGGCAACCAGAGCAACCCCCCTGTGCACGTCCCTGCACATGCGCAACACTTAAAGACTCACTACAACACAGACACACACCTACGGGCACTTCCTTCCTACAACCCAAACATGCACACAAATAAAGGTAAATGTCAAGATGCATGAAATAGACGTGCACCGACCACACACACACACCTGGGGGTAGTGTGGCTGGAATTGAGCCTCCTCTCTGCATCTCCTTTCATCATCCTCACCCTTCTCCAGCTCCTCAAATTGCCGCTCTGTGCTACTCTGATTTGCTCTGATGCAGCCAGGAGGGTGGGCCTCTATGTTGGTCTGATACTTCAGAGCTCCCCTGACAAAAGACAAGAATGTTGTTAGCTTAGTTATTTTATTGTAACTTTTAGGATTGCTGAGGTATGGTTATTGAAAAGGCCATAAAGACACATCCAAGTACATACAGTGAGGAAAATAAGTATTTGAACACCCTGCTATTTTGCAAGTTCTCCCACTTAGAAATCATGGAGGGGTCTGAAATTGTCATTGTAGGTGCATGTCCACTGTGAGAGACATAATCTAAAAAAAAAAAATTCCAGAAGTCACAATGTATGATTTTTTAACTATTTATTTGTATGATACAGCTGCAAATAAGTATTTGAACACCTGAGAAAATCAATGTTAATATTTGGCACAGTAGCCTTTGTTTGCAATTACAGAGGTCAAACGTTTCCTGTAGTTTTTCACCAGGTTTGCACACTGCAGGAGGGATTTTGGCCCACTCCTCCACACAGATCTTCTCTAGATCAGTCAGGTTTCTGGGCTGTCGCTGAGAAACAGAGTTTGAGCTCCCTCCAAAGATTCTCTATTGGCTTTAGGTCTGGAGACTGGCTAGGCCACGCCAGAACCTTGATATGCTTCTTACAGAGCCACTCCTTGGTTATCCTGGCTGTGTGCTTCGGGTCATTGTCATGTTGGAAGACCCGGCCTCCACCCATCTTCAATGCTCTAACTGAGGGAAGGAGGTTGTTCCCCAAAATCGCGCAATACATGGCCCCGGTCATCCACTCCTTAATACAGTGCAGTCGCCCTGTCCTGTGTGCAGAAAAACACCCCCAAAGCATGATGCTACCACCCCCATGCTTCACAGTAGGGATGGTGTTCTTGGGATGGTACTCATCATTCTTCTTCCTCCAAACACGGTTAGTGGAATTATGACCAAAAAGTTCTATTTTGGTCTCATCTGACCACATGACTTTCTCCCATGACTCCTCTGGATCATCCAAATGGTCATTGGCAAACTGAAGACGGGCCCTGACATTGCTGGTTTAAGCAGGGGAACCTTCCGTGCCACGCATGATTTCAAACCATGACGTCTTAGTGTATTACCAACAGTAACCTTGGAAACGGTGGTCCCAGCTCTTTTCAGGTCATTGACCAGCTCCTCCCGTGTAGTTCTGGCCTGATTTCTCACCTTTCTTAGGATCATTGAGACCCCATGAGGTGAGATCTTGCATGAAGCCCCAGGCCGAGGGAGATTGACAGTCATATTTAGCTTCTTCCATTTTCTAATGATTGCTCCAACAGTGGACCTTTTTTCACCAAGCTGCTTGGCAATTTCCCCGTAGCCCTTTCCAGCCTTGTGGAGGTGTACAATTTTGTCTCTAGTGTCTTTGGACAGCTCTTTGGTCTTGGCCATGTTAGTAGTTGGATTCTTACTGATTGTATCGGGTGGACAGGTGTCTTTATGCAGCTAACGACCTCAAACAGGTGCATCTAATTTAGGATAATAAATGGAGTGGAGGTGGACATTTTGAAGGCAGACTAACAGGTCTTTGAGTCAGAATTCTAGCTGATAGACAGGTGTTCAAATACTTATTTGCAGCTGTATCATACAAATAAATAGTTAAAAAATCATACATTGTGATTTCTGGATTATTTTTTTTAGATTATGTCTCTCACAGTGGACATGCAATTACGATGACAATTTCAGACCCCTCCATGATTTCTAAGTGGGAGAACTTGCAAAATAGCAGGGTGTTCAAATACTTATTTTCCTCACTGTATGAATGTAGTAGTGTAGTATTTTTACTGCCACACCCAGACCTCCTGATACTAATACAGATAACCCCAGCTTTTAGTGTTACTTGCCTAATATAAAACTGCCATTTGACAGACTGTTAACATAACTCAAAACACAAAATATATCTCAACAAAACACTACACTGAGAGAACAGGCGTGTACAAGCAAACCCTGGTTCTACAGTTGAATGACTCTCAGTGAAGGCAAGTAAGAAATTACTGCACCCTGATCACACACAACCAAACGAAAGTTACTCCTTTCAACAAGAAATTACATATTTTGTGCTGAGTAAAAATATACAAATATTTCATATTGAATAAGTCAGTAACATGACAGTAAGTCAGCAAAACATTTCATGGATTCTCTGAAATAAAAATGTATGTATGATTGATTGTCAGTCAGTATGAAGTTGCAGATAGAAATTTAGAGATATCTCCAGCTGTCAGCTGGAGTCTCCCAAATTATTTGCTGACATTCATCAATCATACATAAAGCAAATCCTTATCTTATCTCCTTGAGGCAGTGATTGAGATGGCGACAAACTGTACAAACTTTGCAACAAAAATGGCATACATTTTTGTTGAGACATACCCGACCATGTGCACCATAAGGATCACGTAGAAGATGATGAAGAGGTTGTGTGTGTACCAGAAGATCTCATAGTTGGATGACCTAAAAAAAAAGGATAAAACGACATTTTAAATGAGGGATAATAACCAGAAAAAGAATAATAACATGGTGACATGATTTAAGGGTGTGGCGGGGTGGCGATGGCGCAATGGCAGGGACACCATTGTGTACCTGAGCAAGACACTTAACCCTAGTTGCTCCAGAGGCATGCGACCTCTGACATGTATAGCAATTGTAAGTCACTTTGGGTAAAAGCATCAGCTAAATGAATAAACGTAATGTAAATGTAAGGGAACACGTGAATGAGAGACACAAAAAGAGCAGAGGCAGCAAAAGAAGAAAGCGAGGTCGGAGTTTGTTCAGGGACAGACGCACAGACTGCCAGCTCAAGGCCTGAGTAAGCAGGACATCAGAGTTCAATATTAAATGGGTCATTACACAAATGATGAGCCCCCTCTCTCTTTCCCGCCCGATAAACACTACAAACAAAGAACATAATTAAACCATGTACAGTATTTGTACTTTGGCTGCACCTTCTTTCATGTTTGTTTTCTGAAAGTATACAGGGACACCACAAAGGCCGAGCAGTGTTCACCTCCGTTAGGTGGTTAGTGCCTCATAATCCAGTGACGTTAACCTCGGAAATTTGATAGGGATTTGGAAAAGAAACTGTCCTTAGGTTCGCCTTAATGTGTATAACATTGCACATTTTGTATACCTTTACAACTACAACCAGTACAACTATATTCCAAATAAAACTGACTCTCCACCTTAGTAGTGTGGTCCTTTTTTTTGGGGAGGTGTGGTCGTATGAGAGACCCCCATATATTATCAGGATAAGTATTTCTTTAAAAAGGCTTGGGGCATTGTTTTTTCTTTTGCTGATAAAAAATTCACACACTTTCAATGAAAACATGTTTTACGGCGCTTACATTTAAATGTTTTCAATTTATAACAAAACCACATTGTTTGTACTTTGCTATCATAGTTTCCAGTGTATTTGGGCAAGGTCAACAGTAACAATAAGGATTAGGTTAGCTTTAGCTATTCAGAAAGCAACAACACATTAAGTAAGTCATGGCTAAGTGGATGGTAATTCATCTTAAATGGTATTCTTTGGGAACATTCCCAAATAAAAGAAGGACCTTAGATAAACCAATGATCAGTAAGACTTTCTTAATCTGATTTTGATTCTCAACATTTTCTTTTCTGTTTTCTTTTGTTAACATTATGATTGAAGTGAAGCATTATAAACTTTCAGATATTTTAAGCTATTACACATAAGGAAGCTTTAATTGTGACATATATGATGAATTTTCACTTTATTTTAAAATTTAAGATTTTAATGGTATTAAACCCGTGCCAACAACTCTTGGTTTGGCTATCTTCTGTTTACATAGACAAATCCGTCTTTGGTTCTTTCCCCTGCCTTGGCTTACAGATGGGCTAATTAACTACCCATTTCCTCTTCCATAGACATGATAACAGAACATTCCTCATAAATATGTAATTAGCAATGTCAAAAGATAAAAATGCTGATGCAAACTATTGTAATTCACAGAATATGTTAATAATGTTCCAAGCATTAATGTGTGATAATATCACTAGATCACTGTGACTCATTTTGCAGTAGCCTTCATCTCACCAGTCTAGCCACTTACCCAAACTCTTATCTGACCCTTGAGGGTTCTGGAAAAGCCTCTTATCTATTATCGTCTGTTCAATTACTGAAGACGGTCAAGAGAGCACAGGCACCCAAACACACACCTCAAGTCTCACACATCTGCACAAGTTAACACACACACACGTGTACACATGCAGAGACCTCTGTTAGCATGTCTCCTCATGGTTTCCATCTTTCTCACACACTCAGACAGAAAGACAAAGGTGAACAGACATGACACAATGAGACACACAAGCAAAGACACTTTCACGTACAAGTACAAAAACCACGTTTGTATTAAGAGAAGGCTCCAATATTGCTCCTATACATTTAAATGAAAGTTGCTCACACAGCAAACAAACAAAAAGGATATATCTGTATATAAATGTGGTTTTATATTCATAAAAATGTATTTTCTAGGCTTTGGGAAATTTTTACAAATGGCTGTCTATGGGTAAAATACGGCCGCATTTTTTCATTCGCCAAACTCTATACACGTCTCTTAATACATCCATGACACAACATACACTGCTCAAAAAAATAAAGGGAACACTTAAACAACACAACGTAACTCCAAGTCAATCATACTCCTGTGAAATCAAACTGTCCACTTAGGAAGCAACACTGATTGACAATCAATTTCACATGCTGTTGTGCAAATGGAATAGACAACAGGTGGAAATTATAGGCAATTAGCAAGACACCCCCAATAAAGGAGTGGTTCTGCAGGTGGTGACCACAGACCACTTCTCAGTTCCTATGCTTCCTGGCTGATGTTTTGGTCACTTTTGAATGCTGGCGGTGCTTTCACTCTAGTGGTAGCATGAGACGGAGTCTACAAGAGTATTTAATGAGATTATTTCATTCATTCAGATCTAGGATGTGTTATTTTAGTGTTCCCTTTATTTTTTTGAGCAGTGTATAAGAAACATACACAAACTATGACGATTATGATTGTGGATGATGGTTTGGTGTACCTACCGCACGCAGTAGGAGGAGGAAGTGAACATCAGAAAGAGGATGAGAACCAACAGGACGCCGGTGACTCCTGGGACTGAAGAGAATTATTATTAAGGGGAGATGCTATGATATTTCCACATACTCTAACTGACTTATTTTATCCACCAAAATAGCAAAAATTTTAAATATAGGGAAAATATTTAAAGACTAAATAGTTTAAGAGAGGACTAAACACAGCAAACACAGCACGACTTCCTCCCCTCTTCTTGGCATAAAGCCACGCTAATCTGCAACACATTTACCACCTTCATTACTACACTAGTAAAAACATACCAGTATCCACATGCATACAAACACATCTGGTCTACACACAATACTGTATAAGAAAGAGCTGTGCTTCTTACTTGTGGTCAAAATGATCAGTTTGGGGTCCTGGGAAGGAAACACAAAAAACAAATAATTGTTTTTGTGTGTGTGTGTGTGTGTGTGTGTGTGTGTGTGTGTGTGTGTGTGAACTAATTTGAGCCATAGACCTCTCAGCAGTGGCAGCCGTAGTATAGAAAGAAAACCTCGGCAGGCTTCGTTCCAACCAATCACTTCAGCAGGTGATTTCATTTCTAATTTTCTCCCCTTTACTTCAATGCATGCTATTCTCTTCAAAGTAAGGACATTTTTGGAGGGGTTAAGACTTTAAGGTTCAATGTGAGAGTTAGGTTTCGGTTGAAGGCATGCTTCAGACTAAATGCTAGTCTGAGCACATCTCTCCATGCACCTTTCAGACTTCAATATGGGAGGACAATTTGTGTACCTTTATGAAACAGACAATATGACCAGCATGTCCACTTTATGCAACGATTGGCCAGGTGTACAGAGGTTTAATTCTTCAAACAACAACTTTCCTCACTTTTCATGTGTACAACATGAATGCCTTTGTGCAGTTCTAACTATTTTTACAGCTCACCGCACCTCGGCTTCTATGACATCAATCTCTACACTTCAAGTGTTGTTATTCAGAACATCTAACAATACTGCTTTCAGATGTGGTCGCACGACATGTTTCAAGCATAACTTGTGATGGTTATAGTTAGGGGCCAGGGAATGTGTCAAGTCAATGACGTCCTCACAACTATAAACTACATATGTACGCGCATTTGTGTCTCACCTCTCCTCTGTAGCGAGCCAAGTTGAGAGCAGGAAAGTCGTCTGAATAGCTGACACTGAAACTGATGACATTCACCAGGTGGGCAGACACGTGTACAACTGAAGAAGAAGAGAGAGGGTTACAAAGGACTGATTTAAAACACGCATTTTTGTGCACAGACACCAGCAGACACACAGAACATCTCCTCTGCAGCCCACATACACACACAAACTTAATTATAAAGGTCAAAATAAACTGCTAGCAGACAATCGTCCAGACATCTCTCTGTCTATTCAGCAGAAAGTCAGCAAAACATCCTCCTGACTCACTGGCACACACACAGACACACACACCCACTCCTCCCTGACATCATGGGCCAACCACGCAGCCGTTCGACAGCTGAATTAGAGGGCATAATCATGGGCCACAAGGGTCCTTTTTTCTCACTCACATCCTTTCTCACTCCCACTGCTTTTCACTCCTCTCCCCACCCCTGCTCTCTCTCTTTCTTCTCTCAGTCTATGTTTCTCTCCCGTCTTTGCTGTCTCTCTGTCTTCATTGTCATTTGTTGTCTCAGAACTTCAGAACTCCGCTATTAGAACATGAGGGTTTGCCTAAAGGGACATGGTGTGTGTGTGTGTGTGTGTGTGTGTGTGTGTGTGTGTGTGTGTGTGTGTGTGTAAGCGTGTGTGCACATGTGTGTGCGAGTGTATGTACGTACTGTAATGATGAAAGAAGGTTTAAGCTTACAGATGACGTGATAGTAAAGAACAGATGCCAGCTCCGCTGTTCTTTTCTTTCTATCGTTCTACTGGCTCTATGGATGGCAATGTCAGTCGGTTTCCAACTTTGGTTAAGACTGAAATGTCTCAACAATGTAGTGATCAAGCCAGTGTGGATTTGTTCATTTTATATCAAATAAATTTGGAGATCCCAAAGTCTTTCTCTCTCCCTGAGAGAAAGAAAAGGAGGGGGTTTCAGATATCAACTCTCAACAGGAGATCCCAAAAGAGGGGGTTGAAAGGTTTGCTTTCCCTAAGTGCAACCAATGCTTTGTTCCCAACACTTTCTGACACTTCCTTTAGAAATTATATGATAAAGAAATGTTATCCTATACTATTCTATTAATTTTCCAGCTCGAATTTAATGTTAAATAACTCAATTCCCCAGCTCCTGAGCAAAGGATTGTTGAAAGAATAATCAAAGCTATCTTCATGGAACCAGAGCTCCCCCAAGAGGACAAAATAAATATTACATGCCATCGATCTGAAATGCCGTTTAATGTATAAATGTCACTCTGTATTTACTTGTTCATAATCTGATGCCATTCGTGTATCTTGCTTATATTCCCTAAGTAAGAATGTGTAACAACCAATATTATCCAGGAAGCTAGTTAAGTTCCTCTCATCTGATGTGATTCCTAGGAAATGCTAACCTTAAGGTTTAACTACTGACAACTGTTTTCCTTTTATCAAATGCTTAAAACTAACAACGGTATAACCGTTTGACAATTAAGGTTTGATTGTGGGAAGACATTTGATTACAATACGCACAAATACGTCTTAGAATAGACATATTAAAAGACAGTCTCTCAGGAAACTGGAAACAAACTATGGGGGTAGTTATGTTTCAATATTATTTGTGTGAACAGATGAGCAATCTGTGTAATCTGTAAATATAAAAAATATTTTACAATTGTTTCCACAGGATCAGTAGTACTCACCCTGACTAGGAAAGTGATGTTGTACATCAGCATGCTAACATGCTCGCAATGACAATGTTAAATGCTGATGATTAGCATTTATAATGTTACCATGTTCACCATCTTAAATTAGCTTGTTAGCATCCTAACATTTGCTAATTAGCACCAAACACAAAGTACAGATGAGGCTGATGGGGATGTTATTAGTTTTGAAGGTATCTGGTGACAAATCTAATTATGGTGTGAATTGTTCCGCCACAACTCCCAAAGTAATTTGGAACCCCTCTAATAGTTGCAGACATTTCACTTAAAACCAAAAATGTCTAGCTCATGTCAGTGCTAGAAGTCAGTAGGATTCATCCACTGGGGACCATGAATGTCTGTAAAAACATTTCATCGCAATCCATCTAATTGTTGTTGTAGCAGGTCTACGTATGATTTTTAATAAACTTATGAAAATTAATATTTCAGAAATATTAACTCATAAACCTCGGGAAAAATGGCACCACCGGAGATTCAATTCACCCAGAGTCTCCAGACCTCTGGGTAGCATTTTAATAATTATACAATTATTCACTAGTGATCAGTTAGTTAATAATCACTCAATCATCTTAAATCAATCAGTCAGTCTCATATCGAAGGAGTAAATCCTCGTGACAGGGACTTTAGGGAGTTAGACAATACACACACACAGTTCCTGTGATTACGGTGAAATTTATTAGATAACTAAGGTGAAATAAATGCAGTTAAATACACAAAGAAATAATCAATGGCTAATCAAACAATTATGTAAACAAGAAGAGTTCTATTGTAAATTCTTTTCTCTTGTGGGGGGAATTTGATTCATACGGGCAGCTAATAAACGCAAGCTATGACAATAACTCTATAAGGCTATGAGTTTTAAGGGTTACAGATAATCGATTAACAAACTATTGGATATCACTGATCACAGAATGCAGGGTTTTAGTCTTACTGCTTGTCGTTTCTCCAGCCGGGTTGCTGGTTGGCGGCCTCACGCTGGCGGAGTTCCGTACGTTCTCGGTTAGGATGGCTTAAATCCGTCGGCCGGTCGCTTTCTCTGCCAGGGAATTGATCTTCCTTTGTTACTGCTGGCGGGCCCACGTGATTGGGTCTGGCTTCGGTGGGAGCAGTGTAATTAGGAATTATCATTACTATCACTGTTATGTCTTACAGATATATATGTATTATGTTTTTATCCTTAACCTTTCCTCTCCTATACTTCTTATGTTAGTCTGTCCACATTACTAGGGTTTAGGTCAGAACTGTGAGATTGTTTTGGTGCTTTCCCTCTCTTGTTGTTCCTCTCCTGGAATGTTCATTCAAGGCCGAGAGAGGATCTCTGTTCCCCGAAACATAGAAACCTAGACTGTGTAAATGATGATGCATCCCTTTGCTCAGGGCCAGACGTTAGTGACTGTCTTAGGAGACAGAACCTCTGGTCCAGCTGATTTGTGTTGTAGTACTTCTCTGTTTATTCTCTTTTGTTAAATAAATTCTTCAAAGACAACGGTTTGTTGTAACTCAATTATTTGCTCAGCCCCTCACCAGGAATATAATTTCCACGACAATGGGAAATGTAGGATCAGGTGTTCTGGAATTTTACCTCACCAGAGACTAAAGTCAGGATGTCTTGGCCTCTGCTCCTTCGATTTTGACCATAGCTTTTTAATCTGTCTCTACTGTTTCCCACAACTTGGAAGTAAGTCAATACTAAATTACTGAAGAATTACTCTACATGCTATCTGGTGGAGCTGAAATGCTATAAGTTGTTCAACATTTTAATTCAGAAGTCCCTGGCGAAAAAAAGCATTTTAAATTAAAGCTGCAAGCTGCATTGAGCAGGCCCTAGCCCCCTGAGGTGCGTTGGGGAGTGTTGTGGCAGTGGGTGCATTGGCCAGAGGTCAGGAGACACGGTTCTGAAGTATCTTGACTTTTGTACTAGTCAGGAACTACCTGTGTCCCCTATGTGGCGCTAGAGAACACCTGCTAATCACAGGATGTGTACTAGTACATGAAGTGTGGACTGCACTGTGAAAATGTCATGTAAATCAAATAATTTTTGCCATAAAGGGCTTCCATCATGTTGCCAGTTGGTGGCGCTATGATATTGAGTGAATTTTGGCATGTAGATGTGTTCCGGGCAGGACTCTAACCTAGCACGTAAAGCTTGGTACACATCTGAGCATGTACACTGAAGTTATAACAACTTTTTTGATGGCAAATCATCGATTTTCGACGCCATGCCAAAGACACACCCAACGACGAAAACTCACAGATAGCACAACTTTAAATCGTCAATGCCTTTAGAATGCACAGCAAAAATTTGAAACCAATCTGTTAAATTCCCTAGGAGGAAAAAATGGCCATTAATTTCAAAATGGCCAATTTCCTGTTGGGTTTAGGCTTTTTTGTAAAAAAATAAGAGTGCGTTTTACAGTACAGATATGAAGCCAGGCTCCTGACATGAATGAATAAGAGGAAGATGCCTGTAAACCAGACACCTGGCGGACACACAGCTGCTAGAAGCTCCCATGATGTCACAAGAGCAACACACACACACACACACACACACATACACACACACACACACACACACACACACACACACACACAGCTAGAGAGCAAAAACACACATGACCAGCTGTAAGGACATCACAGCTGGTATGCCAGAAATGCTGAGCTAGCCTGGGCATTTATCCACACTTCACACACACACACACACACACACCAATACATAAAGACATATGAGCTGATAAGTGACAGTTTTTACCAGAGAAGATGCAGATGGAAACTCCACAGGCCACATGAAAGGTCTTGCTCTTGTCCAGCAGTCTGCGAGTCTTTCTGCTCGATACCTGCATGTGTTGTAACAATAGTATTAGCTTTATGGCCGGGAGTTATGGGAAACATAACACACGCAGCTCATTTTCAACTTTATGTCTTCCCTGCCTACATCCATAATTTATCTTTACAATATTTCACCAATATTTTAACAGTTAATTTCCAATATATGAGTACGTTAACATAAAAAATACTAACAAGAACACATCACAGATTTCATCTGCATCGGACATAAGCTTTGCCGAGAAAATCCATCCACTTCACAGGTGTGGTATATAATGATGCTGATAAGACAGCATGGGTATTGCACAGGTGTGCCTTGGGCTGGCCACAATAAAAGGCCACTATTGATTTCTTTGTTCTTCTTCCCATCCCTCTATCTTTCCTCACACGTCCCTCACGCTGTTTCTTACCATATGTGTTCCTCGGACAAAGGTGAGCAGGGAGCGACACATGGGCAACAGGACCAAGCTGCAGTTCAAGTTCAACACAGATGCAGATGCCCTGCTGATGCACAGCCCCAGCTGGGAAAGACACACACACACACATTATTAGACAAGTTGCTGAAATGAGGCCGGATTCAGAGGATGTAAAGTGATAAGGGTCTGGAGGATTAAGATTCACACTTTTGAGCTGTTCTTGTTCAGATTTGGACTATTCAATGTGCACACTGAGGGCTTAAGTCATGACTTCCCAACCACATAGGGTTATTTAAAACTATCTTTATCCTTCTCAGTATGGAGAGCAAAGGCATTCTCCTTTAGGCATTTCTTTGCTGAAGCTTTGCATTTAAATAGAACGCTTTTATTTAGTTTTATAAAGGTGATGACACACAGATGACTTATTTGAGAATTTTTAAGAGATAATGGAAACTATCCTAACAATCTCAAATGACTGAGGTTAATCTATTTTAAATTAAAAGATTTAAGGGCCTATATTTAGTTTTTCAATGAAATCAGTAATTAATAAATTACTTTTTTACTACTTTTTGTCAACGGGCTTTCATCCAATTGGACAAGTCATCTAACATTACTGCAAAGCAAGTGAAATATATTGGGATTTTGTGCTTAAGCTAGCTCATGTTAGATAACGTTAGCTCACCGGCTTACGCTGAGCAGTTGCTAACGTTATCTGGTGCAAAATGCTACAGTTGTATGACTTTCCACATTACTTCATTAGCTAACACGATCCATATTATCCTGTGTACCATCTGTATTATGTTAAAATGCTGATTTTAGTAAGAAATTATGTAACGCTACAAAGCTAGCCTGTAGTGAAGTAAGGAAGAGGCAGCCAGCTATCGTTAGCATGGCTGTTTGCTTTCTAACGTTCAATTCAGAGCTTCTCCACCAGTCTCAGTCGTTGTAACTTACCCACATAATATACAATGATGCAACATAACAGCGGAGGACAACAACACAGTGGAAGAACTTACTTTATTCACTACAGTAATCTTACTTACTGCGGTCTATCTGATTTAAAGTGTGGCAACAATCTCATTTATAATATTCAGTCAAGCACACTAACCGTTTAATTTTCATCCAATATAAATAGCTCAAATTGCTGAGCCTCCCGTGAAAGACACAAATAGCAACGTTAGTTACAGCGAGCTAACGCAGACATGTCATGTCGGCTAAATGTACTCAATGTAACGAAAGTTATCGTTTAACAAGCATGGATTACTTCAACCTCAAGCTGATAAAAATATGACTGTAACTTTGCCTTGGGAGTTTACATGAGTTTCCAGCTTGTTGTGTGATGCTGTCTCCCAGTGAGTGTGGGATTTTGCTCGCTCATGAGTTCAAGCAAGTGTACGAGCACACACCTGGTTGCAATCTAAAAACCACACCACTAGTGGCCGCTGAAAACTACATATTACCCCTTTAATTACTGCCTCCTACACAAAATACTGAGAATGAGGGAACTTATTCTCCTTCTTCTCCTTGATCTAATCTGGTTTGGACCATACCTCATTTGCACATTTCTTTGGACAAAAACCTCTGACAAAGGCACATATGTAAATAATACATTTCTATTACATCTCAGAAGAGTCCGTCTGGCTGATAGAGCACCTGACACCAGGATAAAAAGAGTGCACTTTACCTGAAGTGACATGGGAGGGATGTCTATTATGTAATCTGGCTTTACGAATCTAAAGCTACAGCTCAATAATTGAACCTGTTTTCATGCGGAAACACTGGATGTACTTTGGCATCTTGTAAACTCCGCACAGCCCCTTTGAGCACTGCTGGTGCCGTCTCTTCTGATTATCCATAAGAAACTGACACAACTAGTGTAAGAGACGAAGGAGTGCGAGTGTGTAGATCAGAGAGAAAGAGAGAGAGACAGGTCATGTGTGAAAGTGTAGTCCAACCCAAACTCTTTTGAGTATTTAACTCTTACCCCTTGTAGACTGAAAAGTTGGATGTCAATAATTGTTGCTTTACAAAGGCCAGTGGCTGAGGTCTGTTTCAAATTTAGGTTGATTCCAAGGGATTCAAACGGCGGTAACAGCGACTAAAGTTCCACCACCTCTTGAAAGTATACCACAAAGAATTTAGGCAGTTCTGAAGGCAAAAGGAGGTCCAACCCGGTACTAGCAAGGTGTACCTAATAAAATGGCTAGTGAGTGTAAATCCAGTGTTCACTCTGTTTTAACTTTGCTTTTGGTCTGTACACCTAAATTAATTATCTGGCTCTTTAGCAGCTAAATGCTCCACTATGTTCACCAGCTTGTCTATAACTGTGTATAACTGTAAAAATTAGCCAAAACTCACAATAAAGCTTTGTGAAGCCAGGAAGATGAGTGACAATTCTCTGAAAAAAATATGACAAACAGCTGAGCTAACTACTTTGCATTTTATTATACAACTGGACAAGCACAGGTTAGACATGCAAAATGACAGTCCTCCTATAGTCTACAAGGACACGAGGAACCACAATTTGGTCTACAACAGACTGAAAAATATACCGGTTTCAAGGCTTAAACAGGTCAAAAGTGAGAATCTACACATAGCAAGTCAACTACTTAAAAGTCTGATACTTTTACCCTTTAAAAACTTCCCACTCACATTCTCTCACCACAGCTTCCCATAGAAAAGCAGCTGACAGAAAAACCACAAGCAGGAGATCTGATATCCAACACCCTGAACAACCAAAACACACACACACACACACACACACACACACACACACACACACACACACACAATAATCCATACAGGTGAATGAGATAAGACACTTTTTGAAGTTAGATTTTAATTTCCTTCAGCAGCATTAAAGCTTTGAAATATATCTCCATTTTGCATGTAGACACACACACGTGCAGATACACACACATACACACACACACACACACAAACTTAAGCCCTCTGGTAAGGCATTCAGTCAAAGACAGCGGCGTGCCCACACTTGCCCCTCTCTCCCCTCTGCCTCTCACTGTACAGGCGGTGAATGAATAGCTCAGCTGTCTTTTTTTCCTCTCACTTCATACTACCAGCATTTGTTTCTTTTAATCAATTTCTTAAAATTTTTTCACTGACTAAATATGTTTTAAAGCTGTCATTTACAAATACACATAATGTATGGGCCGATATTTACTCACATTTTACATGTATAAACTGTATTAATTTAGACTTGTCTTTGTATGTCCTTAACATGCTCCATTTATCAGCTTCTGATATGTACCATTTTATATGTTTTGTCTTTCCTGCTGCAATAAAGAACCTTTCAGATGGTATTAAAGTCAAAATCCTCCCACAAGTTGGCTTCTGAGTTATTCCATGTGTCAGTGAAAAGTACCCTAATGAGAAAGAAGCATGTGCCACTGTTATCAACATGCTGCGTATGTGCTGACAAAACTTTTTCTGTAAAGTAATAACACACATAAGAATACAAATAGACGATGCTAACTGGGTCGTTGTTTCCACAACTTATATATAGTACTATATGGCAACTCCTGTAAATACAAACACAGGTCTTAAACATTAGGAAGCAAATACAATAGAAAGTCCCTGATTGGATAGTAATGTCAGTGGCATTTGTATTATTTTCTCCAAAGACAAAGAACATTTTCACTGGCACAAACATGCATCCTGAGCCTGGGCACGCACATATACACTCACACACACACACACACACACACACACCAACATGAACTTGTGACAATAATTACACCAATGCTCACCTGATTCTGTGTGTGTCACTATAGTGCCAATATATTGGCCAGCACTGACCGACCAACCTGTCAACACACGCACACATGTGGCTAATTGCTGCCACAGAGCTTAAAGTCAGACTCATTAATCCTGCACGTGACGGTCGACCATCCATCACAAAGCCTGCTTCTCTGATATAAATAGAAGTCTCTGAAGCCAGAAGCAGTTGGTTTCTTACAAAACAGAGATTTAGTCCCTGAACTCTGTTGAAAATGTTGTCTGATTGTATTTTAAAGAGACTGCAGTGAATGAATTCTGGGGCCATGTAGCATAATATATCAGGATGTAACCAGCAAGAATGTTTCTTGTTATTGAGTGATAGCCACTGGTGAGGATGCCATTATCACTTCTTCTGACAATTTGAATCTGAATGCTTTACTTTTCTCTGTGGATGCTGTACATTGATTTCCCTCCATCTGAACAGCTATTTCATGAGTTTAGTCAATAATTAGACTCTAGATGAATCTCTTTGTACGTGGATATGTTGATGAGTATGTGCAGGTCTTATCATCAGAATAAGTGTAAACACCTGTGTGAGCAGACCATATGTGCAGGGGCTTTAAGAAGTCCCAAAAATACATTTAATACCAAATAATACTGTGTCCAAAGTCCATGACACTACCATCTATATAAGAGACATTCAATCGTTTCCTCAATAGTTAGCAGTAAATTGACACACGTATCAATCACAATTTTGTGTCATTACTGTCATTACACAGTGTGACTTTAGTCAGTTTATTGATGTGAAAAACCATTGACAGTCTCAGAAAACTTTAACAACTATTTGTAAGACAGCAGGTTATGAACCTGTAGTTTGAATTTTGCAAGAAGGGAAAACTTGTTATTTACATTTGATTTACAGATTTTAACTTTACAAAAATCAAACCTTTGGCTGGCAGTTCAGTATGTACTACTGAATACAATGTTATTTATGAGCTCAGCTGTGAATTCAGCATTGAGGCATAGAAGTAAAATACTAAATGCAGTATGTAAAAGTGTCAGATCTTACCCCGAGCATCTTGTAGAGGTAGTGATACTGCTGTCCAGTGGAGTACAGCAGGAAGGTCTTCAGGAACAGCCAGGTGTTGGCTCCCAGCCACAGCACCTACACACACACACACACACACAGCACAGGATGTACAGTAGTCTAAGCTACAGCTTTATATTCACTGGCAGGGCATTGTCAACAAATTTTTTTAAAAACAAATACAAACAGCATATCTAGGACTACTGCTTTTGTTGGACTAATGGCCCCTAACTAAGCATTTCATATAACATTACATGTTGCAGGATTTGCATTTCAGCTTGTAACAAAATGTAAATGACCGGCAAATAACGGTTGCATTAGACAGTATGGATACAGCATGTTAAGTATAATACTCACTATTGCGCATTGACTAACTAAGGGACCTTTAATTTAATGTGTTAAATTGATTTTTCCTCAGCATTGAAGGTGATACAGAACTTTGTAAAATAATTTGCAAGTTATCTTGTTTTAAAAAAGTGTCGGAACAGCTCCTAAACAGGTAAAGCAAACAAATCTAACAGCCAACGATTTGAGCAAAGCCGAACAGCTTTAAAATCTCCTGACGAAAGTTTCCCCACCAGGACCAAGTGCTTTCCTCCCTCGTTGGCGAACCAGCTCCGCGCACACACAACCATGATGCCTTCACTGGCCCAGCAGCTGCCCAAACGTTTCAGCAAAAGCCTCGGTGTGGCCGAGAGGTGAAGACTCGTCCTCCCTGCAGCGGCAGCTCTGTCTCCGTCTGCCTGCCTGTGTGCAGACCGGCCGGTATCTGCTCCGTCCTCCCTGCACTGCGCCGCTCCTGTCTGCTCTGAGCGCAGTTTGACTTTTCATCCCCCAACAAGTCTCAGCGGTGAACAGCTCCGTCTGAAACACGACCGCATCTCTCCCTGGCTCCTTATCTCAGGTCGGTTTGCTCTGCGGCACGCCCGAGCGTCAAAAAGGCAGGCAAAACATCTTGAATAAAATGACATTGAGGCGAATAAAGTCAGCCAACAAACAGAGAGGGGAACAATAACACATCGCTCCACCGCTCCGCACTGCTCCTCTCTGACACTAGAGGGCGCCACAGCCTAACATGTCCGTGTGAAGTGCGCTGATAACTACTTTCATTAAAAGTTGATCACTTATTTCTGGTGAAAAGAAGGCTACTTACAATTTGGACTCAAATCAATTTATTAACATCTTACTATCACTTTCAATTGAAGATTTGATGATTACAACCTTTTGTTAATGACTTTATTAATGTTAATGGCATTGTTACTAGATTACCAACATGTTTAACTGCTTTATTACCCAGGTGTATGGGTATACACCTGCCAAAGGGATTTTCACAGCCAACCGACTCAAATTAGCTCGATTAGATCGATAGAGCAATACTAAATGATGTATTAATCATTAGTTATCACTTAGCAACCCATGAAGGATGCCCAATTAGAAAGTGGCATCAAAATGGTAAAAGCAGAAGCCTACTGCTACTACTGCTAATGCTTTGCAAGTGGTAATGGTTATTTAAAATTTCCGATATATGTGTTAATTTTTGACATTGCTATAGATTGCTAATGACATTGCTAATGATCTTTGGAGAAATGAGCCACATGACTGCACCTTTAAGCACTTCACATGTGCACCAAGTAGTACCGTCTCTCTGGCCTCTGAGTGCCACCTAGTGTCTTTCAGAGAAAATTTCAGTTGGACCAGAACTTTATCCTGAAATAAAGGACATTACAAACAGATGTGCATGTGCAAACATATGTGCATACACTGTAAATGATTTTTGTTGTTTTCACAGTAGTATTACTGTATTTCCAATAGTTTCTTACTGTATAAGTGGTGTACAGTATGTTACTGTACATCATGTTGTTTTCACAGTATTATTACCGTAATTTCAACAGTTTCCTACTGTAAAAGTGGTGTACAGTATGTTACTGTAGATTTTCAATGCATTCATACTAACTGACAGCGAAAACAACCACCAACCTCCATTTTGAAATGAAAGACTGTCTTGGATTTGACTCAACAATATTTAGTTTAACATCAGATATCATGAAACTGTTCTTGAAACTTTCTGATTAGACTCTTCCGGACTGGATGCGTTAAGCTGGCGCTTATGTTTTGTGTGATGTTTTACACAGACTCTTCGGTTGTAGCTCTCAGTGCGGGGAGTGCAGCTGTATGAGAGCGCAATTTCTAGAGCCTGTACTCGGGGATCGTCTGTCTGTCTGCTGACCTGGAAGCTGCTTCATCATTAATATCTGGTGAGTGGTGAAAGAAACAAAAAGTGCACTAACATAATATTAACGTTAGTCTAGATGAACTGCACGTGGCTATGACGTTCTGTAACGTATCTGGTAAATAGCCGCAGCTAACGTTAGCTAGCTAGGTTGGTGTAGCAAAGCTGTCCTGTTAGCCTGTCAATAAGTTAGAAGCTGATTAAATTAACGTTAATAGCTTAAACAAAATGCTTGATTTGCACATTTTATTTTATAAAGAAGATAGTATATTTAGGCTGAAGGCCAAAATTACCGGAACTTTCTATGTTATTTAATGGAGCTGTGAGTCTGACCTTGGGTGTTTGCATGTAACGTTAACATTAAAGTGAATTTATGTTTGCAGGCAGTCTTCTTGATTTTTATTTTAACTGGCTTTTCTGTTTTCTTATTTCCACAAGGCGGGAGCTGAGCGATATTGTGGGACCAAGACCATCTTCAGATTCCAACCTGTAAAACTGTGAGTCCATTATTACTAACTAACATAACGTTACCATGGCCCATTATTGTAGTACGGCCCACTAAACTTACTGGATATATTCACATTTAGTTAGGGATTTACTGGATTTGAGATACTCTGAACTTGGTTTTAGCCCCTTGCTATAACATGACAGCTAAAGATGAGCTTAAATACACTCACCTAAAGGATTATTAGGAACACCTGTTCAATTTCTCATTAATGCAATTATCTAATCAACCAATCACATGGCAGTTGCTTCAATGCATTTAGGGGTGTGGTCCTGGTCAAGACAATCTCCTGAACTCCAAACTGAATGTCAGAATGGGAAAGAAAGGTGATTTAAGCAATTTTGAGTGTGGCATGGTTGTTGGTGCCAGACGGGCCGGTCTGAGTATTTCACAATCTGCTCAGTTACTGGGATTTTCACGCACAACCATTTCTAGGGTTTACAAAGAATGGTGTGAAAAGGGAAAAACATCCAGTATGCGGCAGTCCTGTGGGTGAAAATGCCTTGTTGATGCTAGTGGTCAGAGGAGAATGGGCCGACTGATTCAAGCTGATAGAAGAGCAACTTTGTATGAAATAACCACTCGTTACAACCGAGGTATGCAGCAAAGCATTTGTGAAGCCACAACACGCACAACCTTGAGGCGGATGGGCTACAACAGTAGAAGACCCCACCGGGTACCACTCATCTCCACTACAAATAGGAAAAAGAGGCTACAATTTGCAAGAGCTCACCAAAATTGGACAGTTGAAGACTGGAAAAATGTTGCCTGGTCTGATGAGTCTCGATTTCTGTTAAGATATTCAGATGGTAGAGTCAGAATTTGGTGTAAACAGAATGAGAACATGGATCCATCATGCCTTGTTACCACTGTGCAGGCTGGTGGTGGTGGTGTAATGGGGTGGGGGATGTTTTCTTGGCACACTTTAGGCCCCTTAGTGCCAATTGGGCATCGTTTAAATGCCACGGCCTACCTGAGCATTGTTTCTGACCATGTCCATCCCTTTATGGCCACCATGTACCCATCCTCTGATGGCTACTTCCAGCAGGATAATGCACCATGTCACAAAGCTCGAATCATTTCAAATTGGTTTCTTGAACATGACAATGAGTTCACTGTACTAAAATGGCCCCCACAGTCACCAGATCTCAACCCAATAGAGCATCTTTGGGATGTGGTGGAACGGGAGCTTCGTGCCCTGGATGTGCATCCCACAAATCTCCATCAACTGCAAGATGCTATCCTATCAATATGGGCCAACATTTCTAAAGAATGCTTTCAGCACCTTGTTGAATCAATGCCACGTAGAATTAAGGCAGTTCTGAAGGCGAAAGGGGGTCAAACACAGTATTAGTATGGTGTTCCTAATAATCCTTTAGGTGAGTGTAGATATATAAAATGATTGCTTGTGGCAGCTTGTTGGTAATGCTTGAGTATAACAGACCTGTAATATGAGTTTAAGTTATGGTCTAAGAACGTTTAATTTATTATCCATCTTCAGAAAGTCTTAAATAATAATTGTGACTATCACCAAAAATTTGTGCCTTGGTCCTCTTGTCGCTAGAAGTGAGAGTAAAAGTGTCCAATTTTTCCATTGACTCCCATAGTAAAATTGGATAGGAAAAAGTCTCTGAAAATACTCCCACAGTATCTGTACTCTAACTTATAGATAGGAGGGTGATGATTACATTTTTCCTTGAATAAAAAAAGACTTAACAACACAGCACTCACAGAAGTCATGTACGTGTCCCATACTATGTATGTATACTATGTATACTATGAGTATTCTGATGGAGTCCACCGTACACCTAAATTCTCATTAAGTCACATTCAAAGGTATTGATTGTCTTGTGTAATCAGAGTGCAGAGCAGCCTTCATAGATTCACTCAAAGGTGTTTAGATAACGTGAGTTCTGCATTTTAGATGAATATCTGCCCCAGTGATTGATTTGTTGTGTTGTTGTTAATTTTTTTGCAGGACAATCACAACTGCTGTCACCACTGCCACTGCCCACTGCACTCGACCCTCACCTGTCTAACTTCACCAACATTACTTCTCCAATGCTGACATCCCCACCCAGAACACCTACAGTGAGAAATTGTTTTGTGAAGATTCTTTTGTGTATTGCAATGTGTCTTGACAGGATAACTGTAGCTTGGTTGAATGTTCAGCTAATTTTCTGGATTTTTGATTAGTTGTTACTTGTTATTTATTCTGATGATTTTTATGGAGAATGTCATGTTTAGCATGTGGGCAAGATGGTTGATGACCCATATGTTTTACTAGTTGGATGGAAAAACATCCGTTTCAGTATTTTCTTGTCTTCAACCTGGCTTTTCTAGTCTCTATGGCTAGTTATAGGGAAATATTTTCACAACAGATCTCTTTATATATGTGTGTGTTATTATGACTGGTTTGTTCTACTTGTGCAATAAACGATCTGCTTTTTGTGCAGTTAAGTCTTCAAATGTCCTTTTTCTTATTTTACATCAACAGCCATAAATAGCCATATTTTATTGGTTATACAGTAGTATTGGAAAAAAACAGTAAATACAGTAATATTTTCATAGCAGTATATTACTGTACTTTATTATACAGTATGCCAAAAAAGTAACGGTATAATACTGTACTTGAAACTAACAGTACATATACTGTACTTTATTTGACAGTATGCTCAACACTACTGTTGTTGGTTTTACAGTAATTTTACCGTAGAATGAAACTACTACAGCAACTACTGGATAATTGTTGCCAGTAAGTTACTGTTAATTCGACAATAAACATCTTACAGTGTATGACCTTAAATGTAGTTGCTATTTTCGAGTTTTTGATTATATCACTTGATCTTTATCAGCAAACGAATGAATTTACACTTCAATGTGGAAATACTTCCCTTGCCTGAGAAAAAATGCTCAATAAATAGCATAAGAGGTGGTTGTTGTACTGTGTTATGCTTGAATTTAATCATCACCCCAAGTCATTGTCATTTGCTCATCATCATGCAAAAGTATCATGTAAAAGTAATAAAATCCAGCATTAGCTTAGGAGAACTAATGTACCCAAACAACACAGATCAACCTCCCCTGCTGGTTTAAATAAGTTTTCTCTCCAGATAACAGTGTGTTAAGGACAAGGCAGAGCTGTGTCCTCCCCACATTCCTGAGGGCAGAGAGCCTCCTCCCCGCTTCACGCTCCAGTTCACCTCATGAAAGAGCCATCCTCCAGCCCACACAGCTGTTCACAGAACCAGGGGGGTCAAGCACGACAAGGGCCTGCGTGTTTATAGTGTGGGAAAATATATGTCCGACTATCAATAGCGATATACACTTACCAGTCATTTTATGGGGGATATTTTCTTGGCACACTTTGGGCCCCTTAGTACCAAATGAGCATTTTTTAAAGGCAACAGTGTGAAGTGAACCAAGTTTAATGAAGTGACTCATTCCATACCATTACATCCCCTTCTTTAACAAATAAAAGAAATGACAACATGACAGTCAAAGAATTGAGTCAAAGGGCCAGTGACAATTAAGAAGATTTATTTACAAGGTAATCCGATCGATCTAGGTTCTTCTGCAAAATATGGTGATGATTGGACAGAGGGGTTGTGCCAAATAAAATGGAGGCAAAAGATACAGCCAATCCAGACCTTACTGAGCTGCCACTAGAAACCAGAATATAAACAAAAAGGCTCTACTATCTCATCTAAAAAGAACTTAGCAAAACTTCCAATGGTGGCACCAACCTCTAAACTGGACAGAGTATGGTATGTGAGTGAAAAGTGCATAGGATACCTTCATCCAACCTCCTTCTACAAATTCAAACAATTCAAAGTCCACTCATACACAAAGCAGTAACTGCATCCGCATCAGCACATGAAAGACCACAAACTTATCAGGAAGTCTTCTTTTATTGCGGGCCTGGCATGTAAATTGGTTAACTTCTGAATGGCTGGACCAATGAGCTGCACGACCGGACTGCACAAGTGCAAGCCAATCACTTCATTAGCACCTGAAGAGAATGCAAGAGCAAACACAAGGTGGGGAGACAGAAAGCAGCAAGCAACAAACTAGGCCTGTTTGGCATGTAACATACTAACATGGCTTCTTCTGCCAGATTCATGTGAAACACTGTTTATTGTCTGTTGATTAGTTGAGCAGTTTTGATGACTTCCATTAGGTAGACTGAAGCTGCAGAAAATTAGTAAAGATGAAGCATGAAAGCAGATATGTATGGAAGCCTAGTTCTGCTAGTAAAGGGGAAAAAAGGAAAAGAGGAAAAGTTATATGTGATAGAAGTAAATATTCATCATGAGTCAGAATTATGAGATAGTGGATCAGGATACTATAGGATAGGTACTTCTGTTGTATCATGTCTAACTTTTAATGCATTTTTTCCTTGGTAGAAATCGGCTTCCATAGATGCATGAGTCTAATTTGATCCTTTTGTGTGTGTGTGTATGTATGTATGTATGTATGTGTATGTGTATGTGTATGTATGTGTGTATGTATATATATATATATGAAAACTTCTGCTGCAAGTGAAATGTGATTTCCTATCTACATGATTTTTACATCCAACTATTTCAGTACCAAGTTTACCGGTTCACGTGAATAGACAATACACATTATATACAGATGGGTCAAAAAGTATTTGAGTCCGCTCATGGGCCCACCTACTATTAAATGACTACAATCATTTTTGATTCTAGCATTCAACTGCAAGACACATTTTCCACATGAGCTGTGAAGATCTATCTGCTGATCCCATGTCACTCTGTAGAGAGTCATGCTTAACTCTTGACTCCTTTCTGCACTAAATTTAACGCCAACTTAATCATGCTTTTGCACAAACAAGCTGTCCTCATGGATGCCTGGCCTTCTTAGGTTGAGTAATAGTGAGTCAGCGCTGAAACAACCAAGGTACACAGTGCACAGTCATCTGTCTACTGGCCAAACATACCATTAATGACTAGCTCCCTCTTTGTATTCACACACACTCACCCCCACCCCACCCCCTGTCTCTCTCTCTTTCTCTCTCTCTCTCTCTGTGTCACTCTGTCTCGCTCTGCTATGCCCCCACCATGCACTACTTAAACAAATTGCTCTCTATCTCTGCAAGCGTGCTCTGCAGAGTCAGCTGCGTGTCCGTGTGTGGAAGCCTCTGGGACATACTGCTTTAACATGAGAAAGGAGAGCAGGTTGATTCGGTGGATCTGGTGGATTGTGGTTGTGGCAGCTTTGTTTTTTCTGGGCTTCGTCATAGGTAAGATAATACAACTGACACTGAACAGAAATCCAAAAGTGAAATAGACTGTAGTACCAACAATGAAAATAATGGTAGAGTTGGCCATGACAAGTGTATTTGTAAGTGAAGGCAGTAGCTGAAATACCTTCACAACACAAGGAGTACAATCACTGTTTTATTTAGAATTACTCATAAACGATCAAATCTACACAGTGCTGTTTAAGTTGATTCTTGCGTGTGCCTTGTGGTGTGTATGAGCTTAAGTTTGTCACTACTCTGACACCTTTCATGTCTGTCTGCTCACAGCAGGTTAACACATGCTGTCCATAACCACAACTCCATTCAAAATATAATTTCCAACATAATGGGAAGATTTTTTTAAGTTCTAACATAACTGTGCAACGGCTGACATATTTTACTTGTTTCCCCCTGCTCTGTCCGTATTATTGTAATTTATTCTTGGAAGGGGTACATTAAATCACGTCACAAAGCCATACAGGTTTGCTTTCCTTCTTGAGAGAACTAACACTGTTGTTGAACTGAGTGTCTTTATTGTGTCTGTGTGCTGTAGGCTGGTTTGCAAAGCCCTCACATGCAAACAATGTGAACAGCAGTGCTTCCAGCAAGTATTTGAAGGAGTTTCTGGATGAAATGCAGCCAGACCAGATCAGAGCGCATCTCAGGTAAAAAATTCTACTAACACGCTAAACTTGCCCTGTCTGTTAGTACAAGTAATCCAACTACACTACAGTGGTCTTCTTTCCAAAAAAAACCCAGATGTCTTGGAAAGGAAGAATGTTTAAGAAGAATGTCAACCACTTTTGTCCAGACTAAAATCTTGGATGCTAGCCATGAAATTTGGTATGGACTTTCCCACACAGGTCCACAAGGATATAAAGACTGAATGTCTCCTATATTTTCATGTAACAACCCCAAAACATTTCAGCAACAGTAACTAAATTCTTGACAGGATGCCTCAAAAACAAACCCTCATTGACCAAACCCTGCAGACTCGCCAGTCATTACAAAAGCATGCCTTGCAGCCAAACATTGTTCAAACCCACATAGTGTGCACATATAGACATACTGTAAACATCATAGCTTCAATGAAGAACTGGAATTAGCTGAACCACAAAACATGATGCTGTCAGATAGCCTGGAATAAGACGATAACATTAACACTGTTTAAGAGGAAATAAAAGAAGAAAACTGAGTGTCAAGGGGTTAACTGCACTTGCTGTTAGACTAAATGTTATAAACACTGTAAAAGTTAGCATGTTATCATGCTACGCTAAATGTCAGCATTTCTCATTAAAGTAACACATTTTGCTGAATGGACAGAAAACTGTAATGTGCGTTACAGCCTCACAGGGCTCACTCATGTGACTGTAGACTTCTAGGCCAAAAAGACATTTTGACATAAGAAATTAAAGTTAGAATAGTCTGGTATTCTGGTGTAGTGCATGTCTCTCTGTCAAGGCTTACTGGGAAACCAGAATAGAACAGAGCCATGGATAATGTTATTTCTGTGTGCTTTTCCTCCTGGATCATGCTGAGCTCAAGTGGAAAGAGACTTTATTGATGAAACTTTGCATGCAAGTACTAGGTTTTATATTTATTTTAAACAAACTCCTTTCCAAAACTACTTTCCAAAGCTCTTCTGGACATTCACACTTTGTGCATTCTGGCCACAGGTCAGCATTATTATTCTGTAAGTAACTGTTGATGTCCTCTACACAGGAAATTTACACGACTCCCCCACCTGGCTGGGACAGAGCAGAACCTGAGATATGCAGAACAGATCAAGAAAGAGTGGCTGGAGTTTGGACTGGACTCAGTGGAGATGGTGCCCTATGACGTCCTGTTGTCCTACCCCAACAAATCACAACCAAATTACATCTCAATAGTTGATCGGTTTGGCAATGAGGTACAGTATAGACACACAGAAAAAAAAAAAGACACTAGATATTGTTCATGAAACTTAGACCCACAACATCCAGTCAAATGCACACATAATGACATAAGATGAATACATAAAAAAATGTTTTCCAACATGTAATTTCAACCTTTCAACCTGTCTTGTAAAAAAAACTCTGTACTTGTTTCTGGTGCAATATAGCATTATGATGGCAGTCATACCCTGTGGAGAACCAGTTTATTACATGTTAAATTATTTAAAATGAACTGTTGCATGTTGTTGCAAATGGTAATGTGTTCACAACTTGTTTTTACCACTTTAAGCCCCACCCTCCTGGTGATCAAAATGTCAAAGGGATTGTGATTTTCTCACGCATATGAACAATAACACTAATCCACTGCAAACCCCTAACCATTTCTCAGTCTGTTTGGGGAGAAAACAAAGCTGCAGCGTGCAGGTGGAGATCACACGTACATTAAAAACACAGTCATATACTGCTCCAGGCCACCCTGCTGTTCGTCTTCCCCACACAACTGCAAGACTGTTCATTCCAAGTCCAAGGTCCTTTTATAGCCTTGTTGTGAGAAAAACCTCTTTATGTGTCTTATGGGTTAAGATTATGATACAACACAGAAAAAAAACAAAAAAACAAACCATGGTTTACTGCGCGGCCATATTAGGGCATGATGCTAAAATGAAATTACTAACTTCAATACAATCACGGTTTACATTTCAGCTAATTCAGTAATAAATTTCAGCTGATTCATTTTAGCAGCCATTCACTGAGCAGCACTCAGATCCCGAGGTGATGGCCTGACACGCAGGATAATCTGGTGAAACTACACACAAAGTAGATACTGAAAGTCTATTTTCCAGCTGCCAGCAGAACAGGATCAACTGGAATCTGCATATCTGTCGTTTTGGTATAGAGGACCAATAATGGGATCATTTCTGAGCATTGGAAGCATTTAGATCCTTAACTTAAGCAAAATTACAAATACCACATTGTAAAAATACTCTATTACAAGTAAAAGTCCTTCATTTAAAACATTAGTCACTTACTTAAGTCAACATACGCAACCATAATCACTTAAAGCACTTAATGCACTTAAAGTATAAGATAAAAGTACTGTACTGTGACTGTAGCAGCATTTTACTGTGGCAGTTGGTTGATGCGGAGCTAATCTTTAACTAGTTTATATAAGGCTGCAACTAATGATTATTTTCATTATGGATTATTCTGCTGACTGTGTTGTTGATTGATTGATTGGTTTGTAAAACTTCAGAAGATAGTAACAATCACCCAGAGCCCACTGTGATACCTTCGTATTGCTTGTTTTGTCTAACTACTGGACACACTAGAAACATACAAACTAAAATGATTAGTATAATTACAAGGGTAAGTAGTAAATGCTCACATCTGACAAGCTGGAACCATGAAATGTGTGGCATTTTAGCATGAAAAATTAATTAAATTATTATCAAAAGTAATTTCTCAACTAATATTCTACCAATAGACTAATTGTTATTTCCATTTCTAATTTTATATGCTGTTGGATAGTTCAGTCTATGACAAAACATCATGTTTCATCAACTCTTTATGTGTTTTGCATGTAAAATTTGTAACTATAGCAGTCAGATAAATGAGTGATAAGTATAATATTTCTTTTTAAAATGTTGGAGAGATGTATGAAGTAACATGAAATATTAAATACTGAAGTGAAGTACAAAGACTTTAAATTTGTACTCAGTTATAGTTATATTCCACCTCTGCTTTTTTCCCAGAGTTGACATTTCAAAGCATTTACTTTAGAGAATAAATGGCTTTCTCATCAATATTTCATTTAACTTTGTTTCACCTCATCTCATCTTTCTTTCACAGGTTTTTAATACTTCCTTAGCTGAGCCAGTTCCAGAGGGTTATGAAGATGTTTCTAACATTGTGCCTCCATACAGTGCCTTCTCTGCAAAAGGACAACCTGAGGTACACAAATGCACACACGCAAACAACCTTATCGTACTGACAAGAACAATAATATCTTCTCACTGCAGTAGTAAAAATAGTTAACATGGACTTTAAACATTACCCATTCCCATCCTCACATGTCTGATAAAACACATGAAAAGGCACCTAAGATGTCTCTTGTTTCTTTCTCTCCAGGGGGATTTGGTGTATGTGAATTATGGTCGTACGGAAGACTTTTTTCAGCTTGAGAGAGAGATGGGCATCAACGTAACAGGGATGATTGTCATTGTCAGATATGGGAAAATATTCAGAGGTAATAAGGTAGGAAAAACTCTTGGACACAACTCCACATGAAAAACCCTGATGAAGGATTTCTGTCAGTCACTGTGTGCTGTAATTAAAATGCACTGAAAGCTTACATCTTAAAAGCAGCTGAAGTGGATTGCTTGCTTTAAAACAACCTTGGTTCAGATGGTTAAAGTGCTGGTGAACCTTGATCTTCTCCAGCTCATGTAGGAATTTTCAATTCTGATCTGTAGTAGTGGTGCACAATTAATTCATCACACTGTAGCATTTCAAAATATTTTTTCACCTATCTTTTAGTATTCAACACATTTCATCAATGTCAAATCCGTCATCACTGTTTTGTGGTCAACACAGATTACAAGGGCAACAATAAATACACTTTTGCACACCATCCAAATGACAAATGCTCTCATGCTCTCTGTTGCTCCACCAGGTGAAGAATGCCATGTTAGTCGGTGCAAAGGGGATCATTATGTTCTCAGACCCAGCAGATTACTGGGCTGCCGGAGTCCAGGTAGAGTATTCTGCCTCATTTTAACTAGAGTATTGTTTTGTTAAGATTTGGATTATGAAATTGTGTGTTTGTGTGTGTAACAGTGGTAGAGACTGGATATGTTTTGGACAGTACTGACACTATGATTTCCCTTGAAACTGTAAATTTTATCAATGGCAGAATACAATCTGAGTATTCAAATCAAGCATTTTAACTGTGTGTGTGTGTGTGTGTGTGTGTGTGTGTGTGCGCGCGCCAGCCCTACCCTGATGGCTGGAATCTACCTGGTGGAGGAGCTCAAAGAGGAAATGTTCTCAACCTGAATGGAGCAGGAGACCCACTCACACCAGGGTACCCTGCTAAAGGTGTGTATCTCTTTGTCTTCGTACTTGCTTTAGAGCCTGTATGTTATGTGTTAGTTTATCTAACATAGTCTTGTTTTACAGAATATACCTACAGATTCAGCCTTGACGCTGGAGTGGGACTCCCCAAGATTCCTGTGCATCCAATTGGCTTCCAAGATGCAGTTCACCTGCTGAGGTCAGAAAATTTTTTCCTCTCTTCTCTTTTCCACACTTTCCACAGTGTTTTTTTTTCCTAAAGAAAAATGCAGTCATTCAGTGCACAACTATTTTATAAAGTCTGCTAAAATGCTGACAATTAGTGGTCACCTTATTTTAGCATGTTAGCACAAAGTACCACTGAGGCTAATGGGAATTTGTTTTGGTATGTGGCTAAAAAGCAGTATTGGACATGTTTTAAAAACTGACCTAATGGTGACGCCAAATGAAAAGTCAGGGGACTAGCAAAGTTACTACAATTCACCCTGTGGGAGACATGAAAGTATTTAGTCAAATTTCATGGCAATCCATCTAAAAGTTGTTAAGATATACCATTCTGGACCAAAGTGGTGGGCCAACTTGCAGACTGATATTGCCCTCCCTGGAGTTACACAGCATTTTTAATGGGGTCCTTAAATAAAATTGGCAACTGATTTGTAGTATTTACAGAATATGTGAATTATTTACCATTCAACAGGAAAATGGGAGGACAGATTCCACCCAACAACTGGAAAGGAGCTCTGGATGTCTCCTACAGGATTGGTCCAGGCTTTACGGATGACTTCAAGAGCCAGTAAGTGCTTACATCAAGCTCTTTCCATGACCAGTGTCATAGTGATCACTTCACCTTGTGATAATGTGATTCTCCCATCCACTTACTTTTTTACAGTAAAACTCTATTCTCTCCAGTTGATGGTCTCTGCGGCTTCATTGCTGTCTTGACTCTAGCATTTGAATTGTTTCTCCCCTTTTGTTGCTCTTTTTCTCTTGCTCAGCTTTAATGACCCAGTGGCATGTAGCCAACTAAAGTACAATGGAGGCCCTTGTAACTGAATTTTAATGTGCAAAACACTAAAGGACTTCTTCTGGCCTTTGAGAGGATTAGATCTCTATTCCCTTCCCTCCTGATCGCTCTTCTTTTGTTTGTCTATCTGTGTCTGCAAGGGTGTCACTTTGTGTTGAAAAGTGGCAGGGACATAAGGGCTCAGATTAGGGGCGTGATTATGCATGAGAATAAGACGGGAATATTTTTAACACTATTTTCAAGAAATATTAAATGTGGGAAAACATGAGCGGGGATTCTGGGGGTCCTCCCCCAGAAAATTGGAGCATTAAACACTTGATTTCCTGCTTTCTGGAGACATTTTCTGCTCCTGAATTGGAGCAGAAAATGACATATCAACATATCATATATAAGTAAGTGGTCGACATATCTCTATTTATATAAAGGGAAACAAAAAAATCAGCTGGCAGTGGACAATTCATGAATATAAAAATCTAAAAGAATGTAATGCAGTAATCAGTTGCTTGTTTTTTTTAGCTTTAAGTTACTTTTTTTGGACAATGCACATTTGTTTCTTCTATATTTAAATTGCATTGCATGTTTTCTTATTGTGCAAATAAACCTATCTCAAAGGGTTTTCATTTGTTAGTTAACATTTCGGGGTGCAAGCTATTTTTCAGAACATTTTAAAAAATGCTTTCAAAAAGTGATGGAGACAAAATCAGCCACCTCAAAATGTGGTGGGGACATGTCCCCAGCATTCCTGGTGTAAATGACACCTATGTGTGTCTGTCTTTGCATGGGATAAACACAATGAACATACTGCTATGTATGCAATCACAAATAGAAAAACACACATTCTTTTGTGAATTTTATAACCGTTTTCTGCTTTTTATTCCCAAATTCTGCTCTCATTAGTCATTTACTGTTAAACCTAACTTATTGATCTGTTTCTCCCCTCTCTCTTTGTTTGTGTGTGTATCTCTGTCTCCCCTGTGTGTATCACCCCTTCCTTTAATCTGTCTGTCTCAGGAAAGTGCGGATGAACATCTACACTGACAACCAGGTAACCAGGATCTACAACGTCATTGGCAGAATTAGAGGAGCTCTGGAGCCAGGTACAGCAACCCAACCTGCTCTAATCCTTCTTTAAATCCTTCTTTTCAATGCTGCAGCTTAAATCAAGGAATACATTGTATTAGTCCTGTAAGTAAGTGCCTGTTTTTGGTATAAACGTTTTGTGAAAGAATTAGCCACATGGTGGCATTTCTATGAGAAGACATTTTAACTAACTGTATAAAATTGGGAAAAATACATTTTCATTATTTGTCTCTTTGTCTGATTCCTCCGTCAACATGCATTGTTGGCTCTGTGTGTTTGTGTATGTGTGTGTTTAGACAGGTATGTGATTCTGGGAGGACATCGGGATGCCTGGGTGTTTGGAGGAATTGATCCCATGTCTGGTGTTGCAGTCGTCCACGAAACAGTCAGGAGCGCTGGCAGGCTGCTCAGTAAAGGTACGTCTTAGCGAGTGCGTCAGTACTGTGTGTGTGTGTGTGTGTATATGTGTGTTTGTCCTCAGAAAGGGTCGTTCCCAAAATGTATGTTCTGATCTGGTGTCCTTACAATACCACGCAAAGACAAGGAGGTGTGTTTGTGTGTGTGTGCAGGTTGGAGGCCTAGGAGAACTATAATATTTGCCAGCTGGGATGCAGAGGAGTTTGGACTGCTGGGATCTACAGAATGGGCAGAGGTATTCATACACCAACCCATACGTGCTTCCACACTTGCACAAGCACGCGAAGACACACGCACACAAACACACACAGACATACACTGATCACACATTACCCTTCTCAACAGGATAATGCTAAGCTGCTGCAGGAGAGAGCTGTGGCCTACATCAATGCAGACTCTGCCATTGAGGGTGAGTGTGTTTGTTTTTACAGCTCAATATTCTCAATGCATTAAAGACGAGTGTTGAGGCTGAATTGGTTTTGATATGGCTTGTGTTTGTGGCTATCTATTTGAATTCCAGGCATGTACACATTGAGGGTTGACTGCACTCCGTCTTTACACACTTTGGTTTACGATCTCACTAAGCCAGGTGAGCAGGTTAATGCACACAAAAGGAATGGTACATCTAAAATACATTTCAGTAAATTAGTTTTATCTTTCATGTTAATTGTTATGTTGTATTCATATTTCCTCCCTGTCTTTCTCTCTGTCTTGTTTGCATGTAGATAGCCAGTCCAGAAGAGGAAGAGGTAGGAGTTTCTCTGTACGAGAGTTGGCATAAGAGGGATAACTGGACGAATGACCGTGATGCACCCAGGTACAAAACCTCACAATCTGATGCTTCTTTGGGTCAGAGCCAGGGTGTACACAAACTAACAACAAAACCTGAACAACAACAATAAAACACACACAAGAACAAGCTTCAGCAGCCACAATAGCATTGCTGCAATCAGAAGTTAGTAGAGGAAAGAACAAGATGCACGTCACAGGTGAAGATTATTAATTCTCCAATATAAATTTTGCAGTTTGGACACACAATGTGAAGATGTGTAACTATTGAAAGGCCTCAACTCTACCATCACCTGTCTCTGTGTGGCCGTGTGTTGGGTTTAAAACAAATTTCAAATGTAAAGTGTCAGTCTTAGCTAATCAATTAAACAATATAGAATTAATTAAACAAATCTCAAACAAATCAGTCTGTCCTTCACTCTTGTGTAGGATAAGTAAACTCGGGTCAGGCAGTGATTTTGAAGCCTATTTTATCCGTCTGGGAATTGCTGCAGGCAGAGCCAGATACACCAAGAACAAGGTGAGACATGTTGCATAAACATAACTAATTTTATTAATATTAAGATATATTGCTATAAGGTTACTGTGTGCCTTCAAGGACTCCAGTGTCCTCTGTGTGTTTGTGTGCATTCAGAAAACAGAGCGGTACAGCAGTTATCCAGTCTATCACAGTGTGTATGAAACCTTTGAGATAGTGCAGAAGTTTTACGACCCCTCCTTCAAGAGACTTCGGGCGGTGGCCCAGGTGAGAGGCGGACTCATCTTCCAATTGGCCGATTCCCAGGTCCTTCCTCTTGATGTCAATGAATATGCAGACTCACTGAGGAAGTACGCACAGAGCATCGCACAGTTGGCACAGAAGCACCCAGAGGAGATGAAGATGTTTGATGTGTCGTTTGGTGAGTTGACTTTGGTCCCTGTGTGTTCAGACTACGATAACTTAAATAGTAAGTTAAAGTATTTATTTGCATTTCATTTTTTTCCTCTACATTTTCAGATTCCTTGTTTTCTGCTGTAGAGAACATGACCTTTGCATCCAGGGACTTCCATGAGCGCCTGCAGGCTCTCAACAGAGCAGAGTAAGAGAATGTTTAACAGTTTATACAGTTAGATCCAAACAAATGCTTAAAGAGGTGGTATTGTGCTTTTTGGGTTTTTCCTCCCCTTTATTGAGTTATATACCTTTTTTGTGCAGGTAATAGGTTTGCAAAGTGAAAAAGCCCAAAGGGAGTTCCCATCTCCCACAGAAAACTCTGCTCTGAACTGCCTGAAAACAGCTCATTTGTAGTCCAGCCGTTTCCCTTTCATCCCTGTGACGTCACAGGGATGAAAGCTAAATGCGCCTCATAACGCTCGCCAAGCAGCTACTCCGACACGCCCTCAAAAACACCGGTGGAAAAACACTGAGCTGCAGCACAAACTTCTCTCCCTTCCAAACACTAGCTACCCTCCAGGCAGTCAATGGACTGTGATGTAGAGACAGAACTCCGTTAAAACTTTATGGATGAAAGATAAATTTGTTACAGATTAATAACTCACCACTCTGAAACTCTTGCTCCAGCTGTACATGTTTCGGAGCTGGTCGGCAACATGTACAGCTGAAATGAAGCTTCACATTGGCCCGCCCTTTACTGCTTCTGATTGGCTAGTAGTCCTTAACTGCGCATGTGCAGCTCCCAACAAAGATCATTTAGAGACAAGATGTATCACTCCATAGCTAAAACGAAGTGTTCAACACACAGGGTGAAAAGAGGAGCTGCAGCAATGTGCAGTATGACAAAAAATATGGTGTTTTTTTGAAAATTAAACCATGTAAACCTGTTCTGGTACAACCACTAAATAGGATTTTGAACCTGAAAATGAGCATAATACCCCCTCTTTAAATATATTGGTGTGTATGCTGTAGTTTCTATATGCTTTGAAACATACACAAAGGTGCACCAAAACAACAGCTCTGCCATAAATTCTTCATTCACAAAGTTGATTATAAAATGTGTAAATTAAATTATGTGTATTACTGATGTCTTAATTAAAGGTGGTGTTGTACTGGACAACATTGTATTGAGTAGTGTTTCTAATTTATTTTCTGTCCTCCCAGTTCATTAAGGGAGCCAGAATATTAGAAACACATATCAGTATAATGCAGTCCATTATTTTATTTTATCTATTTATTGGATTATTTAACGGATACAGTGCACATTAATAAACATCGCTGTAAATGCGCTGGAGTTAGCCAAGAGGTCATTTTTCATCTGTAGTCCCTGGACAGATGTTACACAGCTATCCTTAAAAAGAATATAAGATTAAAATTTCAAAGTACAACACCACCACAAGTTATGACCTCAGTGCTAAAGCATAATTGAATATAAGTGTCCAAAAACCTCAACATTATAGACATCATAAAAGTAGACTTTATGACAGAATAAAGTGGCCCCTGAGTGTGTGTTGAGTGTAGTCAAGTGTGTCTGAAAGGCAACTGGATGTCCAATGGCAATGTGTGTGTGTGTGTGTGTGTGTGTGTGTGTGTGTGTGTCTCAGTCCTCTGCAGGTACGTGTCATGAATGATCAGCTCATGTATCTGGAGAGAGCCTTCATAGACCCCCTGGGCTTACCTGGCAGACCCTTCTACAGGTTACTCACACACACTCACACACGTAACACAGTTTCCATTTGGTTTATGTCCCTTAACGGGAGCAGCATGAACCAGTCGAGCACATGACCACTAAATAGCCCTGTGGTGTGTTTATGGCTTTGAATGGTCAGCACGATTTATGCCAGGATCACTGGATTCAACAGTTAACTAAATATTTTCTACTTGCATGTCTTATATATCATCGATATCTGTAGCTCTGCAGTATCCCCATAACTAATGTCAATTCACAAACATTTCTACTTCGACCAGAGTGAATCTTTTATTAATTTTACTTTTATATTCCATAAACTGAGAAAACAGATGAGAAAAGTCTGAAGAATAACCATTTTTAGAAGAAGATATTGGTTTTATTTCTAGTTTCAATGTCGTTGATTATCTCATAATTGCTTAGAAATGATTAATAACCTTTTTCCCAGCACACATTTTGTCAGCAGGAAAAGCACAGGTGTTACTGATGACTTTAACAAGGGCTCTGTTTTATTCAAGTGTCACAGTAGGTCAAGACAGTGAACCTGCATGCGCAAAACCAAAACCCTGAAACTGAAGCACCTAAATGAAATTCAGCAATCAATAATTAGTGTGAATGTCAGATATTGTCCACCATGTTTGTTTTTGTAGTTCCCATCTTTTTCTTTCTCTCTCTCTCTCTCTCTTTTTCTCTCACACACCCACACACACCAACTTTTAATTTAAGCATGGTCTGTTTTATCAGCAGACCTAGTTTTGGCAGCTGACTCAAAGCAGACTGTGGGGTAGGCTTGTGTATCCTATGAGAGGTGACGATAAAGACACTGATTCTCCAGCAAAACAATGCAGTCTTATGTACCTCAGAGGTTAGAGTAATATCCTTTAAACTGTGTTGTCAGTTCTATTACACCGTATCTGTGAAATTTTAAATTCCCTTATTCAACCTATTATACATTTTCCACACTAAAAAAATAATGGCTCTAAAATCCTTCCGTTGTCTTAATCTGATGCATTTTTAAACCCTTTCTGGATATTTTAGCTTCCCTACTTATCTGAGTTGTTTTGTTTTCTACAGATTGATCTCATCCTGTCTATTTATACATATTTCCAAATATATATTATATAAAACTATTTAAAAAAAAGGAGTTTGACAATCATACTGGATACCTGTGGAGTGCCCCCCCCCCCCTTTACTCCTCACACTTTTGAGCTTCTCTTAAAAATCCCACACAATAAATATTGAATCTGTAATATCTCCAGTACGGTCCTTAACATAACACTCTTCCTCTTCTCTGTTTCAGGCATGTGATTTTTGCTCCCAGCAGCCATAACAAATATGCTGGGGAGTCTTTCCCTGGGATCTATGATGCATTGTTTGACATCGAGAACTCAGCTGACCCAGAGAAGTCCTGGGAGGAAGTCAAGCGTCAAATCAGCATTGCAGCATTCACCGTTCACGCTGCTGCCATGACTCTAACACCACCAGCATGAAGCACACGCAGTCTAAAGTCATGTGACTGAGCTATCTGTTCACACTTATGTTATAACACCAGAATGTGAAGAGAGAGAATACACTTCCTGTAACACATGCAGAGATGGACAATCACTGTTATCTGAACCTGTCATGTTCCAGGAACGTCCAGAGCTCAGTAATACAGTGAATCTCTGGGCGCCATCACCATATATAAAAATTACAAAACTGTCTTTTTACTCTTAAATTCTAATTTGTTATGTGGCTTCAGTAAAGTAATATATGTTTTTTTTGCTGTTTTGTAATAATTCAATCAGAAATGAATCCATTCTTTACATGTGGGCTGAAAACAGCTGATATGTTGTGCATGTAATATGTAAAAATGTGACATGTGACTGAAATGTTTTATTTTCATCCATGCTGTGATTTTTTTTCTTTAATTTCCTTGAAGACACAGTACTTTTGCACACACCCAAAAACATATAATGTTAAGCCTGAATGAACAGGTTAGTGGTAAAAGTTATAATCTTTAAAATGTTCATGTTGTGAACTGAACAGTTTGAAGCTGCCTTTGTGCAACAAAGACTTGCCTTAACAAGAATGTTTTTGTAATTTATTTTGTGACCTCCAAGGACTCTTTAACAGGCTGAATAAAAAAAGAGTAACTGAATGCAAGCTAAAATACACAGTGCACATCGTCCAGTCCAGAAACATTTATTTCACTATTGAACAACGTTAACCAATTTAAGAGATGCAAAAAACACACTGAAAAGTGTGCCCTGGTCCTTATGTCTACACTGGATAGATGAACCAGCCAATAAGACCGAATGATATGCCTCACCACCATTGCATTAAAGCTACAATATGTTGCCAATATTACTGACTGTGACAGAGTCATGATGACTCGAGTCATCAGTTGACAGCAAGAGGTCTCACCATGCGCAATGAGACAGGAGGCAATCTGCTCAGAAAAAGACGAGCCGAGGAGGGACACTAGTGAGGTTCTAGATGGCTCTGTATGTTTGGCCTCTTCCTGTTGTTGACCCTGTAAGAGGGAGAGCAGGTCGAGGGGGCCCAATGTGATCGCCTCTGCCTTCTTAAGAGATACCTCTATCTTTGCCGCAATCAGTTTCACTAATATTCTGTTCACCTTCACAGCCTGACAGAATGAATAAAAATGCATGCTCTTTGTCTTTTATGGTTCTCTACCCACTTAGTGTAGTTTATTGTGGAACAAATGAAAAAGCCTGTTTGCTCATGTAATATTTATTAATTATACATAATCCACGATGCAGATACGTCTAATCTGTTGTCTAGGATCTGTCTTTTGTGCGTCTTCAGTTTTTTGGGGGGGTGTTTTTGGTAAAAGGTTTGTAAGAATGTGAAGCCTTTTAAATACACAAAACTTGTCACAAGTTCAAGGGTGTAGAATTTAGGGATAATACAGGGACATGTCCTTACCATTATCCAGTGACAACAGAATTGTCCTATAGCAATATAACAGATCTTGTTCTCTACTATAAGCCAATGCATTTTATTTTTGAAAGAGCATGTCCTCTCACCTTTTTCAGACCCTCAGAAACTTTATTTTAAAAATTCTCATAAAATATGCTCCCTTGCATAGGTTTATAACTAATGATTGCTTTCTACTAGCCAAGAGCAATGCAAGGCAGGGGCAGGCAACTAGCCAACTGTGACCTAAATGGCTGGCTGTGGCTTGGCTGTGCAGCTTGAGTCTGGCTTACTGCAGTTCAGTTAACACTCAAAGGTGTCATTAATAATGGAGTTATTTTAAGAACTTTGATGGCTTTATCCAGTTTGTTATTAAATTTGTAAAAAAAAAAAAAAAAAAAACTATCATGTGTCTCTTCATTATATTCCCACACAAAAAAGCTGCTTTAATGGTCAAGCAAAGCCTATAGATTTTCATTATATTCCAATCAAATCTGATGTTCCTTTGTAAATTTTACTCATGGATAGTGGTTACAAATAATGATGCCTGTGCATCGCTTTGTACGGCAATTTATACGCACACAACAGGGGCTGAAGGAACCTTTTAGTTCGTTGAAAAGAGATACTTTTGCGGCTAAAGATCACAGGCTTTGCTGTCTGAACGATTGGGTTTTTTATTCTACCACAGGAGTGCGCCAAGTCGTAACCAGGTCTTCCACTGGGACATAAAGGAATAAAAGTCTGATGTTTTCTCCCTGCAGTAGCTCCAGTACTTCATGCTGCAAACAAACACACAACACATTTCATAAAGCACATTCAACTACAATCTCTACAGCAAGTAATGTGGACTTACAATACTAACAATTGCACACTAAAAACTGGATATAAAGACTTTGCCAAGCTAATTAGACAGTGTGTTGTGACTGTGTTCTCACCTCTCATGGCAAACAGGAACTCAGGAGTGGTGTTTGCAGATTTCCTGACTGAGACTGAGTTAAAGAGAGTCACACACACTGGATGTCATTCTACTTGCAGTTTGTCCTCATAGTTTAATTTTTGATTTTTTGTCCTTTTCACTTTTGAAAAATAATATTTCCCCAGCTATCACTATCAAAAAGTAGATGTTAAAAGTAATCTAAAGTAAGAATTAATTTGGGCATCATATTATGTTATTGGACCTGACCATGGTGTACCCCGCCTTTCGCCCGATGTCAGCTGGGATGGGCTCCAGCCCCCCGCGACCCTGTAGGCAGGATAAGCGGTTGACGATGGATGGATGGATGATGTCATTGTCTGTGTCTCTGTAAAAAAATCTCTACATTCAAAGGATGGCCAACTAAACTAGAAACAGAATCAGCTCCTTACCTTAGAGCAGGAAGTACCAATCTCAGAGAGAATTATAAATGACATTCCATCAAACTCATTTTTGACAGCTATTTCCGGTCCCACCACCCCCACCGGATGTCTGTATGTAACTGATAAGAGGGGGTGCATCCTGTCCCGCCCCAACCGGAAATATGGCTGTATGTAACTGATAAGAGGGTTGCGTACATCCTTCCATTGTGTGTTTTTCATTGATTTAAAGAATTTATTAAGTAATACAACTTGAATGAATTAACTAGGAGGTGTTTGTGACAATAAATTTATCATTAAAAAAGTATAGCAGTGAGTTATAAGTAAAAGGAGGAATTCCGGGGCCAGCAAAGGATCAGTAGGAGGTTTCTTTGGAATCAAGTCAGTCTTTATTATTAAACAAGTGAAGAATAAATTGAAATAATGACAGCAAAGCAGTAAAATGGTATAACGGTGAGTAAAAATTAAACAGCATTACAAATTACCTTCAACAGCATGCAGCAAAATAAGAGAGTGTTCCAAATTACTTTGCTATTGCTTTGTCTTACAAACTTGCCATCATTATCACTCCAAAGCTGTAGCCTAGAGTTTCCATGAGCCAATGACAAGAGACTAGGAGGGGTTACCATAGGCCAATGATGGGAGTCTGTGAAAATAAAAGGAGTCCATTTAGTCATTCAGAAACATATAACGAAACTATTCCAAAACAACCTAAACATGAGCAAGAGAGCAGTCAATTCGAAGATGATCAGCCAGACACCTGTAACGAGTTATCAAAACTCAACCCCAGGAGGAGCCCCAAAGAAACGAGTGTTGTACTTGAGTCGGATCCAGACGCCGCCACCCGATACACTTCATGAGGAATGGAATTTAGATTCAGGACGTGTCTGGGGGTATGCATTCAATTATGATGTAAACGAACTTTGTTTTTACCAGTTGGAGAAAGGTGAAACATTTGGACCCCTCACAGCAAAAGCAACGCTCACATCAACGGACTGGGCTGTGCTGACTCTGTTGGTTTTAAACAATCTGAAAGCCGCGACGTCCGAGGAACCTGCTACAAAAGACAAGGAGACTCAAACAACTGTGAGAATCAAGCAGGAAGTTCCACCCGTGTTTGTTCCTAAAAAAATTGTTTCCTGTAGTGTTTGGGAGACAAAAAGCTCAGCTTCTGGTAGATGGTTCTACCGTGCAAGCCATCAGAAGAGTGAAGGAGATGAAGCCTTGGATGAATTTGTCTTGCAGTATTTCAATACTGAATGTGGCGTGTTTCAGACTTCATTAAGGATACCTGTCGAGGATTGGATGGAAATAATGTTTGAAAAAGCAGAAAAGCTAAAAGATCTCTTCAAAAAAAGTCAGACCTCCTGGGAGATTCTCACAGTTGTTTGAGTCTCCTTGTCTTTTGTAGCAGGTTCCTCGGACGTCGCGGCTTTCAGATTGTTTAAAACCAACAGAGTCAGCACAGCCCAGTCCGTTGATGTGAGCGTTGCTTTTGCTGTGAGGGGTCCAAATGTTTCACCTTTCTCCAACTGGTAAAAACAAAGTTCGTTTACATCATAATTGAATGCATACCCCCAGACACGTCCTGAATCTAAATTCCATTCCTCATGAAGTGTATCGGGTGGCGGCGTCTGGATCCGACTCAAGTACAACACTCGTTTCTTTGGGGCTCCTCCTGGGGTTGAGTTTTGATAACTCGTTACAGGTGTCTGGCTGATCATCTTCGAATTGACTGCTCTCTTGCTCATGTTTAGGTTGTTTTGGAATAGTTTCGTTATATGTTTCTGAATGACTAAATGGACTCCTTTTATTTTCACAGACTCCCATCATTGGCCTATGGTAACCCCTCCTAGTCTCTTGTCATTGGCTCATGGAAACTCTAGGCTACAGCTTTGGAGTGATAATGATGGCAAGTTTGTAAGACAAAGCAATAGCAAAGTAATTTGGAACACTCTCTTATTTTGCTGCATGCTGTTGAAGGTAATTTGTAATGCTGTTTAATTTTTACTCACCGTTATACCATTTTACTGCTTTGCTGTCATTATTTCAATTTATTCTTCACTTGTTTAATAATAAAGACTGACTTGATTCCAAAGAAACCTCCTACTGATCCTTTGCTGGCCCCGGAGATTCCTCCTTTTACTTATAACTCACTGCTATACTTTTTTAATGATAAATTTATTGTCACAAACACCTCCTAGTTAATTCATTCAAGTTGTATTACTTAATAAATTCTTTAAATCAATGAAAAACACACAATGGAAGGATGTACGCAACCCTCTTATCAGTTACATACAGCCATATTTCCGGTTGGGGCGGGACAGGATGCACCCCCTCTTATCAGTTACATACAGACATCCGGTGGGGGTGGTGGGACCGGAAATAGCTGTCAAAAATGAGTTTGATGGAATGTCATTTATAATTCTCTCTAATCTCCACCTCATTGCCCTCTTCCTCTGTGCAGAAATCCTTGAGTTTATGTTGTTCTTGAGACCGTGTCTTACAATGTCCCCATAGACCCTACACGTCACATAATGTGTTATTAACACACATCTTTGGGATTACTATCCTGCACATGCACATATTCTTTATACCTCATACTTGTGAGCATTTGCACATTCCCTGGTTAATATTTTGCAAATTCCCTCACAAAACGTTATTTCATTCAAGTTGACCAAGTTGTGTGGCCTAACAGCTTGGAAAAAAACCAAATTAATTATATATTTGCATGTACAAGATATTTTTAGTTTCTGGGTTTACACACTAATCAGAAGGTGCTATACATTTGGTGACATTGTTGCAGATATGAAGAAAAGATATGAAGAGAAATGTTTTTACTCTTTTGGACACTGCACTTAGAGCTTTGAGAATGAGGTTAGAGTTTCAGAAAATGCATCTAAGCAGTTGAGAAACAGTATCTTGAATACATTACAGTTGAATACATCGAAAAAATACATTTCTACACTTTTACTGTGGGGGAAAAAAATATGTAAAGAATACCTAAAACGTTTGGCAAGGACAAAGTATTTAATAAAAGTTTTAAAAAGTGGAAAGTCAAAATCTTGACTTAGTAAGTCTAAACTTTTAGATACTAACTCTATTTCTGATTTATTATGTCAGAATAAGTTGAAAAAACTCTTACAGTTTTTCTCAATTGCTTAAGCACTATAAAACCAGGCTTCTGAGCTAAACTTTCAAAAACATAACTCCATTTTTCCATAAGCACACCCATTTTCCTAAACTCTACTCACAAATCCCTTCATTTCTCATTGCCTACACCATGTGGTCATTGAGAAAGCACTAACATTCAATATTGTTCACTCAATCAGCACAGCTTGAGCTCAATTAGCACACAGCTACCCAGGGGGAAACATAAAACAGTCAAAACTGATAACACACCAATGTGAATCTTCAATAGATGGATGACAGGGCCAGAGTCAGTTCATTCAGTTTTGGAACAATTCAATGGATGGACAATGGATCCAAAGAAATCTGAAGGAAGAGGTTGAGGACACCAGAGAGGAGGAGGAGGAGGAAACGCAGTATGGAGAGGTGGAAGAGGTGAAGGAAGAGGAACATTAGGAGTTAGAGGAGAAGAAGGGATAGGAGGAAGATGAGGATGCGGAGCAAGAGTAGGGCGGAGGAGGAGGAAGGAGTAGTAATGAGGAAGAGGAGGTAGAGAGAGGAGGAGGAGGTGGAGAAGGAAGTGGAGAACAAGAATCTCTGGTCTGTCCCAGACAAAAGACAGGATGCTGGGGCAAAATAATTTGTTGTTTGGTGTGTTGTACTGTACAGTACTAAGAAATAAAAAATGTGCAAATGTTTATGTCGTGGAAATTATTTTCCTGGTGAGGGGTTGAGCAAAGAACACTGGACAGTTACAACCAACCATTGTCTTTAAAGAATTTATTAACAAAAGAGAATAAACAGAGAAGTACTACAACACATATACTGTACAGCTGGTCCAGAGACCTGCTGCCTAGGGCAGCTTTGGGCATCTGGCCCCAAGCAAAGGGATGCATCATCATTTACACAGTCTAGGTTTCTATGTTTTGGGGAACAGAGATCCTCTCTCCTTGAATGAACATTCCAGGAGAGGAACAACAAGAGAGGAAAACACCAAAACAATCTCACAGCTCTGACCTAAACCCTAGTAAATGTGGACGAACTAACATAAGGGGTATAGGAGAGGAAAGGTTAAGGATAAAAAACACAATACATATATCTATAAGCCATAACGAGAATAGTAATAATAATATATTAAAAGACCATACATAAAAGATTAAATGTAAGAGGACACAATTTTCTGCCATAACAGTTTACATTTGTTATGTTCATAATGTGAAAAGGTTTCTCAGGGGGAGAATCACAACATTAATTATAACCTGTTTTTGTAGTATTGTTTTGAATTTATCTCACCAGTGTGTAAGACTGTGTTGTAGTGTGTGTGTTTTTGAGGGCTTGTGTGTTATGTCTGAGGGCAAAGTTTGGTTATTCAGCAAGATTGAATGGTTTTGAGTGGACAGCTTCTTTTTGACCTGAAAATAGGACGTTTGGGGAATTGGATGAGAAGTTATGGATTTGTGTTTAGAGCTTCGAGAAAAAGAGGCATAATTTCAAGGAATGTGTTCAAGCAATCGAGAAAAACTGTAATTATGAGAGTTACTTCATGTACTCTCATTTTTATATATATATATATATATATATATATATATATATATATATATATATATATATATATATATATATATATGTGTGTGTGTGTGTGTGTGTCTGTAATTTATATGCACATTAAACTTTTGCATTGACATATTTATGACAATTTTCTTACTCTGTTTAAATTGTTTGTATAATGTTTATCAGTGGAACAATGTTTAATGCTGCCTTCTTGGTGAGGTGTCTCTTAAAAAAAGAATTGAATTTCAAGATCACTTTTACTGGTAAAATAGGAAAGGAAAAGATAAACAGGTATTTGATCTATGAAGTACTTCCCCAAGGCCTGTGTTTAAAATATTACTATAAATGAAAATTCCCATGTATCAGCTTTCCTTTCAACCAAACACCTTCAACAAAGGAAGCATTTTTTCATGTATGCAGCTGACATAACCAAATTCAATACATTCTCCATAACTGAAAAGCATCTTCCCGTAGAACAGATGTTTGCATCTTATTTGACAGGAAACTTTCACACTGTTAGGCTCCTGAACCTGCATTTGCATGTGCTTTATGGAAAAGGGGAAGTTGCTGTTCAGTTCTTAGCTAAACACAGAGGCCTCTTTCATTTCATTTTAATATGGGTTTATCTTTCCCGTTGTTATGTGTCCAAAGAGCATCAGACAGAAACAACACAAAGACAAACCAAAAGACATGGTCAAACTAACTATTTTGCTGATTTTTCAGCTGATGCAACAGACAAAAGAAATAAATACTAACCACTTTAAGCATCAAACACAATACTAGATTTTTATTTGGGAATAAGTGAGAAAGCAAAACTTGTTCTATACACTAAAGATTACATTTTGTGCAGACTGTTGTTAACACTCACCTCTGGTGAACACACACATAAAGAAAGCTGGTTAATATTGATTTGGCATGTGCTTTTACCTTAAAACATACACATGCATCTGACATCTTACAGTCTACACACAGTACACATCCACAGCGTCTCATTAAAAGTCTTAATCCCCTTTTTAACTAATGAGCAAACCGCTGTGGGTGTGTTTCTTTGGTTATTTGGCGGAAGAGGTAAACGGCTCTATAAAGTGATGTGCTATAAAGACTTCTGTTCATATTTCCCTACCCACCCTCCTGACACTTTTTGTGGAGAAATACATCCTCATTTACTGGGTAAGTTTTTGATAGATTCATTAACATAAACATGTTGGTGTTCAATCCTTAGAGCTACTTAATACAATGGTTACAAATTCAGTCAAAAATGTGTTTTTGACTTGTTTTTTTAATTTTGATGTGGAAAAATTCATGTGCAAGAAAAACATTTTTTTACATGCAGGATAGTTACATAGGTGTATTACATGTGTATCTGTTATACTAAAAATCTACAAAAAAACATGATACTTGAATAATTTCACTTCAATGTACTGTATATTATATTCTCAACAAATGCATATGTGGTAGTTTTTTTATGTAAGGTGTTGGTAGGAAGAAACCACAATACACTGAAATAAGCAGTACAGAGAAGCCCTCATCACAGAGTATTTGACTGCCAAAGCACTATTACACTGACAGCAGAGTTGTACAGTGTGGATATATTTCTCAGTTCTTTAAATCTGGGCAAAATACTACTGAATGATTTCTGAGTGATGATATTACCATGAATATTTTGGTTTAGTAATCTGCATCTAAGGTGTTCTGTTCACTTTTATCCTCTATTTGTACTTCTTTTTGTTTTAGATGCCATGGCACAGTTTATCCATCTCTTACTGCTGCTGGGTATGTGCTGGCCCTATTTTTTTAATCTTAGCAAGATAAATATTTCTCTTCATGTGTAATCACTGTTCATATCACTGCAGTGTTGTTTTAAATATATAAACAGAGAGATAATTTATATTTTGGTAATTATTTTCAGATAGATTTATATCTTGTTCTTCACACTAGTTTATGGTTTAGCTTTCTTTCTGATAAATTCAGGTTTTTACAAAACGATATTTTCAAATTTAAACAAAATAAAAATGTCAAAGACTGATCCTCTGTTACGTTTTTTCCAATGTTGTAGCAACAATCCAGCTGCCTACAGTTTCAGTAAAAAAGCCATGTATACAGCTACAAGAGGGAATCAGTGTCCCTTTCAATTGCCTATCACAACGGACCATAAAATATTGTTGCAGAAATGACGACTGCGAGCCTTTGGCCAGCGGGACCAACCTCTGCATTAGTGACTTATATAAAGCCAAGCTTGAATTCTTTCTATGTCTGAAGGTATCAAAAGGTAAGCACTTTAATCATTTCAAATGCTGTGTTATCCCCACAAACGAATCATCAACATTTATTATCTGGAGAAGTAGATGAGTGCCTCAGTTTTTAACTTCACATGCTTTCAATTTCCAAGTACCTGCTTTTGCTTTAGATGAAGTTTATGGGAGAGGAGCTGAATTAGATTTATTGTAATTGCTGAGGGAATTATTTCATATTTAAAATATATTCGTCTCTAGTGTGCAGACAGCCAACATGTATGCATCACTTACTGACATTACAGTTATTGATATAGCAAGTACACAGAGAGGAAATTAATAAATGAGGAAGTTTTTGAAATCTGTCTGCACTCTTACTCTAACTATTTTTTTGAATTCTTTCATGTTTTCATTTATCAGATTGTACAAACTCAGTCTGTTGTCCTACTGCAGCTGACTGTGTGAGACACTGTGGGACTGGAGATCCCACCTGCCAATGCTTCACATTTCATACAGAGTAAATATCTGTTGTGTCCACAAGTGGCCATAGAAAACATAATGGGCCAGCATGTTTGTGTCAGCTTATTTATGGTTACACTTATTAGCACTACTTTATCTGATTAAAAAGATTTTGTTCCCCCCACAGCAATGGAAAATGTTCCCTGAGGTCATCAAGAGATCACATGGAGATAAACTGTGATAAAGACAATGTCTCATGGTACCTTGTTAGGAAGAACTGCAGTGACATAAATGGCAAGTGATTTCAATTCATGTTTAAAATACATTTTCTTTATTTTGCTGTTTTTTTTATTTACCCTATAATGTTGCCACAAATAAATATAATTTGAAATATGCGAGAAATCGGGAGAAGATATAAGGAAATCCAACTCTTAAAAGGCCTTGTCCATGATTTTATAACAAAGGATCTAAAAAAATAAAGTGAAAAAAAAAAATAATGCTAGATGCTGGTATGCATTACTTTCAGTGTCAACTTTATTTCCTACAAGATGCAGGTCTGCAGTTCAACCCCACACCTAAAAGCTGGATCGATGCTCTGGAGGACTGCCTCAACCAGAACTCCATCCTGGTTCAAATCACCAACCAGACAGTGCAGGACGCAGTGAACTTGCTCCTGCTAAATAACACAGCCAGTATGCAGAATGGGTCGTGGATCGGCCTGGAGCGGTCCATCTTTGGCCAAACCCCCCCCTGGAAGTGGACTTCAGGTTTAAAAGCTAATCAGACTGGAACACCACCATGGAACAGCAGTGCACCTGTGGACGCCTTCAACAACCACTGTGGAAAGATCATCTCGGTGAATGGGTCAAATTTCACATGGCTGGATGCAAACTGTCATGAAAAGCTGCCTTACATCTGCCAAGGTAAGCTGCTGTTTTGTTTAAGGCCCAGTCTGGCATGAGATTGTTACCAAATTTCATCTTTTTCTCCCCCATTTCCAGTTTCGAATGGAACGTCTTTTCTGGACACCAGTACATCACCTGAAAACTGTCCAGATGACTGACAGCAGAAATGTTGTTGTTTTCACTGTCTGTTCTGTCTTTTTTTTATCTCTTTCATAAAAATGGAAAAGTCATTCCACTATTGCTTTGATATAATTTTCAGTGAATTTTGGTGTTTTGGGCTGCTGGTTTTAGCATTCACATTTTATTGCACTTTCTGATAACTGACAGATTTTCTTTCTTTCCAAAACCAATTTGCAAGTACTGTAATACAGGCACTTGTTCATTATCATTCATCCAATAAACAGTTTCCCCTATTCCTCTTCTCATGTTGGTTTATACATGTTTAATAATAATGGGACCACTCTAAAAACCCAACAAGTACCAAGGAAATTACTGAAACTAATTATTAACACTGTTGTCTGTAGCAGTGCAGGACTAAAATGTACAATAAATAAGAAGAAAGAAGAAACACAAACTACTCGATTATTTTTTTATACTTCTAAATTAATAAAAGCACTTTCTCAGGGACACACACACACACACACACACACACACTCACTAAGGGTGCTCCGATCATCGGTCACCGATCATAATCGGCCGATAATGGCTTTAACAAGTTTGATCGGTGGTCGCTAAAAGGCCGATAAGAAAAGCCGATCAGATGATGCAAAACTCGCCAGACAAATTTTCAGCGGCAGCTAAAATGTTTCACTACACTGTGTGAGCGGTTTTCAAAGCTAGCTAGCACCAAAGTCCTTCTCAGACAAGGGATTAACACGCCCACTTAATCATTTACAATTCGAGTTAACCAGCAATCAGACAAGTGGAGCAACACTCAGGAGCGATCACGTGAAACTGTCGCAGCTGTGCTCATCTCACTCACATGCCACCCGCAACTGGAGTTTAACAGACGCAGCGCATCAGGCAGAGAGACTGATCCTTCAGTGTGAGTTTCTTGATGCAAAGAGCGGCGCCACTCAATCAGCTGACTTCCTCTCTCTCTCTGTTTTCGTTACAAAAACGGAGACCTTTTGCTACGTTTCCGCCTCCCGTACAGATTAAAACGGTGAATCAGAAGCAGAAGATGTTTGTTTGAAAACGCTGCTGACCCGATGGACAAAACAGAGGACTTTATAAAACGATGACACACACTCACATTTGGCTTTGTGAGTCGGTCTTATCAGTCATGCAAAGCAAAAACATGATGCTTTACAGAGTTTTAGTTTTGGTATTTTTATTAAAATATAAGTAATGTGTAAATAACACTAAACAGTTAGCCTAGCCTACTGTGCTGTTGCTGTATTTACTTTGTGTTAACTCCCAGTCTGTTTTCCAGCCGCCGTCTCTCGTACTCACGTGTTACTTCAGTAACATTTCCACTTCGTTGTCGGTCAATGCAAAAAGCCTGGTGTGGTTCTTGGTCTGTATTACTTTCACTAAATCGTCTGCTGCTGCGGAGTAAACCATCTGCTTCATGTTTACACTGGCACGCGCATGCCCAGTGTAGCTACCTGAACGGCCACTAGATGTGAGTTTTCAGTCATTCTAATATAGACAGAGATCAACTCTGATACGCAGCTGAAACGCTGCTATGGTTCGTTTAAAAATGATTCGTTACAAAAATGTTTTTAAAACGTGGCAGTGTGGATATAGCCTCACATTACCCCATTCCTCTCTCTACTCCTCTCATGTCAACCCTCCCGTTTTCCCCGAGATTCTCCCGTATTTTTCCGTTCTCACCCGGTATCTACCCGTTAAATGTTTCCCCCGTCAATCTCCCGTGTTTTTAACCTTTATGAAATCAAATAAAAACCTTGTTTGCTACTCTCCCTCTGGTAAAGTCGGTGGCAGCATTTAAAATATGTAGACTGTGCTTCCTGCACAAGGATTAAAAATGAAAATAATCCACTGAAATGATATAAGGCCTATAGCCTACTAATGGCAAACCATATGAAATTATAATGAATATAGTAGCCTATGTAATATTAACAATTGACTGTATAATATGGAATTTACATTGTAGCCTATTTTTATTTATTTCAATTTTCCCTATTTTCAAATCTCATTGAAGGCAGTTATGACTCCTCTCTGTAGCCCTTCTCCCTCTCTCTGCTCCTCTCTCCCCTAAAGCCCACAGAACCTGCCTGAGCTTTCCAGAACAAAAAGCAGCTACTTCAGAGTTTATCATCGACTCATGATGCCTGTGCTCCTTTATCTCCTAAATATTTTGGCTACAGCCTTTTTTGTTGCAGTTTTTATGGTTGTAGTAAATTTATAAAGATGCTGTTTTTTCTGTTTTTGTAGTTTATTCCTCAGTAAAGCTATATTTGTTAAGCTATAAGATGTTCACAGTAACCTGCTATGGTTTAAGTCTCTAACACAGATTGAGCAGAATTTGTTGCCCATGTTTCCTGGCAATAAAATAAACAGTAGTCATTTCATGATACTTTATCAACTGTTAACTTGAACACTTAATACATTGTTTTTAGGATCAATTAAATAAATATACAGAATAAAGCTACATGATAAATAAAAGGCTCCAAATAGACCCAGTGATCGGTGATCACTATCGGCCGATGCTGCTTTCAGCAATCGGCCCAAAGAATCCTGATCGGAGCACCTCTAACACACACACACACACACACACACACACACACACACACACACACACACACACACACACACACACACACACACACACACACACACACCCCAAAAAGCCTTAAATATCCCTTTTTCCAGAGAAGACAGTTCACACTAGTATCATCCTTTTCATAACATGACAAAACACAAGTTCATTGCTGGAATTCACCCTTTAGTCCGTTTTGTTACTTCTGTGTCAGATGGTAACATGAAAACCTAAAACAAAGAGGTAAACAAATGCAAACACAAATGCTGAAAGATCCAGTGTCACAAAATCTGTTTTGTATTGATGAATTGTCATGTCTTCTGATCTTTGAAGATTAGTTAAGTTAAAGATTCATTTTTTTCTTTTGTCACAATTGGAACAGGGGGAAAAAAATCATATCGAAATAAAACAGCTGAATAAAGACATGCAGTGCTGGATCAACTCCACTGTACTGGAATGCATAGAAAAACAGACTCTTTGATGTATTAAAGGGGACCTATTATGCTTTTCTATATACAGTGGGTACGGAAAGTATTCAGACCCCTTTAAATTTTTCACTCTTTGTTTCATTGCAGCCATTTTCCAAAAATCAAAAAAGTTCATTTTATTTCTCAGTAATGTACACTCAGCACCCCATCTTGACAGAAAAAAACAGAAATGTAGAAATTTTTGCAAATTTATTAAAAAAGAAAAACTGAAATATCACATGGTCATAAGTATTCAGACCCTTTGCCGTGACACTCACAATATTTAACTCAGGTGCTGTCTATTTCTTCTGATCATCCATGAGATGGTTCTACACCTTCATTTGAGTCCAGCTGTGTTTGATTATACTGATTGGACTTGATTAGGAAAGCCACACACCTGTCTATATAAGACCTTACAGCTCACAGTGCATGTCAGAGCAAATGAGAATCATGAGGTCAAAGGAACTGCCTGAAGAGCTCAGAGACAGAATCGTGGCAAGGCACAGATCTGGCCAAGGTTACAAAAAAAAATTCTGCTGTACTTAAGGTTCCTAAGAGCACAGTGGCCTCCATAATCCTCAAATGGAAGACGTTTGGGACGACCAGACCCCTTCCAAGGGAGAGCCTTGGTGAGAGAGGTAAAGAAGAACCCAAAGGTCACTGTGGCTGAGCTCCAGAGATGCAGTCGGGAGATGGGAGAAAGTTGTAGTAAGTCAACCATCACTGCAGCAATCCAACAGTCCAGATGTGAAAAACTTGTTGTATCTTTCCCAAAATGACTCATGGCTGTATTAGATCAAAAAGGTGCTTCTACTAAATACTGCGCAAAGGGTCTGAATACTTATGACCATGTGATATTTCAGTTTTTCTTTTTGAATAAATTTGCAAAAATTTCTACATCTCTGTTTTTTTTCTGTCAAGATGGGGTGCTGAGTGTACATTACTGAGAAATAAAATGAATTTTTTTGATTTTTGGAAAATGGCTGCAATGAAACAAAGAGTGAAAAATTTAAAGGGGTCTGAATACTTTCCGTACCCACTGTATACCTACACCGGCCCTTGTGGTCTGATAAACAGGGAAGTCATGAAATTCATTGCCCAATATCGCTATTTTCCAAGGTAAGTTAAGGCTGTCATATGCTATGGAGCACACCAGCAAGAGAATGAGGTGGTACAGACTCACAGAACTGGGTGTATAAAGAAGATGTAGGTTACAGAAGCTCACAGGCCAATCAGATGACAGGGGGAATTTGTTTTTGTTTTTTTAAAGAGGATGAACTGAGGGGCTGCATAAAGGCCCAGTATAAGATAAATAAGGATTTCTTAAAAACTATGAATAATACAAAGCTACTCTAGTGGAATCCCAAAATAAATATTGAACTGGAAATGAGCAAAATAGGTCCCCTTTTATCAAAACAATGTCTTTGTATGAAATATAATGTTATCAAAGCCAAAATGGCACAGACCTAAACAAGTCACTCTCAGTTCTGTTGAGTCTTGTCACACTTTGATCACTTTTAAATTCTATGGTGAGATATAACATACTGTCTTTTACTCATCATAACATGAAGTAACACTGACCTTCATGATCTCACCCACCTCACTCATCTTCCTGGGTCATTTCTCTAAGGCACTCCTTTAAGTTTCCCACTCGGTCTTTATATTTTTCTTCAGCAGTCAGTATCATGTGCTCCAGCAGCCGCTGCACTTCATCTAGTCCCCCCACCTTCGGCGCTTTGTGGCGGAAGAGATACCCACTCAGCTGATTGTCATGGCAGTCCGGGGAAAGCAAGCCGCACAAAAAGCGCAGGAACATGTCGTAGTGGCCCAGCGGGGAGCTGAGGGTTCGGTCCAGGGCACACTGGACAAGCCCTACTGCTGATTTGGTGTGATCCTTTGGCGTGAAGAACTTGGGCATATGCAACACCCCGGAGTCCAGAACGTTCTTAGACTCTGAGCGAAACATCGTGAAGACATACAGAGCGGCAATGAACTCCTAGAGGAGAGAAGACATAGGGAGATTTTCAGATGATACCTTTGGGGTGTCCTGGTGTCGAGGCAGCCTAAGGGCTTGTCAATTCCAGGGGTATTTCTTTTGAGCAGCAGTGTGGTTTATCTATGGTTATTAAAGACCCAGTATTTAAAATGTTCAGATGTTGTTTTAATGGTTCTGATATCACTTAGTATATCTGCAGAATACATGTATATAGAAATTACTCTTTCCTCCTCTTGTAAAAAGGATAAATATTCTTTATTACACATCTTGGTGAATATCATCATTTATAAAATCAAATCAGATTTGGGGCAACTAGCTAATACTATATAAATAAAAGACCTCTCTTGACTTGATGGTTCAGAGGTGAGTGTGTGTGTGTTTGGATCTCACACAGCAAAAACTTTTTTTTACTTTCAAAGAGTGTGGCTCAGGTCTCTTAATTTCTCCCTCTTCCTTCTCCTTATCCCACAACATGGGTGAGGGAGGTGCAGGTGTAGGCTCTGTACCACTCTGTATTCACACCCAATTCTGAGCGATCCAATTACATCTGAAGCATTTGAATTAAATTCCTCTCAAAGCCTTACCCCGCCCACATATTGTGTTATACTTAAGAAACAAACCACACTAGGGAATCTAAAGACGCTCTAACTTCTGTTTCAGAGTAGCAGCACCTGCTTTATGCGGCTACCTCTAAGCACTTCAAGTTCTAAGTCAGCAGTGAGGAGGTGGGAGTTCATGTGTACTTATAACTCAAATATTTCAAACAAAACCCAAAAAACAACAATTACGAACACGATAACGAAGAAAGAAACAGATGACTTTATGCACACACCTGTTAAAAATGATGCCCAGCACTTTTTTTTGCCTCTTAAAATCCCCCAGTGAACACTGCACTCTCCAAACTGTCTTGTTTCCCTCCATTATATCTGAATTCCACAGATCCCCTCCAGTCAAAGCCTTTGCTTCCAATAAATGGCTTCTGTCTGCTTGATTAGGTTTTTCCTTGCACATTCTTTAAAGCACATTTACTCGTCTTCACTGAAAAGTCCATTCTCAGTGTCTCACGACCAAACTAGACGTGATGTCACAAAATCCTGCTTGTATGTAAACTGAGCTTCAGCAGAGGAATGTGAACACAGCCATCTAGTGTCAAACTCTGCTAAATGGAAAAGGGTTTTTTACCTGAAAGGTGAAGTGTATAAAGCAGTACATCCTCCTTCCATCTGAGGCTGCGGTGGGGAGCTCAGTGCACATGCCGGAGAACACCGTCACCTCCGTCAACTTCAGCCCGTACTCCTTCAAGTCCTCTTCACAGAACACACTGATGTTCCTTTCCAGCATCTTAAACGCCATCTTCCCCAGCTTTGTCAGCAGGTGCATGTCATCACTGGACCATTTCTGAGTGGAAAAATACACCAAATGCAGATTTCTAAGTAAAGCTCCACTTTGTTTGTTTTCTACATTCTGTCATACAGGTGTCCATACTAGGGTTAAATTTTGAGCATAATAATGCAAATATAAGGGGGCCAAAAACAGTAACACTAATATAATACAGTCTCAACAATCTTCATAATGACATTCATTTCAGGTCTGTTGTCTCTGACAGCATCAGATTAGGGTGCATGATATTGTCTACAGATAAGTAAATACCTGCACTTAAAAAATAAATTACTAAATTCGAATTGTATTCAATACTAAACAATATTACTAACAGAAAATGGAATGTTGACAGAGAAAATCTGTAGCCCCCTACATCTGTAGTTTTTAATTTTGGTACTTGTTAAAAAAAAATAAATGCACAGTACTAGGTCATTATCCGCCTTTCCATAGTAGAACTGCAGCCTGCGATTGGTCTGGACGATCAAAATGCTGACGTAGAACGGCGTCAGCCTGGGTGGGTGCACCCCGTAGCCCTGATAACGGTAGCAGCGCTCGAACACAGTGGCCACCATCCAGCAGACAAAGGGTTGGCGAGCGAGTATTTGGAGTGTTGGCAGGCGCTTGTAGTGTGCCACAATATCTGCTGCTTGTTGTGCATCGCAAAAGCGTTTTGTCAGGTAGTCATCTTTCATCTCATCACTGGAGAAAAGGGGGAGGGGAGAGATAAAACTGGACTGAAACAGGATCAAATAAATTTAGAGTTGTACTGTTGCTACAGTAGTACTTCACTGATCGAACACATTCACAGGATGGCAAGTACACAAAATCATGAATAAAAGTTAATTACAAAGTAAAAATAGGACACACAGAACATCTACACACTCACCTAAAGCCCTGTATTTCTGTGACAACGTCTATGAGTCGAGATGGTATTTGTGAGACAGCTGCCCGTCTCCCCAGGATCCAGATGCGGGCGCCACGAAGCACAGTGCCTCGGATGATATTCACAATCAAGACGTCCGGATGTGCTTGGGTGTAATTGTCATTTATTACTGGAGCATTCTGGAGAGAAGAACAGACAAATCATCAGCTCATCTGGATTAAGATGTTTTTAAAACATGCCTGGATTGCTCACATGACCATTTTGCATTTTAAAAACTGGCTATTTATACTTTGCACTTTGAAAAGCCCTATCTATAAAAATAGCACTGTCTTCTTGAATACAGAAAGTAGATATCAGAACTTTTGAGTGAGTTACAATTTGCCTATTATTTGTCAATAGTTCAATGTGAAGGTGCTGTCAAAATTACAGAGATTTTAAACTTTATATATGTGGTTATGTTTATAATTAGGGTTCTAAATATTCTCGGTTAAATATGAATGGGTGAGTCAGGTGTATGTGTGCAGATGGGATACCTCCCAATCCAGGGGCGCTTGGTAACAATCAAACGAGTCCATTATGATGAGAAATTTACAGTCCTCTTCCTCCAGGTATTTCATGCCTTTGCACTCGGATGATAATATTCTATCACTTCCATGATGGACATCTTTTCTGAAGGAAGAGGGTTGTTGGTACGCAGAAGCCAGAAAGTTCGGAACGAAAGTTTGATGACAAACTGCAGGTCCTGAGCAAAAGTGGACAAGAAAATGGTTTCAGTCCATTGTGAGAATTACTCGTGATAAATTTCCATTTGCATTGTTTCATCTGTGTCAGTAAGACATACAGTACACAGTATCAATGAGAGGTTTTCTGTTGCAGCTACAACAGCTATGTAATTCAACATTTAAGCAGAATGAATCAGTTTTTAGCCACTTCAGAGGCCAAACAAAGCCAAGTAAATCTCACACACACACATTTTCCATATTACAGCCTTATAAACTAATATGATTGGCATGTATCTACAGTATCTGACGGTTTAGATTGCCAGATGCTCTGCTGTGTTCACAGGTTAGTCGTTAACTTTGTCTGTCTGTCGTTGGGTACCGGAGAGGTGTGTTTTTTAAGCTTTTCCACTGACAATTGGACTTTTCTTTAAAAAAAATAAAATCACCTTATTGGCACGCAGTTCTGCCCAATCCAGGGAGAATTTCCCCACAGAGACAGACATGCCAATTCCTGGTATCCCAGTGGTCAGCACCGTTCTCACCGGCCTGCCATCATCCGTCTGTAGTCGGAACAGATTGTTCACGCTAATGAAGGTGTCGGCACCGGGGACCTGGACAGGTGTCGGAGGGTGGGGTCGGAACTCATGGGAGGGGTCAATTCCTCCATAACCACAGGTGGAAATCTGGGGCTCAACGTAGATGGTATCTAGAAGATTTTGCCTTCCGGCTCGAACAACACCCTCACGGATGACTTGGTGTTTTCTGATTAAATATTGCTTCAAATAAAAACGGATCATCGCTGGTGGTGGAGAAAGATAAAGAGGAACATACTGAATACTGCATTAGTTTCAAATTTCCTTGGGGAAAAAAATATCTATTTCTAGTAACTTTGGACCTGCTACACACCTAACATCCTCAGATTCATAGAGAAAGCCATCTATGCTTTGTTAAATAACTTTTTTGTGAAAATAATGTGTATGGAAAATAATACTCATGTCAAAAACGCAGCAACAACATTCAGATTCAATTAAAATTTCACCAGTAGCAGCTGGTGTGTTGGAATAAAACCAGTTTCCACTTGCCTCTCTTGCACTGATTCCGTAGCTCGTCTGCCTTCGGTTTCTGGTTGACACTTTCAAGGGTACTTATAGTGTGCAACAGGGAGCGATCCTGGCCTGTGGAACAGAATTTAATATAAAATAAAAACAGTAAGCAACCACTGACAGTATATAAGTCCCGGAGCACAACACAAGGCTGTATTCTTATTTTCTTAACAATGCATTTTACTGTTAAGGAAAAAATTAATATTCCAGCTGCAAAATTGACTACAAGTAAATTCTATTTTTTTTAAATAATCAAGTTCACAAAGTGCTCACGTCAGATCTGCCATCCCATCATTCAAAATAAATCTCTCTATAAAATATTACTTGTAGCTCACAAGAAAACAGTAACTAATTATTGGTTAGATAAGGACCCAACAACAAAGGGAGACTGGATAGCGATATTAAAGGAAATGTATGAAATGGAGAAACTGACCTTTTCTTTAAGACTTAATATCAATAAATTCCATAAGTAGAACCCCAAATGGTGTGTACACATGAATGTAGATATTACATAGAAGGAATAACAAAATGTTTCCTTACCAAGGATCTCCAGGATCCTGTCCACAAAATCGAGAAGGTCTCCCTCCATCACCTGCTGCAGCGTTATGCCTGGTTCCCATTGGTAAAACCACATCTTAAATTTGAATAGCTCTTCCTTAGTGAGGGATGTCACACTACTCTGGATGCACTGCAAAGAGAACGAAAACACAAGTTAACATGATCCTGCAGAAATGACAGGTACCCTTGGGGCCATATTAAGAAGAAGCAACAATTACAGTTTTATAATTTTACCAACCTTGAAAATGTGAGGCAGGTCCTGTTCCGGGTGTAGTCTGCCAGGCTGGCCGTTCTCATCAGTCTGAAATATGTCATCTGGTTCAACTGGCTCAGGTGGTTCTGGGGAATGAGTTACCAAAAGGTCATCCATATCCTCCTCATCATCTTCTTCTGAATGATCCCCCAGATCAGAAGACCTGGGAAACAATGGGAACCCCAGAGCTATGGTAAGAAAGTGCACTGCAAATATTGTCCAGTGATGACTGTGATTTGTGACGTGTTTTGATACGTTTTCACAAAGATAGTAAACACTTGTAGAGATAAACAGACCATTTTTAATAAATGTTTTATGTTTTCACATGTAAATAATAAAGTTAGTACAAAAAAAATACAATAAATGATTTAAAATGGTGGTCTAGATTAATTTAGACAAAGCATTCTATAGAATCTAAAGAAACTTATACAGCAACTCTATGAAAGTACTTTTAACGTTAAAGCTTTCAGCTGCATGACTGCTCCGTTAAGATGCATCCTTTCATTATTTTTAAGTCAGATACTCATACAATTATGACATTTAGGTGCATCAATAAAACATCCCTAAGCAAAAATAACTACTGCTTTGCTTCACATCGTCTAGATTTATGATAGACATGTGTGTCACCTGGTGTCAATGACAACTGCTCCTGGTGGTTGGGTCTGCTGCGTGGTCATTGTGTAGAGGGTCTCTGGAGACTCTGAGCGAATCATCTGCAACCTGGACAAAAAGTCGGGTAAAATCCACCTTTTAAAACCTGGTTAAAATCCTATTAGCAATTTCTAAGTCATTGAACCTTTCTCTTAAAAATAACAACGTGGAAAACTTAACCTGTGTTGGCCTCCACAGAAAAACATCCAGCCATTCGTTTTTACTAAAATGAATCAAGGTAGAATATTGGTATTTAAAAGTTGATCCTCCACCTTAACAATTACACACCCCTCGCATCTATGCAACTCTACCGAACAACAGCTCTGGTGCAGGGTTATACTGGCCACAGTACAGATCACAGCAAAAGTAGTCAGCAGTAATGTACAACTTTAGCCATATGTGGTTAAAAACACACATACACATTAGGAAAAGGCTTATATAGCAAAGCAAGACACGCTACCCTGTCGCGTCATGAGTAGTCGATTCCTGTAGCACTGGATAACACTGGGAAGCGCTGGCCTCTGCACCCTCTCCTTCATTTTCCTCCTCCTCCATCATATCACTGTCACTCTTCATCGAACCATAGCTGGAGGGCGGTCTCTGCCTCTTTTTCTCCTCCTCCTCCTCATCCTCCTCCTCACTCCCCTGCCTTAAGATGCTGAGGGTGACACAAAGAGGGTGTTAGTATGCCAGTGGCTGTGACTTGTTAGTCGAAAAGGTCAGATAATAACCACTGAGATATGTCATAGAAGAATTAGCAGTAGTGAAAGAAGTATTCAGATAATTTACTGAAGTAAAGGTACTGATACCACTGTGAAATACTCTACACTACCAAGTAAAAGTTCTGCCTTCAGGTGAATTCAAAGTAAAGCTGTGCAAGTATTTTCAGCTAAAGTACTCATCTAGCAGAAACATGATCAAATTAAAACAGACAGGGACCATGTGTTTGGATTGATATTACTGGTGCATTCGTATGTATGTTGCATATCATCCTGTATACGTTTGACGCTGAGCCAACTGTTACTACTTTATATACATACTGTGGGTAGTTTACAGCAATGCATCAAACTATAACGTTATAATATCATATAACTAGTTTATACAAGGTTAGGTAAATCAATAAACAACTTAATTAGATGGATAATATGGCTAATGTAATTTAACGTTAACCGACGCAAGTACTTTAACTTTGCTTGTCAATAATGTGTAACATGCATTGCTAAAGTGACAGAGGATTATAATATAAAGACGGCAGGCTAAGTTACCTCATCTTCCTTGCCAAAAAAGCTGCGACAACACCCACCTTGCAACTTCGGTGTCCGGGTCCATGGCGTGGCTGTAAGACACTCACACACCTCTGCTATAAAAACTTATTTTTTAGAAACTATTTACGACTTACTTATCGCAATAACTTTACGTCCAGAAAAAAAAGATTCCGCCGCGTTAACGTTTAGTTTGACATACAGGCACTCGCTCTCGGCGGTTAGTTATGCTAACACATGTACTAAAGATTGGGTTTAGGAATACACAGACGCTCTAGAAATGAACGTTTCCCATCAAATAATCGATACGACTTAAATAACACTATAAACGGTGAGATAATGTCACCGGCCACGCATTTTAACTTCTTTCTGCTACGTTTTGTCTGCTCCGGCTCTTACTTTCAGTTTCTAGTCGTTTAGAGTTCCTCCTACAGTTACAGGACGACTTCCAGACCACACCCTTCAGAATAAAAGCATAATCTAAGGTGTTCACGAAAGCATCCACACGTTGCCAGCACAAACATGCACAGATAATGTACAAAGCTCATGCTGACATATCCATTTCGAGCCTAAATTGTCCACTGTAAAAAAAAAAAAAAAAAAATTAAAATAAAATCTGTTGATTGTTAGTGCAGATACTCAATGCTCTGTTTGGCCTGCGCTTTATTTTCATGTTCTCATTTTATCTTTAGATATGCAACATACTTTAGGCACCCAAACTTTATAACATGATAATACTGCAATACCCCCTTTAATTTAAATGCACAAATCAGACATCAAATTACTTTTCTCCTCACACAAAGTCACCATTGTACAATATTTAAAGTGACATTATACCATCTTTCTTACTTTAAGAGCCAAAGTGATTTTTGTTACATAGCTACAGATTAAATGCGCAATAAACAGGTTAGACCAGGTGTACAGTTTGTAAATTAATTGTTCACGCATACTAATAACCTATGCTACACCTTTACTGGCTACCATTATTTAGCCTCCAGTTAAAAATGGTGCACAGAATTTCTAATCTTAATTATTTACACTGATCAGTCATGTGTTTTCATGTACTAGGTATGACAAGTACATAGACTTTACAAACACAAAAAAACCCTCTATTACTCTAAATATTCTGCTTTTGTTCTGAAGGTTCGAGACGCACAGCGGAAGTTGTGTTTGAGTGGGCGATAAAGGGACCTCTTCATGTGGGGAAACAGTCAGCACTATACCTCAAACCAGGTTTAAATGAACTGCAATAGTATAAATTATTATTTAATTTGAACTGACATGTGACACTGGATTTCAAAGCTTCCGCCTTTCAAATTTAACATGTAGAACACCAACATTTTTGGATGATGATTTCCTAGGAAATACATTTCATCAATCAAAATTGACTTCCAATGTAATAAATATGCTTAAATTAAGGAAGCTCATTCTGCCAAGTTAGCAAAAAGGACCAAAACTAATTGATGAGCTGAAGGAACGTGCTACCTAACTTTAAAACTTTAATATATAGTTTGATTAACTGTCAGAATTAATCAGATTATTTGAACACATTTAAACAATGAATGGTTAAGGACACAAGAGACACTGCTTTGACTTGATCCATGAGCTGCATTCAGTCACTCAACTCTTGAGAACTGTTTAAGGGCTCAACTAGGAGGCTTTGCCACAATGTGCAATTTTTTTATTGTTTTATTGACAAACATGTAAATATAATACAAAGAAAAATAAAAGGCAGATTAAGACAAGATTGTCAAAAGTCCCAACGACAACAATAAAAACAAAGTTGGGTTTGAGAAAAGAAAAAGTGAAAAAAAAGTATGATCAAGTAAAACTGTGGACTCCAATTTGGGAACCAGTCCTCACACCTTCATCCTGCTCATCATCTGTGGGATATAAAAAAAAATAAATCGAATTAAACAACAGAAACACATTTCAATAAAATATAAATATGACTTGTAAAGTGCTGCCAGTGCTTGGTATTTGACAGACATGTGGATACCCCTTAGGTTGATAAATAAATGAACACACCGTGAGTTATTATAATATAAGAACCAACACCCAGCCAGTGTGAGAAACAAAGCCCCATTAACTAAATTAAAATTACTTTTATTAAGCAATATTGACCTTTTAACATCCAGCAGGATTTTCTTCATTTATAGACACAAGCGCCTGAAAACATTGTTAAAATTCAGCAGTTACTGAACACATATCAAGCAAGTTCTTATCACGCAGTTTTGCTTCATAAGCTTTATTACTAATGAGGGACACCCACACATAATCCGTCTCCAATAGTTTTTTCAATATACGCAAAAGGTACCAGTTTATTAGGTACACTTGTACATTTTAATGCAATAGCCCTGCAATGCCAAGTGCCACAGAGGAGTTGACAAGAATCCTTTTAGAGATTATAGTTGGGGTTGTGTTAGACTGCGTCATATTAAGGCGCTACATTGCTCTGGCTCCTTAATGCGTAAATTAGGAGGGACCACTGACTATGGACTCAAATTACCATCAAGTTTAGACTCAAGTGTAACAACAAAAAAGTGTATCACTACACACATACTTTACAAACATATTATTCATTCATTCATCAAAGCAGAAAATGCTTAGTTGCGTTACATCCACATTACCAGGGAACTGGCACACCTGAACAGAATGCCACTGTTAAACCTGTTTGACAAGTAAAAAATTGTGTGGTATTTTCCTTGTACAAAAAACAGGTATTACAGTGGCTATGCTTTCACCTGATTGGCACTGATTGTGAAAGTAACCTTCTGCAAATACCATGTATTAAAAACCAAATCTGTTTGTTTGTAATAGAGTGTTTCTCACTATAACTTGGAGGTTTTGACCAGTACCACAGCTGTACAGCGCAGACATGGTCTATATGTCTGCTGACAGCAGAGGGCGGTAATGTACGATAAAAGTAACCATGTAAAGCAATATAAATACCGTGTGAAAACATAAAAAAAATAGATTGATACGATGTGTTTTAGTGTGAAATACTGAACGTACATTATGAATATGTTCACAATGAGTGCGCACCAAAACAGGCACATTGCCAGTTAGGTGGGGTTTCCACTCCATTTCAATTCAGCACACATAACGGTACAAGCTGTTCTTACCAACTTAAAATGGACAGGCACTGTTCGACAAACCACACTTACCAGTAGAACTGTAAACATTGCAGACTATTAATTTATCTCACATGGTTTGTCGTGACTGTAACCAAATGAAAAAGTTACAGTACGGTCTTACCAACACAAGCTTTGAAAACATTAACTAAAAAATTTACCACAGTACGTGCGGCTGTTTGATTATCAGCCGATAGAGATTCTACATCATACCTATTGCCTTATATGCCACCTGGACTCCTTTTAAGCAGATTATCCCTCCCTTGCCATAACAACAAGTAGCACGCTGCCATGGGCAAATTAAGTGCAGACAGAGAAAACTCCACAGGGTACCTTAAAAAGGATGTTTTAAGTGTACCTTGTTAAACACTGAACAAATTTGTCTGTTTACCTTGCGAGCACTAGCGGTCAGTCCAGGAGACTTTGCAGTACTGGTGGTGGCTCGTGGAGACTTCCTCTGTCCTTTAGCTGCCACAAGAGAGCTTCCAGTTCTGCCTGCTCGCCCCACTCCAGTGCGAGAATTTGCAGAAGGTGTGTTTTCCTGGAATTTGCGCGCAGATGTCTGAGCTGGCGACTTCTTTGAGCTTTTGCCCGGGGATTTCCGCGTGGAGCTGCGTAGTTTGTTCAGCCCTTTCCTCAGGTAGTTGTTGTTCTTAGGGGTGTTCTCAACAGTGAACATCATAGACTGCCTCCGCTCGGCCTAAGAGAGTAACGTAAGTGAAATTATTATGGATGCATGCAAAACACAATGTGTATGATTACATTATCAAACAATGTTGTCCCTGTCCCTGCGGCGCACCGCTGCTGGATCACGCACGGCACTAAAATTTCCCACGACCATTAAACTATGCGCTACAAATGTTTTCAGTCGCACACTGTGCGAGCACGGCAACACTCAATGCTCAGCTCGCTTCCTCTCCTCGTTCTATGTAGAACATACGTGACAGATGGTATTATAAGAGCAGCGTAACTCTGAATCAGGAGGTGCGTAGCGAGTGTTTGATTGTCCGAGTGGCAGAAAGTGACTGAACACGAGCGCAGGAAAATATTCTGGCAGTAAATGTACGGTATCTGTTACAGTGTGTCAGCTTCTCAAGACCAAGAAAAGTCTGTTGTTTCCCCCCTGCTGAAAAAAAATCCTAGAGGAAACACTGTGTGTGTGTGTGTGTGAATATATTACACTCACTGGACTGAGGGCAGGGTGAAGCTTAGAGGTGGAGGGCCCACTGTTCACGTTCTTGTTTTTGGGAGTCAGTGGACGGGGGAAGCAGCTGGCCTTCACCCTTTTCTGTCAGACAGAGACCGAGAGAGATAAGTACAAGTTACAATTATGACTTATTTTTGCTTACATTCATGTAGTTTTGTGACTGTACAATGACTATCACCAAAGAGCTTAAGATAAGAGTATGAAAGACAGACACAAAAACTGATCTTCAGGGTAATGACAAAGACACAGTATAACATAATTAATTAGTTTATTGTTCCACTATGAAGTGGACAATAAAATATGAACACTAAACTTTAACATTAATATATAGTTTGTCATGAGGCAATAAAGAAAAATACATCTAAAAAAAAGAAGAAAGAAAGAAATTACATAAAACATGTGTCTACAGTGCCACAGTCAGACTTAAGCGTGAAGTAATGCAAGATGTAACTATGTACAAATGCAAACAAACCTCTGGCGAAGTCTGATGTATGGACAATGTAGATGAAGACCGCTTAATCCCTTTCGGACTCCTGAGATGAGAGGAGCTGACCGTGTTGGATGGCAGCTGGCCTGGCATCAAGGACATGCGATGAGAACGTCTGCTGGCTGCGGCACCTGCGTGTCCCACCATGAGGGAGTGCCGGTGGGAGGAGAGAGAGTCTTGCAGCTGGCCAGGCATCATAGACGCCCGACGGATTGTGTCAGACGGGTCGCCCATTCTGAGTTCTTCATCTGTAAAAACGAACACACTGCCATGGCCGGTCTACAGGAAGAGACAGAGGGTTTTTTTAAAAACTGAAACTTCCAATCTTTTAAAGCTATAATAACATTTGCCAATCACATGCCTGAATGCTGAAAGGGCAAAAAGGCAGGAAATATAATGAGACCCTCCCACACCCCAATAAAACTGGCCGCGGCTCTATTATAACATGATGGTAAAGCAGGACCCATGACAATAACTTATTGTGTGATGTTTGCAGTGGGAATCAGAGTCAAAGTGTCTAATCCACTGCTCCATCGCAACCTCTCTATAATTATTATTTTGTATTAATTTTTTACCAAACTTCAACAGCTAAATGTGCAACATGCAATAATTGAGTCTATAACTAAATAATAACTACTAACTTTCAAATTAGTTCAGTAGAAGTTTTAATGAATAAGAGACAGCAGCAAAGGTTGTCGCCTGTTTAAGACCTGGTGGCCTAATTGTTAAAGTAGCACATCTTGATAGGTAGCATAAATCGACAGAACACTTTCTGAGTTTCACGTTGCTGTGTTGCTTTAGCTGATGCCTCAATTAGCCTAAGTATAAATGTAGAATGGTTCGCGGTCAAAATCTTTTTGCTGGTCGCACAAAGTTTACAACGGACGACAACGTTCTTTGCATCTTAGACTGTGACACAATAATGGCAATAATGTTTCTTATAGCTGTCGAAAATCCCTCTCTCCCTGTATTCTAGTCTTCCTTTAGCTTTTTGGCTGACAGCTGCTGCTGACCTGCAGCGCGGTTTCGCATTTACGTCAGGGATGGTGCGTTCAGTAGCGCAGCGTTACCTGGATTAGTAACCTAACTGTAATAATGTAACTGTTTTGGAAATAGTAATCTGTTACATTACTGTTTACTGGGAATAGTAAAATTACAGTATTACTGCCCAACACGTTACGTACCACTGATGCGTGAGTGCGACTGTGGTACACACTGCGCAGGTGTGGAATTGGCAGCTGAACGCAAACGAACATCCTTGTTGATACTTGAAAAAGGAGAAAACTTTACACAAGTCAGCCTGTAGATGACCTCAAATCCTTCCATTTCATTTGGCCAGCTCCAGTACTTACAGATCTGGAAAAATCCACTTCCCTAAGCATTATTTATAACCGTCTCCACAACTAATTAGGAATATCTTTAATGTGCATGTGTGATTGTATGCTTGTTGTTCGCATGTCTACAAGTATCCCTACTAACCTCAGACTCCACAGGGTAGCTGCTCTTTAGATGAGGAAGGCAGGCCTTGTTCCTGGCCTGGAGCTCAGCAATCCTCATCCAATCGTCAGGTGCACCGTCTGGCTCGTTCTCTGCCCCCACGCAGAATGTACTCGTGGCTGACGACAAACAGATGTTGACAAAATAAATGAGATGTACATGCGGGTATTACAGTAGTCAACAACTCTCTGTGATCAATTACTATAGTTTATCAATAACTATTAGTACGGCTGTACTCATCGGTGATTCACATTATCAGTGGAAAAGCCCTAAATTCTAATCTAAATTTTACAATCAAATCAGAATAGCAGCATGGCATGTTGTAAACCTTTACAAAACAGAGTTTTGTCTCCAAGTCACTTAAGAGCAAGTATCTGTGATAGAAAATGTGATGGAATCAGGACAGTGTGACTGTTTGCTGCTTCAGTACTGAATGCTAGTTAAGACGGCTAAACACAATTAACTCAACTGTCGTACAGGGTGATCAACTCCTTGTCTGAGAAAATCACAGGTAAACAAAGGGCTCTGAATTGCACTGTTAGTTGTCAGAGGCTGTGAATGTCTCATGTATTGAAGAAAAAATAAAAAAATAAAAAATAGGTCAAGTGGCTTAAACTTTGTTTTTTTTTTATATATTAAATGTTGGTTGTAGCATTGTAGCCTGCTAATATGATGTCTCAGGTTTCCAATGACGTGTTTTTAAGTAAGGTGGAGATGTAAACATGAACCAGTCTGGTTCTGAAGGATTCAGGATATGGAGAAAATTGATCAGATAAAAAGAAAGTCATTTTTATGCAAACGTGCCATTTAATTTTCCAAGTGTCAAAATGTGAGAAACTCTTACATTACAGTTAATTGAATATATTGGGGTTTTGGCCTGTTGGATATAATACAATATAATGGCGTCACCTTTATGTCTAGGTAATTGTGATGGTCCCCTTTCAGTGTTTTCTGTTCGTTTCACCCGTAGCTCCATGTTACTCACATGGGTTGAAAAGGCAAAAAAAAAAAAAAAACACTTAACAGCTCGGCATGTTTTCTGCAAGTGAGAATTGTATCTACTTACTTTGTGAATGGACTGCGCTCCGTCTGTACCCTGGAAGACCGATGAGCTGGTCGTTGGCAGCGCCGGTCATTCTGGCTGGTGTGCCAAAGAGCTCCATAGACACGGGTTGTGCAGAGGAGCATTGGAGAGGTTTGGTTGGGAGCGAGCGGAGGCCAGACTATAGAAAGTTTCATCAGCTTCACTTCCACCTGGGGTTTTCTACAGATCACAGTTCAACAATCAAATACGGCTACAATAATCTGTAGTGAGAGTGTGGCGATGTTTGAAGTGCAAGAAAAAATTCAGGTTCAGTAAAAAAAATAGACAAGAAATTCAGGCAAAAAAAAAACAGCTTTAGCCTCAAATGCACAAAGACGATATTTGAGAAAGGGAGAGACAGAAACCATTGTGATTATTAAACGTTAATGATTATTGAACAGTGTTGTGTTGTTGTGAACATGCATAACATGCAACAAGTTTGCAAGTAAGTTTCCTCCACCTTGGTCATGGTGATGTTAATAACCTGAGTGGTCCTGCGTCGCTTCACAGAAGAAGTTGGATTTCTACAGGCTGAATCCACTTCCATTTTGTGCGCTGTACTGGTCCTAGGCGATGAAAAAGAAAACAAGAATCTCAATAATAATGAGTTTGGTTACTCAAAAAATAATAATAATAATAATAGTCAGGAAATTGTGTGCGTTTAAGGAAGAGAGAATTGCCCGGCCGATTTTTTTTTTTTTTTTATTTTTTTTATTCCAAACCGATAAATCACTGGATGATTATTTTTAAATAAATACCACAAAATAATGAACTTTAGATGAGCTGTAGCTTAAGTAAATCCGTGGTTCACTGTTGCATGGTTAAACATATGAAGCCTGTAGTCAGGACAACTATTGCTTACTGCTATTTCTACTCATCCTTGTATTGTGGCATGGTTTGTGAACCTGAATCTGGCGAAAGAAGAATAGGCTTAGTCGACTTGTCAGAGTGGCCATTAAAATATGGGGGGGGGGGGGATGGGGGCAAACACAGAACCTTTACGATCGGCAGGTCGCAAGGAAGTTCATGCCATATTGGCTTGTACCGACATCCCCTGCAGGGGGAGTTTGAGATTCTGCCCTCGGGCAGAAGATAGACTTCCATACTCAAAGAACTCAAAGACTCTTTTGTTTGCACTGTAATTTGTAGACTAAATTTGCACAAATGATTGAAGCACAAGCACTTTTCCACTGAGCAATTTGCACACCTCGTCTTCATATGAAGTAATCTTATTGTCTCTCTGTCCTGTCTGGTATGTTGTATATATGATGTACTGAATGTTTTTAATACCTGACTGCAAGCAAATTTCCCCTAGTGGGAGAGTCAAATTTTACTTAACTTGATTTGGATGAGCTATACTAAATCTAAAGGATTATAAATTATATTGTTCAAGAGTTCCAACATTTTTACTTCTATCGTCATAGTGCCATTACTGTTATCTACAAATCAAATTTTTCAAATTGACTACTAGTAAACTGATAATGGGTTCAGGCAAACAAAACATTTTGACTAGTCTTGAAGAGCATAGCTTTTATACTGGTGTTTACTCTGGATGATAGACGATTTCCACATACAGGAAAACTGACAACAGGAGAAGCTGAAATCAACCCAACTGAATTTCTAAAAATATCACAATGTAATGAAGGTTGAGTAAAGCTTAGCAATTTATAAAAGACATTAAAATCTACAGTCAGTATACAATATACTGAAAATATATCAATATATATCATATTAAAAAAAAAAACATGACAGTGGATATTCTGTGAAAAACCAAGAGTGTCTCAACTGTGTGATGTACCTGTTGATCTGTTTGTTGTTTATTGGTGTAAAGTAAAGGGTTTCCAGTGACTCGGCACATAGACCCCGGCGTTTCTCTGCCAAGCGCTCTGAACTGCGGACAAGCGGTGCTTGATTCATCAGGCGCTGAGAGTTTCCTGCAAAGGTAAAAAACACAGTATTGAGAGAGATTACACAATAGATTCCCACTACGCTGATGAAAGATTTTCTGGCTTTTCTGCCTTTCTCAAGTTTTTTTCTTCCTTCTTTACCTTGTTGTAGCATTATGACAATGGGAACTCATTAGTTGGAAAAACATTAAGTCAACTTTTTGTTTTTGTTTTTTAAACATAGTGCAAGATTACAAACCCAAATAGGTGAAAAGCAGGAGATGGTCTCTTTTCAGCTTTTCATTTATTCAGTTATTTTGGGTAGAAAAACTGTCTGATTGAAATTTGAGTGTTTAGATGCAGTTAGCAGTTTTAAAGAGTGTGTAGAGAGAAGATTTTGCTGGTCCTGCAAAATGTGGCATGTCCCCATAAATACACTATACTTTTATTTTGAATTTTGAGGTTCACTCATTTAGTAAATGGCATAACCCAAAGAACAAAAGGGATCAAAAATATATAAATAAATAAATAATAAAAAAAGCTGATCCTTCAGACTGGCTCCTGACATTTTTAACTACGAAAATGAAATTCCAGGATTTTCTAAACACTATAGAAATGTTTTCTAGTACTTTTAATCAAATTATGAAATAGCTGCAATCACAGTGAGATATCTGCAGACCTGAAATATTTCAGGCTATTTTTCTTAGAGGTGTATTACCTTGTGGAGTCCAGAAAATCTTCCAGAGAGCTCTGGTCCAGACTGTCAGCACTCATGGTTCTCTTCACTTCACGTGCTCTACTGTGAACCCTGAGCGCATGCCGGGAACCTCAAAGAAACATGTCTCTGTTGACCTTTCTTCTTTAACTTGAACCTTATTCTGTGCACGCAGTTTACGGTCAGCAAAGGTCAGCTAAAAGAATACAGATATAACAATATCGATAAAGATCAGGGTGATATGCAGCAAAATGCACCAAAGTCATTGAACTCAGTGTGCTGTTATCCAGCGATGAAAAGACTCTTTTTTAAATGTTTGAAAATACCAACCTGTGCCTCCAAACTAGCCACCGTGCTCACAAGTTTCTTCTCACTGGTTAGGGCTTTCTCCAAATCCAGTTGAAGAATCTTCTTTTCCATGGCAATGGCCTGTACTTCTCGCTCTTTAGCCTCTAAGGAATGTTTGAGATGGGCCACCTCCTCTTGGCTTTCCTGAAGAAGCTGCTTTTTGCCATTGTAATGGTTCACTGCCTTCTCCATCTGTGGCATTGTGATGAAAAAACAAAGAACTTAGTATTAATCTCTTAGTCAAGCCTACTCGTCTGACACCAAACGAACAAACCAACCAAGTATGCTCATGAAGAGAGCAGGAGCAGTTGATATTACTGGTCAATAAGTAAAAAGCATAAAACAAAACGTCTATATCAATCATTTTATGATGTATACAGAGATCAAGTAGTGAGACTGAATTGTGTTTTATGGTCACACCAACCTGTGCCTTGTAGTGTTCCGCAGCTTCCGATTTAGCCGATAGCTGTTTCTGGAGGTCTCTCTCAGTCTGAAGGAAGCAGCATTCTTTCTTACTTTGAGATTCTTTAAGCTTTTGGATCTCGTCTTCACGCAAAGAAATCTGTTTCTGCAGAATCTCAGCTTGTTTGACTTTCTCTTGTAGGCTTTGGAGTGTTTCCCTCTGTTGAGTATTTTCTTGCTCTTGATGAGCCAACAGATTTTCCTTGGATTTCAAAACCTCCTCAGCTTTCCTCAGTGAGGAGCGTAGAGTCTCCACTTGTGTCTTTAAATCTTGGATCTGTTGCTGTAGAAGTTGCGACTGCTCTGAGCCATCAGTCTTCAGCAGAATCAGCTGTTCCTCTTTAATCCGGATCTCCTCATTCATCTTCCTCACCTTTTCCTCAGAAGCAGAGAGTTGTCGCTGCAGGAGATTTCTGATGAGCGCTCTCCTGCTCCTGGCTGGTGAGCACAGCTAGCTGAGTCTGAATCTTCTCTTCAGCCTTTCTGAGAGAGTCACCCAAATTAGCTAGTTGGCTTTTTAGACATTCAATCTCTTGCTGGAACAAGTCAGAATTTATGGAGCTCTCTTTAGTTTGTGTGACCAGCTGTTCCTCTTTAGCCTTGATCTGCTCCCTAAGCCCTTTCATCTCCTCTTCAGAGGTTGCCATCATGTTTTGGAATGCATCTTTTTCCTGAGAAATCTCCATTTCCTTCTGAGTCAGCAGATTCTCTTTTGCACGAACCTGCTCTTGTGTAGTCTTCAAGGATTCATTCAAACTTTGTACTTTGTCCCTCAGAGAATGGATCTCATTCTGTAGCACCTCTGACTCCTTGCAGTTCTCGACCTTTAACATGTCCAGCTCACCCTCCTTAGTTTGGATCTCCTCTCTCAGCCGATTAACCTCTTCCTCGAGAACTGCACTGTGCTTTCCGAGTGCCTCAATCTGCAAAGTGCTCTCCTGCTCTTGCTTGGCAATCAAGTCTTCTTTGGCTTGAACCTGGTCCTTGGCCATCTCAAGAGAACGGTTCATATTTTCTATTTGTTTATTCAGGCTTTCAATCTCCTGCTGTAGCAGCTCAGAGTGTGTAGAGGTCTCAGTCTTTAGGAGAACCAACTGCTCCTCCTTGGCATGGATCTCTACATTTAGCCTCTTCACCTCATCTTGAGATGCTACCATCTGCACTTGGAGTGCCTCCATACCCTGAGTACTCTGTAGTTGCTGTTCAGCAAACAGATTTTCCTTGGATTTAAAATCCTCTTCAGCTTTCCTCAGTGATGAGCGTAGAATCTCCACTTGTGTCTTTAAATCTTGGATCTGTTGCTGTAGAAGTTGTGACTGCTCTGAGCCATCAGTCTTCAGCAGAATCAGCTGTTCCTCTTTAATCCGGATCTCCTCATTCATCTTCCTCACCTTTTCCTCAGAAGCAGAGAGTTGTCGCTGCAGGATCGCCTTCTGATTTTCACTTTCCTGCTCCTGTTTTGTACGCATTACCTCTTGAGACTGAATTTGTTCCTCTGCCTGCCTGAGAGAGTCATTCAGATGTCCTAGTTGGCATTTTAGAGCTTTAATCTCTTGCTCCAGAGATTCAGACTGTCGAGAGCCCTCATTCTTTAGAACAACAAGCTGCTCATTTTTGACCTGTATCTCTTCAATTAACTGCTGGACCTTTTCTTCACAGGTTACAATCTGTTGTTGGAGTATCTCCCTTTGTTGAACATTTTCTTGCTGGGTTTTAGTTAGTAGGTCTTGCTTAAGTTGATCCTGCTCAGCCTGTCTGAGCGACAAGCCAAGGTCTTGAACTTGGACTGTCAAGGTCTGGATTTTATTGTGAAAATGTTCTTGCTCGTTAGACTTCTCCAGAAGTAATTTGGCAAGCATTTCCTCTTTGGCTTGAATTTCACTTTTGTTTTTTTTTGTTTCATCTGTAAGAATGTCAACTTCTTCTTTAAGGCCGTTAATCTGTTGGTCTTTACCAGCCAAGAGAGAACTGGCAGCATATAACTTTGTCTCAAGATCTTTCACCTTTTCTTCAGTCTGGCAGAGAAGATCTTCCTTCTCTTTCTTAATTTCCTTTAGTTTTTCAACTTCTGCTTCACAAGCAGTAATTCGCTGCTGTAGTCTGGTTGTCTGCTCAGTTTTCTGATGCTCAACTTGGTGAAGTTGAAGCTTGAGATCTTGGATCTCTTGCTGAAGGAATACTCTCTGTTCAGTGATCTCCTTTTGCAACTTGTCTATAATTTCATCCTTGGCTTGAATAATTTCTTCAGTGCATGACTTCTGTTGCTTCAGGAGATCCTTTTGTTGAGTAATTTCTTCCTGATATTCTGCCAGCTGCTGTGTTTTGACCTGAATCTCCATTTCTGCCTTTTTCAGGGAACTAAGCATGCTCACAAGCTCATTCTTCAAACCACCGATTTCCATCTCAAACATTTCTCTCTGGCAATTTAAGAAGAGAAGACCATCAGTAACCATCTAATCAAAATAGAATTCAAAAATTGAGAAAATGTGTGAGTTGAATTTGAAACATTTGAGCTTAGTTTTATAGTATTCTTGTCAGCTATTACACATACATTACCTCCATTACAGGCCCCATATTCTCTCCTACTTCTTCCTTAGCAGCCCTGCTTATTTCTTCCTCCAAACAGGAAATCTTTCCCTGGAGGATCTGGATTTGTTCAGTCAGAAGCTCCTGAGAAACAAGGAGCATAGCACATTAAAACGCTTTGTGTAGAACCCAAAATGTAAATCAGACTCAGAATAATGGAAAAGTAAAATGATTGCTTCCAGTCAACACAAAACTCAAACGATTGCTATGCTTTATAAATAGCCCATCAGAAATACAGTAACAACATAAAACTATAACAATGTTAGATAACATATGCTTTTTTAAAACCATGTTTAATTCTAGTGGTTACAACTTGAATCCCTTAAAAGATTAAAAAAGCCAAAAGCTTGTTGCAAACACGGCTTCTGTTGAAAGGATATCTACCTTTTCAGCAGTAGCCTGATTGAGCTCAGACTCTAGGTGGCCTGTTTTGCTTTTCCACTCCTCCTGAGCAGATGCTTGAGTTTCTGTCAGCCTGTCAACTTCTTTCTCAAAGATGGCCAGCTGTGAACACACTGCTCTCATCTGCAAAATATTAAAAGAAAGCCTTTACAATCTTTATTAAGTAAAAGTTCTGATTTGAACATTAACACGTGATTCCATGTAATGTGAAAGGGTAACAACCATAGACTGTTATCGCCAAACTCACTGACACTCAACACTACCAGCACGTTTGACTGCTAATCCCCTCATAACAGAGAGGACAGTTATGAGACTGTCATGTGTCATTCATTACCTGGGAAGAGAGTACACCATTTTCTTCTGTCAGCTCATCCACTTTGCGCTCCATAAGTGAGGAGTTACTCTTGAAGTCTTTATTTTGCTTTAACATCTCATTAAGACGCATTTGTAACCTAAGACACAAAGCAGTAAACAAAGCATATTCTTAAGTCAGTTTTACAGCAAATTTTTGCTGGGTTTAGGTATGAAAGAGTAAATTTCTTGCGCATACAAATTGTGAGATTGATTAAATTAATAACTGTATTTGCCATTTGTATTAGGTCATAAAGTTTAGCTGTAGCCTAAACAAAAACAACATTTTGTAACTTACAGGGTACTAGCTCAGTCCATTTCATTTTAAAATGGACAATCATTTTAAATTTGCATCTTTGGTGTAAAAGGTGTTATTAGCTCTGTCATGCATTAATAAACAACAATTTGTTTAGTTCAGTTCTTGGGTACTTACACATTGTTCTTGGTCTCAAGCTCATTAATTTGTTCCCTGATGACCTGCTCTTGATCACCTTGCTCCTCTTTCAACTTATCCAGGCGGTACTGCAACTGGTTAATATGGGACTCTGAAGAAAACAAAGTATAGAACCGAGTTTTATTTGAAGAGAAACAAATAGACATTCCTAAGCAGAACAAATTTAGTTAACTAAAGAGTACATTATCAGTAGCACTTAGACAGAACACTACATGTTTGTTAAATATTACTCAGAAAAGAAACAGACTACAAAAGTAAAACTAAATAGGTTAACCTACGAACAATGTTTTATCAATTCAAATCAGCTTATTGGCATGAATGTATAACAACAATATGGCCAATAAATTACAACAATTAATTTCATACATTTCATTAAATAAGTAAATAAAAGAGTAAAAGTTGTTTGTGTGTGTTAAAAATAAAACTTATGTAATAATAAATATTAAAAATAAAAGTAAATAAATAAAACAGTAAGCATGTGTTAGAAAATGAAAATAAAAAATAAATGAAGCAGTAACGTCTGTGTGTATTAATAGACAAAATATTAAAAATGTATACTTTTTTTTTTTACTTAAAAAAACAAACAAAAAACAGTATCAAATGTAAAATCTAAAAATAAAATACAGATAAAAGGAACAATAACTAAAATATCAAACAATCAAAATAATAATTTGAAAATTTGTACAATTATTTATCACTTTCCACTGGTTGTCCTCAGTTCATGGCATGAGGAGATATATTTTGCAGCAATTATTTGATATTTAGGCATTTCTCCCAGTAAATAGGGGAGTTTCTGTGGGTCTGATATAAATTCGAATTCAGGGTATATTTGGCAAATGTTTGCAATGTTTTTTTCCCCTCAGTGTTTTATATTTAAGACATGAGGTTAGAAAGTGCAGGTCTGTCTCTACCTGTCCCCTGTCACACTGGGAGCAGAGTCTCTCCTCTTCTGGTAGCCAGCTCTGTCTGTGTCAACCCTTTTCAATGGCCAGGCTGTGTTCACTCAGTCTGTATGTTGTCAATATTTTTCTTAGTGTAGGACATTTTATTGTGCTCAGGTAGTTTGCCAGTATGAATTCTCTTTTTAGGGTCAGATAACATTATAATTTACTTTGTGTTTTCTTCATTTCTTTCCAGTATTCAATATATTTTTCTTTTTGCTTGTTGATAATTTGGTTTGGTCTGCTTGAGTTGGTGTTGCTGTCCTGAGGCTGCTGGAGACTTGTTACTGCAGAGAGCCTCAGGACCAGCTGGTTGAGGGGACTTTGGTTTCAGCTCCTGGTTTGTTAGGTCTTTGTGATGCTATGTCTGGGGGTTAACTGATTTTAAGTGATTGTAAAATTTAAAAGTTCAATGTTGTACCTCTCTGTGCAATGAATGCAAGCTTGGTGGCCAGCTCTCTCTCCAAACCATCTCGGTAGTCTCTCTCCCTGATCATCTGTCGTTGCATCTTCCTCAGCTGAAATTTAGGTGTGTTCATGATATCCTGCAGAGGAGACTTGCTGTGAAAATAAAGCAGATAAGCAAAATAAAAGGGAGGGTCAGCAGATCAATACCCAAACCACACAGATATCCTGTATAACCTCAGTGAAAAACCCATACTGACTGCCTCATAATGTGAAGTTTGAGTCTTCATGAAATATTATTTAAGAAAATTAGTGAAGTTTGGATTAATATTGACTGTTAAATCACCTTATTTACATTTGATAAATATGATAAGTCCTGTGTTAGATAAATCCACACTGATACCTGACTGAGGAAGAAGCCACAGTATGCATGTCCATGAATGTGATTTTCTGTGCACGGTGCAAGACAGGGGACTCGTCATCTGACAGTGAGGAAATGGTCGACAAGCTGGAGGTAGAGGTGGTTGTTGATCGCTCAAATATTTCATGAGAGACAGACAAATCTAAAATTCATGGAGAGATACATTTAGACAAATTTGAAATCTTGCATGTTACAAGACCAGGAAGCTGGTGTTATACAGAAGCATTGTGTGTGACACAAATGTCTGTTAATGGCATATCATGGGGGAAATGGAAGACATTAAAAAAAGTGTAAGACTTACGTATCCTTTTTAAATAAGCTTCAAGCCCATTGCTCAGATAAACACAGCCCTCGCTCTCCATTACAAAGGAACCAGTTAGGTTTGCTATCTCCCGCTAAGTGTGGAAATGTATATTAAATCAGCATCAAATTAAATGGTAGCACAACACATGATAGATTAAATGTTATGGTGATGTATCTCAGTGGTGGACCAAAACAAAACAGCTCTCCGCTTACCTCCACTTCGCATTCCAACATGTTCAGGGTGCAACGCTCATTCATTATGTCATGGTACACGAGCAACAAAAGCACCTGGTGGTATCACAAAGAACGAGTCAAAATACATTTTTGTCTTTGTTTATTATTTAATTATTCATTTGTTCTTATACCTTTGAAATTTCCACTGTTAGGTTGATGCCATCTCTTATTTTGTCCCAAGACAATGAAGTGCCATTGGTTTCACTAAATCTGCACTCCTCTAATAAACAAAATAGATACAGGTTAATTCTCAAAGGACAACAATATTCAACATCTGTCTGCCTGTAAGATTTAAGGTAAGTTAACAAAAAGGTGGTACTGAGGGTGTGTTCTTTACACACTGACATTACTGTCTGGCATGTTTACAGGTGCAACAGGCCACACTTCAGACCACACCCAACAATGATACAGGGTGTGGTCAAAGGTGCAGACATGACATTTTCAACAAGAACGTTTTTGTTAATAACAATACATTTTTTGAAAGATGGAGATACTCACTTTCCAGGAAGTCTGCAATGAGGTTAAACCGTTTCTCAATGGAATTACTGACACAGGAGACTGATTCCTTTTTCCTGAGATGACAAAGGTGAAGCAAGAATGAAGTGGAGGTTAATTCAAAAGGAATAAAACGTTACTTTCAAAAACCCACTAACATAAGAAGCATGTAGACGTAGTTCAAAGGTCATTGAGCTTCGTTTGTTTACACAGGCAAAGCATTTCAACACATTACTTACAGCATAGAAATAACTTTTAGAAAGACTGTTCCATCTTGTAAATCGTTGATAGTAAATCCTCGGTCAGACAGTTTTATACTGTTAATCTGTAAAAAGATAGTTTGACAAGTTGGTTAAATAAAACTGCAACCATCTAAAAAGACTTGCGGGAATCAACATATTTGCACTATCTAACTGTCAACGTAACGTTACCCAGCTAAGAAGAGCCTTAACACCCAAGTTAAGATCCATCTTGGCTGACCTCAAAGGGTTTTCAACCTGAAAGCCACAAAACAAAGCACGAGCGTAACTTACGTTATGCAGTTAGCTTTGTCAAGCTAACATATGAGCACATAGAACACATTTTCGACCACAACTAGCTAAATAAGTAATTAAAGTTAGCAATAAACTTTACAACATAACTTTTACCTCGCATACATAGTGCTAACTTAGAGTTAGCAAGGTTGGATTAACATTTGGTTTAACCTATTACGTTATTTGTTGACTAACAGTTAACGTTCCTGTAACTTAACATGTGTTATTTCTCTTAAAGACCAACTGAATTAAAATGTTGCTTCGAAGCAGTGCCTCACCTTCAAAGCCTTTGGCCACCGGATAATTCGTCCTTTAAGACAGATGCAACCTCTTCGTCTACCTAAACAAATCTACTGCCACGAACGGACAAAATTCAAAAGGAGTAGCTGCAGATTGAACGAGCCAATCCGATTTCACATATAGACGCATCTGAAAATAGCCGAAGTTGATTGGTTTAAAAGCCGGAAGTCAACTGAGCGGTGCGCTCGTATCTACAGGTCTATCGCAGGATATCAAGACTGTATGGCTGCAAAGCTTCGATGGGAGTCAGCATTGGGAGTTTATGGGAACAGCAAGAAGGATCAAAACAAACTTTACAGAAAAACTCAAATCTATGGCAGAGTAAATTGGTATTGTGAATTTGAATGTATGTCCACCAATATGTCGTTCAGATATACCTTCATGGTTGATCCTAGATCCCATTGTTGACCTATATTTTATGGAAACAACCAAAAGAAATATGGCAGAGGCTGTAGTGAAGGAGATAAAAGCCCGGATGTGTCAAATATGGGGAGGCCACCTACAAATCTATACTGATGGGTCAAAACGAAAGGAAGGGGAGAACATATTCATTACAAAGAATTGTAGAGAAAGGAAAATGTGCTTTTAGATGCAAGAGAAGATATGCAGTAGTTCTATCCAGATTGAGGTTTGGGCACTGTGGGCTGGCTCTGATTGGTAAACATCCTGATGGAAAATGCGAATATGGAGACAAGGAAACAGTGAAGCATGTATTAGTAAATTGTAGAAAGTACTCTCGTCAAAGGAGGAAATTGTTTAGAGACCTGGGAGCAATTGGAGAAACTATATTTATCATACGCACTCTAGTTAATTTGGTTAGTTGGAACAAAATGAAGAAACTGATCGAGTATCTACATAAAACTGGTTTACACAAAAGGATATAGGCAATTACCATTAAGATGTGAATAACGAACAGAGGACGGCAGCAATACGCCACAGATGCGTCTAGTCTGCCGGAAACAAGAAGAAAAAGAAAGCTTCAATGGCGATACTATACCGGTGGGAGGCAGCAATGCACTAACACAGTGCCGAGACTGCCGGTAAAAATAAATTAGTGCTGACTCCCGATTTAGCCAACCAGGATGAATTTCGGCGTACACCGGTCGTGCCAAGGAAATTATGTTTCCCCTGCCGCGGGAGCGCGCGAGCATTCAGCGGTGAAGGCGGACCTTCGACTTCATCAAAGTGAATGAAAAATATACCATGTGGATTGTTCAATGTATCGTTTTAGTATTGTTTTATTAACGAGGTTTGTGTAGAGCAAGCTAGCACTTATAAACGTTTTTATAGGCTTACGTTATGTGTTACGGAACTTCGTATTATTCATTGCACTCAATTGAGAATGTCTACACAAGACGAACATTTAGTTTCGCGATAACAGTCTGGTGATGTTATAACTGACAACGTAGTCGATCACTTTGTCATCCATGTTACTGTTTAGAAGCTAGATTCATACGACTGTCACCTTTTTCAAGTAAGCTGCTCCTACATACGCCATCGATACTGTATCAACATCACTGTAATCAGTTTAACGCTTTGCTCGCCTCAACGTTACATCTCCTTGACTCGAAATGTACATTAAACTGAATGCAGCATTGTAGACAATATTTTGTCCTTGTAATCCATGTTTCCATTGCATGGCCTTTGGATATTGCTGGAAATTGTCCAACTCCTTAAAGGGTAAATTATTATCATAACAATTTAATAATGCATTGCATTTAAACAGAACTTTTCATACACAAAAAGCGATAACAGTAGCCTCCTACCAGGCTGGACAAGCAGTCTGCCAAAATATGTTTCCCCTTCCATAATGCAAAGATGATGGCCTACCATCAAGTATTTAATTTTGTGTATACTTCACATCAGGTCTAATAACAGGGGCGAATATGGAGACGTTTCTATTTTCCTAGCAAAAGTTATAGTTGGATACAAATTATTTCAGACTTTATTTTCAACTTGCCATAAAATATATTCCCCCCTTTATAATGCACAGGTGATGGCCTACTGTCAAGTATTTAATTTTGTGTATACTTCACATCAGGACTAATAACAAGGTTGAATATAGAGACGTTTTGACAGCCGGTGAAGCTACTCGGAGCAAATGACTGGAAATAGATCAGGCTTAGAATATCCTGTACAATCAATTAAAATGTCTTAATTGATCCACCCAGAGCTCCTAATGTTCTACAGCTTTCCAAGTGCAATCTTGAACAAACCAATTTTTCCCACGTTCAAACTTACCACACATTGTGCACTTTACCATTAATCCACTGTGTTAGTGAAACAGCAATCTAACACAGCTGTATGCTACTCTGCAACTCATAGTAAAACAACTCTCGTCAGAACAGGGATTTTGCTCTGTCAGAGTGCAGAGGCAGCAGAGGGCTGTGTGATGGCATGTCATCCCTCTCAGAACCAGCTCCACTTCAGTCTCAAACCTGCAGAGGACTCTGGGTGGTCATCCAGCCGGAGTGCATTCAGATTTCTGCAGTTCAACACTTATGTGTGTCCCATGACTTTAATACTTAGACTTGATGATGATTGCAAAGAAACGGGTGATAAAGTGGATACACCACACAGAATAGTTATTGCATAGATGAATGCGATCAACAGCCAACGCTAGTTTGCAGCAGGCTATTTGTATTGTGTGCATAGGCTTTTATGTGAAATATGGTGTTTACAATGCAAACTTTTGTAAAAGAGACACGGTACAGTAAAGCAACACTAAATTAAAGATTCATATAGTTGTTGGTCCTACATACGGCCCAGAGGTTTGGACTGATTAATTTGGCTCTGTCAATGTGTAACTTTCCTAGAATGATCAAAAGATTGATTAGGAACAATTCCTCCTGTTTTCTGTTATTGTTACAGTGGAAACAAAACAGTACGTTTATTATTGTCTCTGGATGCAATTCCCAGAATGAGTAGAGTCTTTGCAAAGAGAGTGGCTAGTAGGATAAAATGTATGTATAATTTTAAAGAAATGTCTCTTACTTTATTAGTAAGAAGGTTACTTTTATGGGAGAGTCCATATTTCCCCAAGTTATCAGCACAGAGAAGTACTACAACAGAAAATCAGCTGGTCCAGAGACCTGCTGCCTTGGGCAGCTTTGGGAGTCCGGCCCAGACCAAAGGGATGCATAATCATTTACACAGTCCAAGTTTCTATGTTTTGGGGGACAGAGATCCTCTCCCAGTCTTGAATTAACATTCAAGGAGAGAAGAGTAACGGCATGAGAGGAAAACAATAAAAACAATCAGCTCTGACCTAAACCCCATGTGTGGACAGACTAATATAATGAGTATAATAATAAGAATAGGTTAAGGATAGAAACAATATAAATAAGACATAACAATAACAGTAATAATAAAAGTACATGCATAAAAGATTAGATGTAAGAAAAAAACAATTTTCTGCCATTACATTTAATGGCATTTATTTAAAAGTAGAATTCACATAACGCCATGGTTCTTCACACTCCGATACGATAGGTGGCGGTATGTACCTTTAAAGTTAGTTGCGATCCGCCAGTAAATACAGAGAAGAAGAAGCTCGCTAATCCAGCTATCCGTTTCATCCATTTTGTTTAGTTAAATTAGCCCGGCTAACGTTACCTCAGGTACAGTGCAGCAGAGATGGATGACGGTGACGAGCCGGGCTTAGTCCTCTCTCACACCACTTCTTCGGGCTCTAAGTCGGGCGGGGACAAGATGTTTTCCCTGAAGAAGTGGAACGCTGTAGCTATGTGGAGCTGGGACGTTGAGTGTGATACTTGTGCCATTTGTCGGGTACAAGTTATGGGTGAGTCCGGGGAACCGGCCAACGTTGATGTAGCTGACGGGGCTAATGTTACCTTTAATGTATGTAATAAGTCCCTGGCAGAGTGCCGTGTTCGTGACATGTTTTTCTTAATACGCAGACGCTTGTCTCCGATGCCAGGCGGAAAACAAACAGGAGGACTGTGTTGGTAAGACAATGTCAGCAGTAAAACACGTTATTAATTCAGGCATTAATCCAACAAGCTAACATTAGCTAGTGTGTCGGGGCTGCTGTCAAAAGACACGGACCAAGCCAGGTTTTTAAGTCTTCTTGGTCGTTTCATGTATTAAGTCAAATGGACAACATTAGTCTGAATCCACATAGACATAGTGTCTTTTGTTTGGATGAAACGCATTATGTTTATGCAAACGTCTAAAAATGACTCGGGATTTATTTAGTTGTGACGTTAAGAGCCAACTGCAGAGCAATTGTTTGTAATACACCTAATATATCATAAGTGAAGGTGTGTAAAATATTATAATAGTTCTAAGATTAATATTATTTCAGTGTGACTGGCCCTCCACGGAGTAAGATGTATTGTGACAGAAGGAGATTTACTGGATACCTGCAGTGTATAGCGCGCGTGTGTGCATAGTCTGTGTTTTTTAATTATTATAACTAGTTTAACTGTTACCCAAGTACAAATTAATCTTTTCAGCGGTCTCCGTGTAAGCTTCCCCATTTTTCATAACTTGAACACCACTATTGTCACTTTACCTCATTTGACTGTGCTGAAACATGCCAAAGATTGTGCTTTTAAGATAGATACATCTTGGACATAAATAACAAAACAACAGGTTTATTCACCATTAAAATAAACAAGGTGTAGGTTTACCATCTGTGTAACCTCAGCTGATTACAGTGTGTGTTCCCTGTTAATACTCATTCATTGTCTCTGTTTGTGTATCTCTATCGTCCATCTTTTTTCAGTTGTATGGGGAGAGTGCAACCACTCCTTCCATAACTGCTGCATGTCCCTTTGGGTGAAGCAGAACAATCGCTGCCCCCTCTGCCAGCAGGACTGGGTGGTTCAGAGAATCGGCAAATAGGCCCCACCACCAGGCAGTCTGATTCTCAGACGGCACCTGTATGCACCCGAAAGTGGTGACAGACTTGACAGTGATCACTGCAACCTCCTGTGCAGAGCCACCTGGCATCGACAACTGTCCTCCTATATATGATTGCATGTTCCAGTAGTCCTGGTGTCAAAGGAGGATGATGGACAAAATTGAAGCAGCGCAGACTCGTTGGTTATGATTGGAGGGATCGAGAGTCGTGA